TCAAGATATGATATTTTCAGAACAGGATTAGGAAGGGATGATGGGAGGCATGGGCATCCGCAACACATTAAGCCCGCCCACCCCTCACCCGCTATATATTTCATACACTGATGTACATAAAGGTCATCCAAGTACACTCTATACCAAGACACTACAAATCAATTTCACAAAATAAACTACAGAAACAACTTGATGAATTCTTTAACACTGGGAAAACCAAGAAGTATTTTACAACTTTATAGCTAGCATTCAGAGATCTGTAACCATTTTACATCAATATTTTGGGTCAGGTATATAGGATTTCCAACCTGCACCATGAATGAATCTAATCTAAACATCAATGTATTCAGAAGCCGAGGTATGGGAGTCCTACAATACTGTTGTAAAAAGAAAAAACTAAGGAAATGCATGCTAGGATTGAAATTTATGACCCTTTGGTCCTAGCCAGATATCATTCCCTCTAGCTAATTCAGGCAACCTAACCTCTCCTTCTACACCAGGAATTAAGTAATCTTTTTTTCTCAGAATATTTTCTTCAGGTATGTAATATACAGAAAAAATATATCACAATCACTTGAGAAAATGTATGCGAGACATTTCAAAGACTTTCACTTTCAATATGACAAGTATGAAGCATATTTACACCAAGGTATACAGTGTATGAGACGGTAATGAAATAAGAGAACATTTGTAATATAATGTTATGTATACTAAGGAAGATATCAAATTATAGTGAAAGCAAGCTCATCAACTGATCTTCCACATATACATGAGATGGTATCAAGTTATTTTGGTCCATCCCTGCCTAGTCAATTTTTATTGGGCATCTGTAAAGAAAAGATCCCCTAAATCATAACCGTTTCTGGTCATTTTTTTTTTAAACTGAGCAAATTAAACATGGCCACACAATGTAGACATCTTGGATTTTTACAATACATTGGGATTTTTTGTCTGAGGGTTTCAGTTAAAACACAGAATCAGATAACTAACCAAAGGTCAAGGTCATTAAATCAAGATGAGTTTTCTATCTTTTGAAAGGTAAGCAATTCTTAAAAAATTTTGGTTAAGAAGCAGAGTCGGTTGGAATTAAATCTGAAGTAATCTGCACTTAGATTTCAAAGACACCAAGAAAAGTTGGGTGACAATCAAATAAAAGGTCAAATGATTATCAGGTCAAAAGATAAATTAATCTTTCCTGGAAATTTTTTTTAAAATGTTATTTTGAAGCTATAAATTGGTTAAACTGAACTAAGATCAAGCTCGCTATATAGGTAAGACACATAATAGGATTATTAGTGTAGTAAGTGAATGTTTCATTTCTTTGTTCAAATACACACATATATATATGGAGATCATTTGCTTTGTGGCTGGATTCAAGTAGTTCACAAAGTTTATTAAATGTACATGAGTAATCAATTACATTACTTTTGTATACACTGTTTTCACAGTGCACTTTCAATATTACAGCACATTATACTATCAATATTACAGCATAGTGCATTCAATACAGTACACTATCTTCAGTACACTGTCAATGAGAACAGTGCTGACCTAGTTCAGTGCACTATCAACATTTTCAGTACACTGTCAATGAGAACAGTGCTGACCTAGTTCAGTGCACTATATATATTTTCAGTACACTGTCAATGAGAACAGTGCTGACCCAGTTCAGTGCACTATCAACATTTTCAGTACACTGTCAATGAGAACATTGCTGATCCAGATCAGTGCACTATCAACATTTTCAGTACACTGTCAATGAGAACAGTGCTGACCCAGTTCAGTGCACTATCAACATTTTCAGTACACTGTCAATGAGAACAGTGCTGATTCAGTTCAGTGCACTATCAACATTTTCAGTACACTGTCAATGAGAACAGTGCTGACCCAGTTCAGTGCACTATCAACATTTTCAGTACACTGTCAATAAGAACAGTGCTGATCCAATTCAGTGCACTATCAACATTTTCAGTACACTCAATGAGAACAGTGCTGATTCAGCACAGTGCACTATCAATATTCTATCAATATTTTCAGTACACTGTCAAATGATGTAGTTTACAACACAGGGACAAAATTATTGTTTCATACAATGAAACAAATCATATCACACTTTTTGTGAATAATATACTGTCATATCTATAACATTTATCGATAATATATGCAAAAGTTCCTTGTACATATACATTAAACAATATAAAACATCAATTTATTTATAATAGTATTTAGCACCTCTTCAAACTGATGTCAGTTTAAGGAAATTTACATCTACCTAGTGATTACTGGAGCTTTACTACCATCAATTCATATGTCACATTTATCAATCAACATGTTAGATCTTTATAAATTATTATGCAATATTGAAACACAAATATCTTATACCAAGTATTGAATTTCAATATCTGTTTCACAAACTAATATTACCATCCTGCACAAAAGGAAATAAATCACAGATGTATGGCTAAGGAAGTAGCAGCGTTTCTCTGTAAATAAATACTGTACAAAAGCAACATAAGTATAAAGCGGGATACACGTATATCTATTAAATGGAAATGTATGATTAAATCTGGAATATGGCCATCAAGACAATGTCATAAAACAGTTACCAAACCTGGAATAGATCTATAATGTTAATGTATACAAGGACTAAGGTTCTACTGGTCCAAGTAATTTCAAACAAAACAAGCAATATAATATCTACTTCAATAACTTTTACATACATACATCGTATATAATTATATGTACATATAGGCGGCGAACAATCACATAGGAACTTCTGTAAATTATTTAGAATCTTGAACCAAATAACAATTCAGCATTATTTTTACCAGACAATAGGTAAAGCCCTTAATCATGAATATTGGAAAAGAGAATAATTTCCTTATCTGTCTGATGTTTTACTGTGAATTTTAAAACGACATGAGATTGGCTACATTTAAATCTTATATTTTGGTGTATCTGTAATTCTAATATGCCCACCAAGATCTATTACATTTGCAGTAATATACCAGCAAATGCTACATCATAGCCTTGACCTTGAGTTCCCCGTCAGCTTCCTGTATTGATACTATATACCGACCCATTGAACAAGCAATCACGACAGAAATCAATTGTTGAATTTTTAAAGTAATCACATGACATGAAATTAAATTAAAAACTCTTAAAGTGCAGTCATCTGACCAGAAATCAATTGCTGAACTTTAAAATTGTGATCACTGCTTTTAAGCAATTTAGAGTAAAATGTATTTAAATAACATTTTTTAAAGGAAGGAAGTATAATGCTAATGCATATTTCAAGTAAGACGGGACTTTCATAGAAATTTCCTAAATGGAGTGTAATCTGCTTCAGTTCATATTGATGCTTACAACATGCAAAGTCAACTAAATACAAACACTTCCTATATTCATTATAATCTAACTGATAATGCCATACAAATTGATGTCTGGGGTCATAGGTCAAACAATTCAGAAATGGTATAATGCATTGGGAATGCTTGGACTACATACAATTAACACATAAGTAAGCCCGTTGTCCCCTTCCTCCGTCCTTACCCCCTCCCTCCCTTTGCAGTCAAACCAGACCCTCAGTTTTACTGAATAGAGACAAATACAGAGCAAATCATGCTGTGTTATAGATCACAGTTTACAAGTTAATTTTTTCTTTCAAGTGTTTTACCAATTTTGTCTATAAATCAGCTTTCCAGTCTCAAGTTCTGGACTCCAGCCTCCAATTTATTTCAGTATATCTGGCAATATTAAAAGTAAAATTTTGGTTCAAAACTGGAAATGTTTGAAAACAAAATTCATTACTTTTTTTTAATGAAGTGTCTTATTGTTTGACTTTGTGATTACAGTACACAAAGCTGTAATAATGACTAATTTTAATGTAACCAACAATCTCCAGTTTGTAAAAGACTAAAGATCTCCAGTTCTCAAATTTTTGACGAAAGATTCTTAATATTATATCAAAGTTATATGACATGCAATTGTATAAATATCTGACAACAGAGAAAAACAAAATATGGGACAGGGCCTTCAATGTAAACAAAAATATAAACATCTCATATACAATATGTACATTGTAAATAAAAAAAATTTCACATGAAGTAAACAATACAAGGATTTATAAAGCCAGAATACAAATTTACATAAATACATTTCTATCATGATTCCTTATACTAACATTAATCTCTTGTATTGTCGTTTTGGTTTTGTACAAGCTGTTACAAAATTCTGTAATTACAGTATCTGAAACTGGCTGTATGTAAGACTTTCCTAATTCTTTTGTTTACAATCAGCCATCACCACATTCATGGAAAATAATAAAACATGCCTCTTCATATCTTCGTATAAGCCCTGCAGCACTGTGTGTGTAATATTGTCTGGGAGATTTCACAGCATAACTGATGACATTTCTGAAAATTGTTGTTACATTCTCCTACATGGTTACTTTTGCATATTTAGAGTGTTAAACTGGGAATGTATTGTTTCTAAGTAATTTCTATATATTTAACACTAGAAAGGTAACACAACTAGGACATTCTAATAAATGGAATGCTCTATCAGTAGGGAACTAAATTTACCAGATATCATTGAAGAGACATTCTTTTAAAGAAAATATTGTACCTGTTTCTGAATTAAGTCTTTCTTGTTTTTCTGCTGGACAATCACATAACACTATATACGTATAGGTAATTTGATGTAAAAGTGACTTCTCTTAAGTGATTTTGTAACACCTGTACTAATTTGTGCAGAGATTCAATATATAAAGTTACATGTCTTACAATTCTCTACTGTCTACTGGGTATCATATCTAACAATGGATGGTTGAGGTCAAATCTTGAATATCTACACAAATTATGTAAAAGATTGAATTCACAAAATCTAAAGTGAACACACAAACCACAGATCTCTGATACTATTTTCAAGCCTAAAACTAAAAACGAAAATTGTAAATGGTTCGTCTTAAACAATATTTGTACAGGATATGCACTTGGGTTATATTAATTTTTTTTCTTGTGACAAAATATATATTTTTCTAGCATGTTTAATGCATAAGTATACTTAAGAACTAATCAAAGGAAAGCACTGGTTTCACTTATATGAGGGAAATGGGAAAATGTGATGACATATTACACTGTATACCTGGTATCATTACTATTGATTTTTCAATAAAAAGGAATCAAATCTGGGATCTATTTGACTCTCGTTTTTCCAAACCTGAATATGTCAAAACATCAAAGTGTTGTTATGCAAGGGCGATCATTACCACACATTTCAACACTATATCTCATTAAAGAAAATATCACTTTCTTAGAAAAAACATCACAATAGTGTCAGAATATACAAAATCATCATGTTATTAGGTGTTTGTATCATAATCATCTATAATTAGATGTTGTATGAACGTGAGAGTCTTGGGATAATGTCTACAACATGGTTCTATATCCAGGGAGAGTGGCACAAATATTAAGCATGCCACCTACCATAGGTAGAAATCAAAACATTTCTGAAGGAGATGAACTTTCACCAATGGTTACAGCGTCAGTATCACTTGAAGATTCACTGGTCTCCTGTTGGGCTTCGCCTACGTCTGGATCAGTGAAAGAAATGAGATTTTCACTTTGACAGAGCAACGAAGATGAAGCACCCAACATTTCAGTATCACAGGATTTATTAGATTCATTGTCACTATCACCGAGATTTCCCACTGTGATAACGGAAGACGGGTCAGCACTGTCACAGGATGTCGTAGTTACATCACCACTTCCTCTGCCTACAGAGTGTGGTGAGTCTGGAGGATCATCCTGAAGAAGAGTTTGACACTCACTACCACTATCTTCTTTCCCAGAATTCCTTTGGCGCCTCCATCTTGCTGTTATGTCTATATCATGTGAGAAACTGACATGTTCACCATCTTGCTGATCACTGTCCTCTCCAGAATCGTCAGGTCCTTCTGTTGTATCACTACTGTCAGGAACGAGGGCCAGAGTTGACGAATGGGAGTCTGTGTTCCATGTCAAATTTGAATTATCTATAGTCTGTGAACTTTCACCTGATATTGTGTTTTCCCCTGATTGTGAATTGCTGGCTGATTCAGTTGGGCAGCTATCATTTTGTTCCCCAGAATGACCTGCAGTGTTGTAAGATGCTAACTGCTGTTGGCGGGCTAAACGTGCTGTTCGCCGCCGATGACGTCTTGAACGAGATCCTGATGTTTCATTCTGGTTGGTTTGTTCAGCAAGCTCCTGTCGCACCTCGTCATAAGGCCGTGATGTTAACATGGCCTCGTGATAAGGTGGCGGTGCTCTTCTTCTCATGAACTCTGCATACATTCGTGTGAGTGGTGTCTCGTGTCGTGGTCCATGGAACTGCTGCATTCGGAGATTGTAGAGCTTACAAGTACATCCCATGGCTACGACCAACAAGAGGGCACAGATCAGTGAGCCTGCCACCGCTGCTATGGTGATCAGATTGGTACTTCCTGTAACAGTCATGGAATTGTTTTTTATGATGATGTTAACATGAGTAAGAATGTACTTTTAGCACTTATTAATGAGATGAATATATCTATGTATCCTTTTTATGGCAAATATCATAACTGAACAAGAGATCCAAGAGGGATCTTGGCACCCAACATTGTTTGATCTTTATATGCTCTTTGAATGTTGAATCTTTTCCCTTTTTTTCTCTTCTCTGTTTTTGCTCTTAATGATAAGACATTCGAACATTCCTTTGCAGAAATAGCATGATAATCTTTACCTACCAAATCCAAAATGGCCGTCTGGAAGCCATTTTGTTTCTTTTTATCAGTCCCAAAATCAAGCGAGCACAAGGAGAGATCAAAGGGAACATACAAATGATATTTGAGAGACATCCATTCAGTACTTCTTAAGAAATAGCAATAACAATCTTTACTAGATGAAATCAAAGATGACTGCCTTTGACCATTTTGTTTTCCTGATGAGTCTCAAACTCAAACAAGCATATCTAGAGACCATAACGATCCAGGGACCAAGACATAGTAGGGGAAAGGCTTATTGCAGGAAAAATGAAATAGCTTTTTAGCACTGTTTACAGTACTGCAAAAGACATGGCTTATTACCAAGCTTATGGTCAGATAAATAATGCATAAACTTAGTACACTTCTAATTATCAATATTTGTCAAAACATTCTTCATATCAAACCATGAAATACTGAAGTAATCCATGAAGAAAAAGTAAAATCAACAATAAGACAACGTATGTTTCAATACGAAATATTGGAAAGTAATATGATGAGGAATGTATTAGATCACCTGTATTAATGGTCGTTTTCTCAGACAAGACATTAATCAGTTACTTATGTGGTCAATTAATTTATCACAGTTACATGGACAGTCTATTTATCATAGTTACTTACATGGACAATCTATTTATCATAGTTACTTACATTGACAATCTATTTATTATAGTTACATACACGGACGATCTATTTATCGAAGTTACATGGACAATCTATTTATCATATTTACTTACATGGACAATCTATTTATCATAGTTACTTATGTGGACAATCTATTTATCATAAATGTAATTACTTATGTGGACAATCTATTTATCAGTTACTTACGTGGACAATCTATTTATTATAGTTACTTACGTGGACAATTTATTTCGTCACTGTTGTCACCACAGTCATTTGTTTTATCACATTTCCAAGTCTCATAGATACACCTCTTGTTATCACAGAGAAATGTTCCATTATGAGAGCCACATAACACAGGATCTGAAACAAACAAATTTATCAGTTCTCTAGTTTATAAATATAATTACAATATTTATCAAAGTGTAACATACATTATGTTAAACAGATTCCATGTTACCTCAAAACCCATAGACTTTTTTTCATTCCCAAAATCTCTTGTAAAATGGTACCTCCTGCAAGAGAGTCAATATTTGAATGACAGTTACAAATGACACAGATATCAGTATACACATACAAGAGATTCCAAAGGGATATAGACTCCTACCATTGTTTGATCTTTGTTTGATGCTATTCAAAAGTTGGATTTTTTCCTTTCTTTTCTCATCTCTGTTTTTGCTCTTAATGATAATAAAATTTGAAACATTCCTATGCAGAAATAGCAATGATAATCTTTACCTGCCAAATCCCAAATGACCGCCTAGAAGCCATTTTGTTTCTTCTGATCAGTCCGAAATTTAAATGAGCACAAGGAGAGACCAAAGGGAACTTACGTATGAAATCTGAGAGACATCCATTTTTACCTTACAGCAAAACATCCAAATTCTAGGCCTTTTAGTAAAAAATTGTAACAAATCTGACTCCTGTGACATTGAATATAGGTCAAGGTCATTATTTTTTTGTAAAATTTGTCAGATTTCATCCAAGGAACCTATCATGTAATTATCAGAATTCTAGGTCTATAACAGAAGATGCAGTTTAAAGGTATTATGAAATTTCAACCCTATGACCTTGAACATGATCAATGTAATTTCTTTTCAAAGACTCTGTTGAGTATAATCCCCGGAACATACCAGTCAACTATCATGATTCTAGGCATTTATAGAATAAATTTATCAAACAATTCATTCTAAGTCTTATACTCACTACGGTCAAATTTAGTGTGATAACACCACCTGTTGTATACTCACTACAGTCAAATTTAGTGTGATAACACCACCTGTTGTATACTCACTACAGTCAAATTTAGTGTGATAACACCACCTGTTGTATACTCACTACAGTCAAATTTAGCGTGATAACACCATCTGTTGTATACTCACTACAGTCAAATTTAGTGTGATAACACCACCTGTTGTATACTTACAAGTTTAGTGTGATAACACCACCTGTTGTATACTCACTACAGTCAAATTTAGTGTGATAACACCACCTGCTGTATACTCACTACAGTCAAGTTTAGTGTGATAACACCACCTGTTGTATACTTACTACAAGTTTAGTGTGATAACACCACCTGTTGTATACTTACTACAAGTTTAGTGTGATAACACCACCTGTTGTATACTTACTACAGTCAAGTTTAGTGTGATAACACCACCTGTTGTATACTTACTACAAGTTTAGTGTGATAACACCACCTGTTGTATACTTACTACAGTCAAGTTTAGTGTGATAACACCACCTGTTGTATACTTACTACAAGTTTAGTGTGATAACACCACCTGTTGTATACTTACTACAGTCAAGTTTAGTGTGATAACACCACCTGTTGTATACTTACTATAGTCAAGTTTAGTGTGATAACACCACCTGTTGTATACTTACTACAAGTTTAGTGTGATAAACACCTTACTACTGATAACTACCATAACACCACCTGTTGTATACTTACTACAAGTTTAGTGTGATAACACCACCTGTTGTATACTTACTACAAGTTTAGTGTGATAACACCACCTGTTGTATACTTACTACAAGTTTAGTGTGATAACACCACCTGTTGTATACTTACTACAAGTTTAGTGTGATAACTTTAGTGTGATAACACCACCTGTTGTATACTTACTACAAGTTTAGTGTGATAACACCACCTGTTGTATACTTACTACAAGTTTAGTGTGATAACACCACCTGTTGTATACTTACTACAAGTTTAGTGTGATAACACCACCTGTTGTATACTTACTACAAGTTTAGTGTGATAACACCACCTGTTGTATACTTACTACAAGTTTAGTGTGATAACACCACCTGTTGTATACTTACTACAAGTTTAGTGTGATAACACCTACCGCTGTATACTTACTACAAGTTTAGTGTGATAACACCACCTGTTGTATACTTACTACAAGTTTAGTGTGATAACACCACCTGTTGTATACTTACTACAAGTTTAGTGTGATAACACCACCTGTTGTATACTTACTACAGTCAAGTTTAGTGTGATAACACCACCTGTTGTATACTTACTACAAGTTTAGTGTGATAACACCACCTGTTGTATACTTACTACAAGTTTAGTGTGATAACACCACCTGTTGTATACTTACTACAGTGTGATAACACCACCTGTTGTTTACTTACTACATTCATTTTTAGTGTGATAACACCACCTGTTGTATACTTACTACAAGTTTAGTGTGATAACACCACCTGTTGTATACTTACTACAAGTTTAGTGTGATAACACCACCTGTTGTATACTTACTACAAGTTTAGTGTGATAACACCACCTGTTGTATACTTACTACAAGTTTAGTGTGATAACACCACCTGTTGTATACTTACTACAAGTTTAGTGTGATAACACCACCTGTTGTATACTTACTACAGTCAGGTTTAGTGTGATAACACCACCTGTTGTATACTTTACTACAAGTTTAGTGTGATAACACCACCTGTTGTATACTTACTACAAGTTTAGTGTGATAACACCACCTGTTGTATACTTACTACAGTCAGGTTTAGTGTGATCAAGTTTAGTGTGATAACACCACCTGTTGTATACTACTACAAGTTTAGTGTGATAACACCACCTGTTGTATACTTACTACAAGTTTAGTGTGATAACACCACCTGTTGTATACTTACTACAGTCAAGTTTAGTGTGATAACACCACCTGTTGTATACTTACTACAAGTTTAGTGTGATAACACCACCTGTTGTATACTTACTACAAGTTTAGTGTGATAACACCACCTGTTGTATACTTACTACAGTCAGGTTTAGTGTGATAACACCACCTGTTGTATACTTACTACAAGTTTAGTGTGATAACACCACCTGTTGTATACTTACTACAGTCAGGTTTAGTGTGATAACACCACCTGTTGTATACTTACTACAAGTTTAGTGTGATAACACCACCTGTTGTATACTTACTACAGTCAGGTTTAGTGTGATAACACCACCTGTTGTATACTTACTACAAGTTTAGTGTGATAACACCATAACACCACCTGTTGTATACTTACTACAAGTTTAGTGTGATAACACCACCTGTTGTACACTTACTACAAGTTTAGTGTGATAACACCACCTGTTGTATACTTACTACAGTCAGGTTTAGTGTGATAACACCACCTGTTGTATACTTACTACAAGTTTAGTGTGATAACACCTACTGCTGTATACTTACTTCAGTCAAGTTTAGAGTTATAAACTTGATACTGTTAATCTTAGTGTGTTAACACCACCTATTTATATACTCACTACAATTAAGTTCATCTTCAAGCTCTGCACATCGTGAGATTCCATTACATCTCTGCTTCTCCTCATAACATTGGTGACTGTCTTTTAAACCACAACGGAAATGATCCTTGTCACAGATACCTGTAAGATAATGTGTTACACCTTATATTATAACTACAGTACAATCCTTGTCACCACCACCTGTAAAATAACATATCACATTTTACACACGTAAAATTTTGATGTTATATGCTACATACCACACCCCTTCTCGTCTCCTCCATGTAGGCGACAATTCCACATCCCGTCACAAGCTTTATCTATAGGGTAACAGTCTTTCTCTGTGGAACCACATGAGGCTTGATCTGGTAGGCATACACCTGTCAAATTTATACCCATTAAGATCTCTTCACATTACAGATGAGGAATACCTAATATTATCATATTTGAGAGATGAAATGACATAGTAATGTTTTCCTTTTAGTGTCCATAATGTGACGTCAGAACTGTACCTTATGTTTAACAGTACCAACTCTCAATCAATCTTTCTATCATCAGGATCTTGGACCCTTCCTCCCTAGTTCACTTTTAAACTGGACAAACACAAGCAGTAGTGCTTTCTATTCCCCATTTCCTAAAATACTGGATAATATTTCGGGTCTTTACCCATTCTATAAATTAGATATGAATTGATGTCCTTTTGTCTCCTGTTCTCTGGGTTATAAACCCCACCATCTCACTGGTTAATACTTCAGGACCTGTTTTCTCTGCTGTCTAATATACTGGATACTATTATTGGTTTTAGCTTTTTCCTAGTATACAGGCAAGATTTTCAGCAATATCAACTCCCTGTCAGGTTTACATAATATACATGTATCCAACTATATTCCAGGCATTCTCTTCCTATTAGCTAGTATATTGGGAAAAAGTTCTGGTATTCCTTTCCTATTGGCTAGTTTACAGGACAATATTTCAGGCACTCTCTTCCTATTGGCTAGTATACTGCAAAAGAGTTCAGGTATTCCCTTCCCATTGGCTGGTTTACTGGACAAGACTTTAGATACTCCCTTCCCATTGGCTGGTTTACTGGACAAGACTTTAGATACTCCCTTCCCATTGGCTGGTTTACTGGACAAGACTTTAGATACTCCCTTCCCATTGGCTGGTTTACTGGACAAGACTTTAGATACTCCCTTCCCATTGGCTGGTTTACTGGACAAGACTTTAGATACTCCCTTCCCATTGGCTGGTTTACTGGACAAGACTTTGGATACTCCCTTCCCATTGGCTGGTTTACTGGACAAGACTTTAGATACTCCCTTCCCATTGGCTGGTTTACTGGACAAGACTTTTAGATACTCCCTTCCCATTGGCTAGCTTACTGGACAATATCTGGCAACCCTCTAACATACCAGAATAAACCATTTCTTATTTCTGTATTGTATATTAGTACAGCCCACATATATTCATAAATCATGGAAACTATTATTTAATCATGAACAGGTAGAATAATACTTTTTCCATAAAAGTTACAGAGAGTAACAATGGCTGCTGATCTTAATGTGACAAGAAACATGATAGTGATACAGAAATAGTTTAGTTCAGTCGTACAAATTTAACTTACAAAAATAAATTAGCACATCCTGAAATATCTACATCTCACATTAACAGGCAGACTTCTCACCTTTCTTTTGGAATGTAATATTAAAACCACTTTCTGCCCGCACATGGTTTGTTTGGAACTTCAAGGTGATATAATCAGTAGTGGATTCCACCATTTTCGGAACATTTTCCAGTCCACCATAGTATACACCAATGACCTTTCCCTCATGATATGTTCCATCGTACACTGTTAGGGAGTCTGTCCCAGCCTCCTTTTGGAGTTCAAATTTAACAAATCGTAATTGTACTTGTGCTGATGTGTCCTGTACATGGATTGTCCAGATACAACTGAGGTTGTTGGGGTAATCAAAGGGAAAGTTGGGGGATATCACAAACCCTGTCTGACTGTCAATGTGACTATTGCATTTGAAAGAAGCTGAAAATAAAATATGTAAATTCAAATCACTTGTCTGGGCATATCAAACAATGCTCTTGCTATCATTATGAAATTTGATATATAAAGTACTTATATTTCATATTTTTCATTTTGCAAAGCATACTTCATTATTCTTAATTTAAAATGCAGAGTTGGTATCTGTAATTGATTTTGGTTATATTTCCACTGAAATTAATGGACAAATATGGCACACAATTAACTTTCATTTTATCAAGCTAAAGTGGTCATGAAATTTCCTTTCATCAACTGATAAAAAAATTAAAACTTACGACAAAGTTTTCTCTCTTCATCTTCCCCATACAGACAATTCTTTTCACCATCACACCATTGGGCCTTTGGAATACAGCGGTTCCTACCTGTGCCCATGTCCTGACACAACAGACTGTTGTTGGTACAGGTCTGTGTAGTGGGAGGTATTGTTGTGTGGGTTACTGAAAAAGAAGTAAGACCATGGAGGTACAAGTTTAAATCAAGGTATGTACACGTATTGCATTGATATAGGGGATAACTGGTGTACTTTGAGTAAGATGTGTAAAAACATTAATGATACTTACTTACCAAAAAAGGAAAGAAAAAAGTATTCCATCCACATTTAATGCCTATGAATGGAGCATTTTTCTTACACAAGAGGCCTAGTGGCTTTGACAGTCACCTAAGATAAGTGATATTGAATATAAAGTTTAAAGGACAGTTATCTAGTGTCAGGAAACAGAAATTACAACAATGAATATAGTAAGCCAGTGTCAATACATGCATACCATCAAAACTGTCATCCTATACTGATAATTCTAATACTTACATTTATGCTCAAAAACACTATTTTTCTTTGAAAAATATTCCTTCCCAGGAAGAAATGTGAGACTCATTTTGGTAATTAAAGCATCTTAAGACGCTTCCATTCAGGATGAGTATTTGATTCTACCATATGTGGGTCTTAAGAAGATTTTTGAAATTTAAGTCAATTTGACATACCATCATGCTGTCATCCTTCACTCATAATTCTAACCAAGTTTGAAATATTTCCAATGGAAATTAAACAAATTATGCTCAAAAATCTAGTTTTCCTATATAAACTATAGTAAACTTTACCCACTCCCCATGGGGATATGCGAGACCCTGGGGCCATGAAATTCACAATTTTGGTAAAGCACCTTAAGATGCTTCCATTCATGAAGAGTATTTGATTCTACCATATCTGGGTCTTGTTTACGGATGCACAGCACATGACACCAGATGAATGGTATCAGAATAGGTCACCATATGACCTAAAAATGTACTGATCTTTACTTTATGTGATAGTCCTTCAAACTTTAAATAATGTTTAATAAATCATGTTGTACATAATCTGATATAGTTCTGGGATATTGACAATTATTTACAATTGCTGTGTTTTTCCCCTAATAAAACATAAGAATATCGACTGTGTTTATACTCCAATAAATTTAGTCGAGAACATGCTAGACGATGACGTAACAATATTGGCGTAGGAATACATTTACACACAAGTCAAAGGTTGCGGCCCATTCATGTTTACCAACAAACACCACGTGTTGCTAGCATCATCCAAACAAGACTTTTAAATAAACGGTGATTAAATTTTATAAAATATTGGTTTTGTAATTTATTTTTGAAAAGGTCTTAAAAGATCTCAAACACATGTAACATGTTCGGTTTCACTTCCCGCCTCGTCAGCCAAACTGCATCACGACTGACTTCCGCGTCTGTGTCTCGATGAATGTTGTGTTGCTATAGTAATTATTGAACATGATTATGTTTTGTTTTAAATGAAAGTTCTGTAGATAAAATAACTACACACAAACTATTCCATTTGTATGACCAATTTCCTTCAGAAAACATGAATAAAATAGTTGAAATCGACGAACTATTTGTTTGGTTTCCAAGGAGAAAAAAGTGGGCAGAGTCTAACTGTCTTGGCAGCTGTTCCCGGAATTCAACAGAATGGAACATCACTTTCACTTTCGTATTTAATTACTTGGAAATGGTGAAACTGAAAGTGTTTTACTTGATTATTTTTTAAAGTAAAAATTGTAAATGAAAGGATAATCAAGGCTCCTGGACCAGATAAGGGTCCCTTAACCTGACAAGGGTCTATGGACCCATCAATGTTCCTGGACCAGATAAGGGTCCCTGAACCTGACAAGGATCTATGGACCTGTCAAGGTTACTGGACCAGATAAGGATCCCCAAAGTAGACAAGTGTCTACAAGACCAGACATGGGTTCCTGGAGCATATAAGGGTCCCCAATACAGACAAGGGTCCACAAGACCAGACATTGGTCCCTGGACCATTGACAAGTGTCCCAGGAACATACTACATACCTTGTGGACAGCTTGTTTCATCACTGTGATCCTCACATTCAGCTACACCGTTACACTTCCACTCCTCAAATATACACTTTCCAATGTTACAGCGGAACTTGTCTTGTTCACACTTCTGGGTGTACAGTGGACCTAACATCATAAAGAGACAGATTATTACCTAACATCATAAAGAGACAGATCATTACCAAACATCATAAAGAGACAGATCATTACCAAACATCATAAAGAGACAGATCATTACCAAACATCATAAAGAGACAGATCATTACCAAATATCATAAAGAGACAGATCATTACCAAACATCATAAAGAGACAGATCATTACCAAACATCATAAAGAGACAGATCATTACCTGACATCAACACATAACAGTAATACATTAACTAGTTGTCTCCTTTATATAACTGTATATCAAAGAAATGTCAATAATTTAAGACAGAAAATAGTTTATGATTTTCAACTAAATCAAAACTTCAGATAACTGACAATTTTCCACTTACTTAGATTAAGTTATGAAATCTCATTAGTTTACTAGATTGATATTAAATTGGCATGATATTTTTTCCCTAAATATAACATTAAATATCATTCTGCTAAAATAGTGAGAGAAAACAAAAGATGTGAAGCTTCAATAATTTGTAACCAATTCAGTCAACGTTTTTTTTTATAATTTAACAGAAGAGGTGAAATATCAATAATTTGTCACTGATTCCATGAGAAATTCAATAACCTGCTACTACACTTAGTACAATATAATACATATAATTCATTTATATCACAATTTTCCATTGATTCAGTAATGAACATGAATTATTTAATTACAGGTCACTAAGATTTAACATCAGTCATTTTCTAATATCTGACATTCATCATTACATGACTATAAACTATATGAAATTTGAGCATCCACTGAAGAAATAGCACACATGTATTAATCTTTAACAGCAAAATCCAAGATGGTCACCTATCAGCCAATTTTATTTTCCTTATCAGTCCCAAAATCAGATGTGCACAACATTGAACCAAGGACAGCCTACATATGAAATTTGAGACAAACTTTCATGGTTGAAATTCAAGATGGTTTTCTGTCAGTCATTTTTTTTAACCAGCCCCAAAATCAAATGGGCATAACTAGGGACCAAGAGGAACCTACATAGGAAATTTGAGAAAGATCCATGTGGGGCTTTCCAAGAAATTTGCGACAAGAAACTTTCATTGTTGAAATCCAAGCAGGCCATCTGTTGTCTATTTTATTTTTCTGATCAGTCCTAGAATCAAACAGGCCCAACTAGGGACCAAGGGTAACCAACATATGAAATTGAAGAGCGATCCATACAGTACTTCAAAAGAAATAGCGATAGCAAAAATTGTTCTTGGACTAACAGACGGAGAGACCATGGACCATCAGATGGTGGTATAAAAATAGAAAATTAATCCTTAAATGGTTTGACACAAATTGTTTATAAGTAGTCAGTACATAGACAATACTACTCAATTTGTATCTAACAAATTAAAAAATTCATGCAAATATACAATCAGACTTACCCATGATATACATAAGCTCAAAACCAGCTCCTGTTGTCATATAGTCAGAGTTGAAATGTATTCGAACATGCTTTGTTTTAGAAATATAAACCCTCGGGATGCTGCTTATATTACCACATATTCTCATCTTAGGGTCTGGACCAATCTCCAGGAAATCACGATCACAGGATCCCAGTACACCAGTCTCGACATCAAACATCTTAAAACTGAAATTCACAGCAATGGAACATCAAAGATTAATTATAAAAGAGTGATGGCACAAAAGATCAACAGATCATTCCTGAATTGACAGGAGTGGATCCCTGTTATGTAAATTATTCATTCTCAGTGAAACAAGGATATGACTGCGACACTGTAGGGTAAACAAACCTGATTGTAATGATGTCATTGGCGTTGCCAGTGATGAACCAGTCCTTACAGAAGTTGGTAGGGTAGGGTGCTGGGTAGTCAGGACTGGTGATAGTTCCATGGCTCTTGTTGTACTCCTCACTCTTACAGCTGTCTGAGAACAACAACAGCCACAAAGATTATCATGGACTTTCTCACATGCTGAATACAATCACATTTCACAGTCATGTGTAACAAAAAGCTAAAAAGTATCAACTACCTGTTATCTTAAACTGAAACAACAATTCAAATATCAAATAATTCACTCTACCTATATAATTACCTCTTACTGTATAACTGTAGTTACAAATGTATAATCTATCACATCACCACTAGGTAATCTCTATGACAAGGTGTTATTTCTGACATAATGCTTGCAGCCACCCAAGGTGCCTTTTAACATAATTAGTACAGATGGAGCGGCCATACATAAGGAACCTTCTGCACGACAAACAGTAATTTAGCAAATGATTGTATTGTGAAGACTAAGAGTAGTTCCCGTTTACAGTGATCTGTATACTTCTACATCTGTAAGTAATCTTTCAGTTATCATTTTCCTGAAACCTTGTGACCATTATATGCTACCAGATATTGTGATTACTGTGTAGAGCATCCATATTATAATTGTGTCTTAATTAACAAAAGTCTTCAGATAACAAATAAAACAAAATGTTTCTTTCATTGACAGTGTATATATAAGGGTCTTTTTCATAAACCTCTGTTTATGAGATAAAATGCTTTGAAAGGGATCATGTCCTGAAATTCAACCCATCAACATAGCTCTTCCGACCATGTGCACACCCAAACAAATTTAATAATATCATCAATTAACATCAGCAAAGTCCAATAACCAATTGTACCCTAGAGGGATTTCTGTTGGTGTTGGATTGATGAGATATAAAGTAATGAATCAGGTCAATGTTGTTGTCTATACTTACTTGTTGACTGTGATGTTGACCTCGTACATGAATCCATCATAATCACAAGGGAAAACACACTGAAAGCTGCAAATAAAGCAGTGGTGAATTTTCTTTCTATCTATAAAACTGTTTTGTAGATACAATGGGGTCTAGTTTCGGTATAGCAACTGTATATACTTGTGATCCGTACTAGGTCTCATCTACTTATGTCAGACATATCGATCTGAGAAATGAGAAACATTCACATGTAAAAGTGCTAAAAATGCTTGTATTAATCACGCGCAATCATTTTCTACAGAAAAGAAAAACTGATTAAAATTAATTTGGCAATGCTTACAAAATAATCATTATTACCTGTCAATTCGAAGTTTTTCATCGTCATTGTAAAATTGTTTGCTCGTCAACAAGAAGGCATCACTAGCAACACATCACTATAAGCACTATCGCCAGGTTCGCCAACAATGCTAGTGGACCTCGTGATTTTGTTATTGTTTATAACAATGTTGACAGCAGGTGCTCGTTTTGACAACCTGGCGACGAATCACCTTTCAGAGTTCGACGTTGTCCTGTCGGACAGCTACACGGAAACTTGTGTTTCCATTCCAGTTTCTTCTGAGCAAATTCCCTTAATATCCACTCGACGACAACGTGTTATCTAGATTCTTTTCTGGAAGGACTAGTAGGGTTGGTGTGTCCTCCATGGTGAACTTCCGTGTTAAACGTCCAAGTTCCGGAGTGCCTAAATATGCACCGGCTAACGGTATCCGGAATGTTATATTTAATAGTAAGGGTCTAGACACTACATGTCAGATAACAATGCAGTGATGTTCATGCGATGAACAACAGTAAAATTTTATATAACAAAACGGCATCTCAGCAAATAAGCATAACCATGATATCAAATAATTTAGAAATCCTGAAACAGTTATTAAAAACACAAGTGGTACAAGAAGGAAGTTAAGCACTATAACTGCGTAATTGCGCTTCTTCGGATGAACCCGACGGGTAAAACGGGTTTTATTCTACCATGGCACTGGTCCACAGGAACGTGCTTTCCCTGTTATTTTACAAAAGTACAGTAAACGAGAAAACTGGTAGTATGTTACATAGAAGCATGGAGTTATAGATTCGCTTATGCTGTGAGTTTGGATTTTTTTTTCACTTCTACAATCATAAAAAGAAATCAGTTTGTATCATAACTTACAAAGTGTTACGCCATTCAACTCCTGAAGCAAATTATTACTCGAAGCTCACAAAGAAAAGTAGCTCTACACCTAACTAGGCTACGTTTAATGGCCAGGACTTTCACAGAAATTTGAAAAAAATACAATGTGCCAAATATGACTTCCTAACGTACAGTGTTCTTGTTTGAAGAAAATTTCATCAGATCGCATTATATCAATAGTTTTCGTGTGGCGTGTACCGCTCAGTCCCCAAATCAATATTCGATCTTAGACTATGGTGCAAATACAATAATGCAGTGTACTGTGTACATAGGTTTAGTAACGACAGACAACCATTTCAGAAATCAATGAAGCAACAGCTTATTATTAATTTTCCGAAGATCTTATGAAAAGATTTAAATTCATTGTCGTCCAATACTTTTATTTTTCTTCAAACAAGCATTTTTATTGGTTTTAAACTGGTTACGTTACCTAGCAACGACTGCGTAATAATTTCATATCGGAAAGTGTGACAGTCTGCTAAAGAAAGTCAAAATCTGGCAGTGTGTTTGTGTTAAATCAAATTAGACCTACATATACGTGGGTACGGTATGTAATTTTATAATTTTATTCATTTTCATATTTGGAAGCACTGCACAAAAACGCAGCAATGGACCCGATTTGCTTATCTGATCTGAAGATGACGAAGAGAAAAGTCTATTCATATGTAACAGAGGTCTGAGGAAAGTCGTTTTAACATTTAATCCTTTTTCCTCTGAACGAAATATCTTATCACTGATGTGAAAAAGAATTTCACTTCAGTGAAAAAAACATAGTGCAAACAATTACTTTAACTTAAGGTAAAAATAATTTCACTTCAGAAATAAAACAAAATTCAAATTGAAGTTTACTTCCCTTAAGGCAAATAGAACTTTAAAAAAATATTTTGTGTAGACATAATGCTAAATTATTTTCACTTCAGGGAAATTACTTTCGCCTTTAGGTAAATATGGTCAATGCAATCTGGGTGTTTCTTATCCACCCCTTTGTATTAATGGGCAGATCAGTCAACATGTCTACTGCGTTATGATTTATTCTCTTACTAGTAGAGATAAGCTTATGTACATGATTTTATTTTATTCAGTGAAAAAATGTTGTATTTCCATTATGTGTTTTTTACCTAAGCGAAGAAAGATGTTTATTTCCATATGTGTTTTTTACGTAAACGACGAAAGTTTTTCATTTCCATATGTGTTTTTTTCACTAAATGATTTTGTTTCTTTCCATTATGTGTTTTTTTTCACTTCAGTAATTTTTTCTTTTCCATTAAGTTTTCTTTCACTGAAATGAAAAAGATTTTTATTTCCATTTTGTATTAGGGCTCTTTCTGGAGAGATATTAAACACCAAATGATTTGTCGATGGATGGGCTAGACCAAATCTATTGAAGAGGTTGGGAGACACCTAACTGTTTGTTTAATTTCACTAAAATGAAGAAGATTTTCACTGAAGTAAAATAATTAAACCTACAAAATTTATTACACTTAAGCGAAATTCATTTTCACCTATGTGAAATAAAACATAATGCAAAATGAAGATTGGTGACCTTAAGGCAAAATGAATTTTCACTTAAGTGAAATAGATGTAATGTACATTTCACCTTAAGGGGAAACAGGATTCGATGTTAAAACGGCTTGCCATAGAGGCCATTGTTTTATTTTAATGCTTCCATTAGGATCTGAACCAAGGACCTCTGGCTTACTAGCCTAACGTTCAACCAATCGAGCTAAAAAAAAAAGTTCTTTCTAGCAAGCTGAACGTTATTTTGCGGCTAAAACGCATGCAACAAGCCAAATAAACTAGCTCTTGGTGACACAAGAGAAACTACCTAGAGATCTGATCATTGTGACATTGAAACAGAATTGATATCCCTTCTTCAGAATCGGTCATTGATTTTTATTCACATTTGAATCTTGTGATATTTAATTAAGACAAGGTTTACCATTAGGAACCAATTGAATAGCCATTTATCAAGTACACTACTCGCCAAATACCGCTATGCCTCTTGGCTGTTTAGAAGAAATCGTTCAAACATTCTAAAACATCATCATTTCACTTATTTAAATGAATATGCCTTTTCAGCCTGAAGAGTTATATTTTACCACATGTATAAATAGGAAAATTCCTGTTGTCTTTCCCATTTAGCTACAGAAATAATTTATATGCGAGTTATCTCCCCTGTATAGGCCCTGGATACATGTAAACAACATGTACGTGCATGCAAGGTTAATTTATGCCACGGAGATAGACATGGGGTTCGGTATGTCAGGGTAACGTCATAGTGTCTTACAATGGTAAGTACAGTATTTTACACGTAGAGCCACCTTGATTGTTAAGGCTCTAATGATGTTAGTAGATATCACATATGAAATTAGTGTGATGTAGCTTACGGCCCCGCCCCCTCCCATAGCTCTACTGTGCTCGGAAACGAAGCTGTACAAACTCATCCAGATGCTATAATATACGTAATTCGTTGCGGTTTCCACATAACAATACTACATACTATGAAATCGTTATACAAGATCATTTATTAGAACAACAGAAATATTTGCACGGAGTCCTCGTGCTATGTTGTGCACTAATCGATATCATCAGCTTTGTAAGTAAGGAAACGTTTTGATTCTCGTTACTCCGGAAAGGTAGCCAATCTTACACCGGTCCAACCCGAGCCTTGGGTCGGCGCCAGACATGGCGTTGAGATAAGGCAATGTGTCAGGCTATGCTGGCTCCTACTATGAATCAATATAATTATAACCAACTAGTCATTTAGGTTAGACAAAGTGTGATTGGTCATTATATAATAAAATGTTAAATGGTTTTGTTTGATTCTCATTAAGTGAATGCAAAGCCAAAGGTAAAAAATTCTCTGATTAGATGCTTTCTTTCGAATGTTTAAACATCTAAAGAGCGACATTGTTATAATGAAAATCGTATTTGATGCACGGGTCACAATCCACTTTTTTGGCGGACAAAATTAAGTTTAAACACATATCAATTAATGGAAATAAAAATGTCCATATTCAGGGTCTATTGAGCGAAGCTTGATTTACAGGAAGACACCGACCAAAGCAAACGTAATCAAAACATTAATTAGCTAAAGTAATGATACACAGATAAGCTTACTCTAGCGTACATCCTTTTTATCGATGAACAGGTTCTTTAAAGTTCCATGAAAATAGGTAGCACCGGACGCTCATTGTAAGATTTCAAAGTTCAGGATTTTTATTAGCACTTTGACACCAAAGTGTGGTACATACAATCAAATCAGAGCATCGGCCTATACAGTGTCAGGTGAATATTATCATACTAATGGGGCAGGTTGTGGTTCTCATGGAGTTAAGATCATGTGCCGGCTTCAGCTGTAGCAGTTTTGTACTTGGACAAGACACTTGACTTTAGAAATGTTATCATGCGACGGACCTCCAGCATGCTGTTCAACGAGGTAGACAAGGAGATCCATTAAATAAAATCATAACGTTTCTTCAAAGGCGTTAAAGCAAGCAAACCATGATTTTGGTATCGTGGATGGTACATCATATGGGACGGGGTCTGACGCTCAACAGGGACACAATTTAGATCGTTTTTCCAATTCTATCATGGTCTTAATTTTTTCATTTAATACCATGGACACAACATCAATTCCTAACACACAGTAATTTCTTTTTATTTATTTATTATCATTTTTTGTAAACATGCGTCACCAGTTACACATAGGGGAAAAAGAAAAGAAAAAGAAAAAGATACGCCCCAGCTTTTCCACACGTTTCTTTCTGTTTTAAGCAATATTCTATAAATTAATTATTTCTGTTTTGTAGGAGAAGTCTTGTAGGAATCCCACACATGTGGTGGACATTTTAGATGGTCTATTTCGGCTGTGGAAAGAACAACGTTACACTGACGTCACATTGAGTGACGGTAAAAGTTCCTCTCAAGCTCACAAGATATTAGTGGACGCATTTATGCCGCACATAGGCATGACATGCAGGACACAATCAGTTGTCAGACTAGCCGAACTTCCTAAATCTATTGACGTAATTCTCTCCTGGCTGTATTCCTTAACGGATATTACGTTAGACATACTGAAACTCGAAATGAAGCCTGTAGCTTCTGTTCTGAAAATAGGTTTTATTACTAGTCATAAAGAAAAAATCGTCAAAGATAAGATTACATCGATAACTCAACTGAAGCAATCATGGATAAAGCAATTTTCTACAAAACTTAGACAGTGCTATAAAGAAGGTACCTTTAGTGACGTAATTCTGAAGGTTGAAGGCCAAGCTTTCCGGTGCCATAAAGCCATTCTTGCTTCGGTTTCTCCGTTTTTCGATACCATGTTTCTATCTGGAATGCGTGAAACTGGCGCCGAGGAAATTGATTTACACGGGGTGAATATATCGGACTTCATAAGTATTCTTAATGCTCTATATCTGGGAGAGGAATGTGTTACAGTGACGAATGTTGAAAGACTCATTTCAACGTGTTCTTATTTTCAGCTTAATAGACTACAGGAGCAATGCGAGAGATTTCTTATCAGAAACGCCGACCCAGAAAATATCCTCGGTGTGTTGAGGCTGGCTGAAATGAATAGCATTTTGTCTTTACGAGAGAGTGCTTTGTCGTATATCGTCCATAACTTCCATGAAGTTATCACGAGTAAAGAATATCCCACACTATCCAGAGATCAGTTACTAGAGTGTATGAAGGACGACGATTTAGACGTGGTGGACGAAACGGAAGCATTTGAAGCCACGATAAAGTGGTTTTCATCGGCCAATCGACCAACTGAGGACCTTGTAACTCTCTTACAGGATGTGAGTCTACTTGACGTCAGACCGTCAGCCATCAAGGCAGCTATCTCTAACGAAAACCTGCCACAAGATTCCCGTCATCTCCTGCAAAGTGTCGTCGCAAAATTTGACAAAGAAAACGTACCTCCTGGAAGATTGCGCAATGAACAGGCATTATTGGTAGTTAGAGCAAGTGGCCAGGAAAGTGGCATACATGTGGCATGTTTTAGTTTCAAAACAAAGCAATGGTTTCAGTTGGCCTCAATATCAAACTATGCTCCCGGTAGTGCTTTTGCCGCATGTTCACTTGGACAATTTATATACCTGACTGGTGGTTCCGGGAATCCGTGTGTGTTTTTCGAATATAATATAAGCGAAAATAAGTGGACCTCTTTGCCTAAGTTCAAAGAACCAAGATCGGAGCATGTTGCCGTAGCGACGTCTGATTATGTGTATGTTCTCGGAGGAAGAAACCAGGTACATAGCGTCATATCCGGCATAGAGAGGTACAACCTAGGGACACGTTCGTGGCGTCATTGCGGGGTCTTGGCGTTGCCAGTCTCTGACGCATCTGCCGCAGTAGTAGGGCCAAACATTCTTGTGTGCGGTGGGTCACTTTCTTTTGGCGAATATACCGACGCAGTTCAATGTTTTGACACAGATAGACAAACATGTTCTGTAATAGCCACCCTTCCAATGCAATGTAGCTTTACTGATATAGCATTGCACGAGCGTGTTCTATATATAGTAAGTCCTCGAGGTCATGTGATGGAATATGAGTACGGTAGGGACCCCATGTTACTTGGGAAAGCTCACACTTCTTCGTTCATGGATTTCTCTTGTGTTTACTTCAGAGGATTGCTGTACATCGTTGGCGGCACATCGAGCAAGTCAGAATCCGCGGAAATGAAGGCATTCGAGGTACACACTCAGAAACAAGACTCTCGAAAAAACGTGAATTTGCCATGGAAACGACTATCAAACCAATACTATAGTATTATAAGAGGAGTATGCAAGAAGTATATGTGTGAAGAAATAAAGACTGTGGTGTAGATAAACAACACGGTATACCTATTAGTCAACAGACAGGTGCCTCCCTTACTGGGCATCAACATTATTTCCAAAGGTGTTCCTACATAACGATTCATTTTAGCATCGTTGCTAATATGTCACTAATTGACGTGTTCAAATCTCTTGGGAGGTGGAATGAATGTGCATATACCCAAAGAACATTATTATTTTGTGTTTGGCAAGCTTGCACAAACATGTATGTAAAGAAGCAACATATCAAAACACTTAACATTTGAATTTCCAGAAAGTTGAAAAGGCAATTAGAAAGTCTTCGGACGTTGTATACGTAGAAAATAGCATTGAATTAAATTTTAAACCCAGTGACTCAAGCTTCATCCAACCACTGTAGAGGCAACGACATTGCCAAAGCTCTGGACTCATCAAAGAAGACTGAGCAATTTTAATAACATGAAGCTTTTCGGTCATGTCTGGCATCAAGTCTTCTGTTAATTTCTATACACCTCGTTACCTGTTTCCATGCCTTCAACACAGTCAATGCCGCTCCGTCAAAATTTTACATGTGATACGATGACGTAACTGGTGACTTGGGTAAACATTTTTACGTGACTGTGAAATTTCTCGACGTGAACACTTATGACATATGATTCCATGTCCATATGAGGGGGTCAGAGGGGCAACCTTAAACAACTTTTTAAAAAATGTAGTTGTGAATGGGGCCCTAGCTGTTTACCATGTTGGACCCAAAGGCTCCGTTCTTGGTCGTGTGCTGTTGTATATTCAAGATGTCGTGATGGACACAATTTCTAACGTCACTTTGCAAATTATTATACATAGTAAACTATTCAATTTATGCACATGCTAAGCATATTGTATATGTTAGTGATAATAAAATGAAAAGTATCGCCCAATTAGGAAAAGTAACAGGTGCCCTCTTTCATAAAAATGAACCGAAACGGAAAAAACAAACTCAATAATTACAAGTTTTACAAGGAAGCCATTTGGTTCGGTTTATTTAAACGCCGACAAAATCGAAAGTTTATCAAGCTTTTAATACCTGTCAAATAAAAAACATGACGGTATCTGTATGTCAAGGATGTGATTGTAATAGCACTTATGTACCAACTTTACAGCTAATTAAGATAATACATCATTTTGACCAATCAGAAATCTCCACTTTGTTTCTATAGAAACTGTTCAGGAAACTAAAGCCAAAGAAATGTACCAAAAAGATGTAAACAAAACGGGCAATGCTCTTTCAAACATTAATGAATCAAACTGCTGTGTTTAAAGACACCATTTCAATTTGTTGGAAAAGCAAGCTACAAGCCTATCAAGAACCTTGGACTTTCAGTTATTGAGAAGTTGCTTAAGCATTTCAACACATTTGACCCCTGTGACCTTGAATGTTAGTCTAATATCAACATCCTATGCCTTTTTGGTTATTGAAAAGAAATCATATAAATATTTAAACAGATTTTACATTGTGACTTTGGGTGGGTCAAGGTCATTCATGTTAAGAAACTTGGTAGCCTTACATCCTAACATGTCATTTACCCAATATCAGTAATGTGGGCTTTTTGGTTATGAAGAAGAAGTCATTAAAAGCAGATCTTGGTCATTCATATAAAGTAGGGGTCGAATCAACTTTCTATGATGTTTTAGACCAAATTTGGTTGAAATCCATTCAAGCATTAAGAAAGAGAAGCAAAATCTTGTCTGACTTCCCCATTTGGGGCCCCACTCCTAAGTGTCAAATCAACTTTCTGACTCTAAGAAATGATTTGCCACTCTCAATGATGTTTTACACCAAATTTGGTTGAAATCAATTTAAGCATTAAGAAAATACAGCATTTGAAGCAAAATATTGACTACCTTTCCCATTTGGGGCTCCCCCACCCCCATCACCAGGATGAATTTACCAAATGATTCCCCACTATCCATCATGTTTCAGACCAAATTTTATTAAAACCCATTGAAGCATTAAGGAAGAGTAGCATTTTTAAGCAATATATTGTTTAACTTCCCATTTTGGAGCCCCACCCCAAAGTCTGTAGGGGTTGAATCAACTTTCTGAATATAAAAAAAAAAGATTTCCCACTTTCAATGATGTTTAAAACCAAATGTGTTTAAAATCACTTCAAGCCTTAAAACGGAGTAGCATTTTGAAGCAATATATTGCCTAATTTCCATTTTGGAGTCTCGCCCCCAAGTCCCTAGGGGTCGAATCAAATTTCTGGATTTATGAAATAATTGCCTATCCTAACTGATAAATCAGGCCAAAGCTTGTTGAAATCAATCCAGGCGGAAAGGGGGAGTAGAGTTTTATAGCTAATTTCAGCACCTCCCCCTTTGGGGCCCCAACACTCGACACCTAGGTGTCAAACCGAAATTCTGAAGTTTAGCAAGGATAATCCTAATGATGGATTTGACCAAATTTAGTCGAAATCCACTGCAGTTTGAAAGAGGAGAAGGGTTTTAAGGAAAAAGTTTACACATGACCCACGGCACATGAAGGAAGACCACGGCTACAATGGTACAATGGCTATAGGTCATCTTCAGGTCAGATGACCTTACAAACACCCAGAAACTTCCAAAATGCAGTCAAATCAAACTGCTGTGCTGGAAAACATAATTTGATGTCATGGTTATTAAGCTTTAAAAGGCTGGTTGAAAACTCTCCAGATGAATTTTATGTTCATGCTCAATGGACAGACAATGCCATACCATAATAATCACCTCATCAAATATTTTGACAGGCACAGAGTATAAAGCCCAGATGGAATGACATCTACATATGTCCTGTGTAGTTTCATTTAAATTGGTTCATAATTTAAAGAGTTGTATTGACAAACTTCACTACAGACAAACCCAATTTCTGTGCAGGATATTTGCAATACCAACGAGAGAGACCTTAAAGAGAAGACAGTACAATGAATCAGAAATTATAAGTCATGCATACAATAATATAGAACAAATCTATGACCTACAATGACCAAAGGACCTGCATAGAGGGACACTGTGATCGTAGAATCAACAAAGTTGATTGGCATTTAGATGTACTCTAGAACAATTTTCATAGCAGACTTTTATAAACTTGACTCAACACACTTTTTGTTGCTTTCAAATTTTTCATTTGCGAGTATACACCTGTACAATGCTTTTGAAAAGGATTAATTTTCAGGAAGCTTGCGAAATTTGTTTTTAAATCCAAACCTCAATTTAAAATCAATTCACTCTTCATACGCTGACAAAGTACTTGACATCTTGGCAATGACAAATATATCACTTGATTAGATTAATAATCACTTGTTGAAATTTAACCCTACCCAGATAAGGGCTGTGTTGAGAAGAATGTTGAAATAATAATCATTCGCTAACTTGGGAAGTATCAGCAGAAAAGGACTTATTTTTATAAAAGAAAAGTTTGTGCAGTGTCCTTGGGTCATTTAGGTCACATGTTGCATACCAAAATGGAGTAATAAACAGTCATACATATTTGATAATAAACAGTCATACACATTTGAGGTGATGAATATGGGAATTTTATTGACTTAAATGATCATATAACATGAACTTAAATTAGATATACTATATAAAATCACTATTAGGGTGTTTCTGTCAACACAACACTTAACACTGGAAGGGCATTATCATACACAAATGAACAAAATAACAAAACTGAATGAAGAGGAAAACAAGGAAATTGTTTGTGCTATGTAATAGAGGATGGTATCGTTGGTTTACATACCTAGATAGCCTCCTCATTCTGTACTTTGTGGGGTTCCTTACCAAGTGACTTGATATAAGGGGATCACAGACCACGAGGCCCCATAATGTGTGGAATTTACCAACAATGTAACCCTAATTTGTGGTGGTTCACTGGCCTCACATCACCTTAACATAAGGTGTTATGAGCCTGATTGTGAAGTTCACTAGTATCGGACCCTTGCTTATGTTAAAGGAGCGTTACTGGCCAGGCCTTTGTTCACTAACCTTCTAGCCCATTGTGGAGTGTTAATTGGCTTATGGTTGCACGTGTTTTAGATTTTTCAAGAAACGGTAACGTATAATGTTTTTGCAGTCCTATATTCAATAAGGTTCACTAGCCTTGTGTGGGGTTTACTAACCTCACTTGTACTTAGGGCAAGAGCCAGAGGGTTTGATAAATTCCTAAATCTAAGAATATACCTTTATTCTAGCATGTATTAGAAACTAAATCATATCAATTTCTGATATTTTCACTAAAAAAATCTTGTCTTCCATTACACCTACGTTTTCAACTTAAAAGTGAAATTAATGATTATATTGTTTCCATATAAAAAATGTAGATAAATCTGTATTTGTACTTGTTTCTTAAAATTTTGTCCACGAAAAGAAGTGGTCCCAAATACTTTTTGTTTTGTTTATTTTTTTGTTTTTTTTTTATATTCTTTTTGTTTTTTTGATGTTGAACATCCTTCAGAGTTCTAGAAAAATATGATCACACATCTGCTTGCACATAGTATACAATAAAAACCTATGAAATTTATCAGGTCCAAATATTGAGTCTTATTGCAAGTGAAATTGGCTAGTTCTTAAAAGTATGGCAAAAAGGAAATCTACTATGACTTTTATCTTCCTAGTGTGACAGCCAAATGACATATTAACAACTCTGGTTTGATAGGAGTTTAGGATACTAAATGCATTCCTTTATAAGGTCACAAGATAAAAGACAGAAACACAAGGAACTGAATTTACTACATCTTTTTTTTCATTTGAAGAGATTGAAACATGGTATTGTGTTACATGATCTTCCTGTAGAAGGAAAATAAACGCTAACATGCAAAACAACTTCTATTTAACAAGTTTTATTTCAGGCAATTTCTCAACAAATGTGTGAGACACCGTTTTATTCTATATTCTTGTATAGTAGACATTGATTTCATCAAAGTTTAATTATTGTTCTAATCTTTTTACCAGCAAATAATAATTAAAAAAATTTAAAAAAAAAACAAAAAAACAAAAAAAAAACCCACACAAAACAGAAAACAGAGCTGTATTCTATGGCCATCCTTCTTATTGAACATATGATATGATCTATTTAAAGGTAAGTATTAAAATACATAAATGAGCACTAATTTAAATCATCTATTCCACTCAAGTATAATTATTATATGTATCATAATGTCCAACCCACGATTTCTACCCTCCACTTCAACACTAACTATTCAAAACTCCATACAATCATGCACTTTCATCTCATAGACATGTAAAATGTGGATAATTATAACATATATTGCAGTATTTTAGCACATATCAAATTGACTACATACATTATGGTACTAGCTTTAATATCTGTTTCATATGAGGTCTCCTTTAAAAACTCTTGACACATTTAACACTACAGCTATTTACTTAGCTATAGCATTCACACTTATGTTAATTGCACAAAGTCAAGTGTAAATGAAAACACACAAGGGGGGTACATGTTTATCCCAGTTCAGATTGAATCCTATCTTTCCTCCAATTACAAACATTAGCCACTGGAACTCAAAGAAATTGGCACTATATTACCAAATAGAAAGCTCATGAATTCATTTACCATTAATACATGAAGTAATCACATTCTTTTTTAGAGTAGTACATATAAATAAGTTGCATTGTATATGAGAAAACCAAAGTGCAGTGACAATCAGTACTGGGATTTGAACAAATGATTACAAATACAAGTAATGTGACTCAAGACATGGAAGTGGGAGGATAACCAACATTTAAACCCATGCAAGGAGTGGAAGGATCACCAACAGTTACTCTCTGTAAGGATCCAAGGATCACCAACAGTTACTCCTTGTCAGGAGTGGAAGGATCACAATCCGTTTACCCCTGAAAAGACCTGTAAGGGGTGAAGAAACACCAACAGGAACTCCATGTACAGATTGATAGGATTACCAACATTTACTCCCTGTAAGGAGAGAAATGATCACCTACTATTGCTCCCTGTAAGGAGAAGAAGGATCACAAATAGATTCTCCCTGTAAGAACCATATCAATGGAAAAATGCTGTGCAGAACTCGGGCCTCCATCCATTTCTTTTTGCAGACAGTTACATAACAGTGTTACATAGAAACACTAGCAAGCTTTAACTTAATACCTACATCAGGTTCATAACAAATCCAAATAGCAAAAGAAACAGTTCCATAAGATAGAACAAATATAACATGGGTCAATGTCATACATGTGAAGTTCATGTTGATTGAACCTATTGATAACAATCACTTAAAAAGGAAAAAAAAAATGGAAAAGAAAATCAACAAAGAAGGATCCCTAATTGATGGCAAATAAAAACATTTGCTCTTTAGTGCAATTACTATATGTATCAAGGAGACAATTAATAATATATTTATATATACATACAAGAACATCTCCATGTCACTAACTTCTACTTTCTCAAATGTTACACAAATTAGTGTAGCAAAGCCTTGATTTTGTATCTATATGTATATGATTTACCGGTATAAGTCATTAAGGAAGTCAAATTCTCCGCTCAAGTATTTACAGCAGTAAACCAAGTGTTTATCTTTCATACATATCATATTGAATGGCCAGTTGGTTATGCATGCAATCATTAATCAATAGACTCAGTGCAAACATCACTATTTGCAATAATTAGTACAATTTTGTTTATAGTCCCACAACAGCAGCTGATGATATATATTAAAGTTTGAACAAATTAATGTGTTGATATAAAATACTAGATATATTGCTTAGTACACAGAGTGAAAGGCTTGAAATTTCAAAGTCATCTAGTTTTAAGATGTTTAATAGAAATGTTTTCAAATTTTAAAAAATAAAGATAACAGTTAGCATCAAAAAACTTTATTAAACACTCTGTTGACTCCAGGACTTCAATCATTGGTTTAGTTTCCTGTCTATTTCTTCCTCACAAATATATAACTGAATTCTTTGGTGGTATATGTATACCCTTAAACACAACAGCAAGTCCTGGATTATTATGGATGTTTTACTACCCCTGACCTGATTAAAAGCATACTGGCTGTATGGTGGGAGAGGTAACCAGAGTATCTACAGAAAACATATGTGGTATATAGCAGGTACCATGTACACACATAACATTTCATATCCATCTGCAAGCCTTGATGTCCTGGCAATACAATAGGACCTTTCCTGCCATTACTATTAGCATCATAGAGTGTTTCGAAAATATTTCTTTATTTCTGTATAATACACAGTTAAAAGATTAATTCTATGTACTATAAACAGTTAGCCTATTCAATCCAATACACCTATTTATGAAAACAGATTAAACAAAACCTGATTCCCTTTCTGTCCTTTCTTAACAGCTGCTGTGAGACCATGACAAAAGACATCATCATACCTATCAGGTGCAAGGCGAGAGATGGCTCAACAAATCCAACAAAACACACTATTCATCAAAAGGAGCTACATAAAATTTCTTACATCTTCAAAATATTCTCTGACGAAATAAACAATATGTGCATTGAGTGCAGTTTACATTGTTATGTATTAACCCCTATCTTTACAAAAATGTGATTCTTGGTTGTGTAAAATGATAGTGAAGGAGTTTTTGATAACAATAGTAAAGTGTTTAGGTAAGTGACTGGTATATCATATTCTTCATAAACACTAAAACACAAACAATTTTCACCACTTAGCTGAAAACAGAAACTGACATTTACTAGCTAGTGGGATTTGCAAACAGTAAGACAATCAGTCATGTTACAATGACCCGACCAACATTATCATCATGATCTCCTGTCGGGAGGACAGAAGATAATCTTCTGAAACCTTCATCAAAACATGTTCATACAGCTTGTCTCATTCCTTCTTTGAAAGTCTTGCACATTTTTGTTATTTTACATTAAAAGTCTTTTTAAAAGTTGCTCAGCGTGTTGAGGTTATACTACAGTATTAACTTGCCAATGATAATTCCTATCACAAGTGCAGCAATAAGGTAGACAACTGGGGGAAGGTTCAGGGCCTGAGCTTGGGAGGACGATGACACTGGAGCAGGGGCTGGAGTAGACTTCACCGTGTCCGAAATCGCAACCTTCCGTAGGCGTACCTCATTTTCCTGTGGAAACAACATTTGCTATATTACCACAGAAATTTCATATCAAACAGTAAACAGAAGAAATATTTGACAATGTGATTAGATTACTGTAGACTCAAAACATGAACTCACCTTTAGAGAACTAACTTCATCCCGAAGACTCTGTACCTCCTTTTCCAATCTATGTTTATCTTCCAGAGATTTTCGTAACTCTGCATCTTGACTTGTTGCCTGTAATCAATGCCCCATAAAATATTTTGAGGATACATTATGTACATAAACTATATACATGTATATATACATAAAAATGTAGTCAAGAAATGGACCACTTTAGTTTTGATCAAAAAAAAGTTCAAAACATGTTAAAATTTCCAAGAAATAATAACCTCTAAATCTGACTGTACAGCATCAATATCTGTTCCCTTCAGATCATTCAGGAAAAGTGTCAGCAACATCACAATTAAGAAATGCATGCCAGACTCAGCCAAACTTAACAGTGATAGACAGATGCAGTGTTTTTTACATTGATTTTACAGTAGCCTATGCCTTATTTAATTGGGAAAATAATGTAGGATTTTCAGAAAAATTGGGAAAATATTTTTGAATTTTGTTCTCATTTTAAGAAAATAACACCAATTTTGACAGCCTTTTCTACTGTAAAATAGGGCTGAAAAAATCTCTGAGATGGGCAAAAGGCAACATTTTATGCTTCTGACCACTATGTGACTTACAAAAAGCAATGATTTTTACATCGAAAGCTAAAGGTCAAATGAGGTAAAGATGATCATAAGATGAAAAGGAACATGAACTGGTAGTTAATTGCCATAGACCAAGTGTTGTGTGTATGATGGACCGATAAGCCATAAGTAGCCATGTGCTACACACAGATGACTTTCTACTGTGTAGGTGTGGACAGATTTTGTCATTAGACATGCTGATGTTTTGACAAATTTTAGATTTGTGACAAGGAATGACTTTTCCCTTCCTTTACAATTGAAGGGACTAAAGAATCCCTTCGACTCAATCGCAATTTCAACTAAAATTACAAATATATATAGAAAGAAAAAAATCAGGCCTTTGAAATTATTTCGACTCGAACAGAATTTTAACTCAAGTGATTTTGAGACAACAAGTTTCAATGGTTTTATAGATTAAGCAGGACTATAAAAACCAGACACTTTCTCAACATGATATTTTCAGAGTTGGTGTAAAAATGTAGATGTTCTCAAGTTCAATATACAATTAAAAATACCAAGTAGCTGTAACCGTCTTGGATAAAATGTATTATGTATAGATTACTTTGGTTGGTGGAGAGCTCTCTAGCTGAACTTGTTTAACAGGTTTTGTTGGCTTCTCTTCAGATTCTTTATTCACCTGTAAAGGAAATTTTAGTGTATAATGTTCCAAGACATAACAAAATGTGTGTCTGATTACAGTAAGGTCATTCAAGTTCTTTTAAAAGACATTTTTCAGCTACCATCAAGAAAAAAAATCAAGCATGTTAGTAAATACTTTATATCTCACAAGTTAATTATTTCCATCAAATTACCAGACCTAGATCACACTAGACATATTGTACAAATTTACTGATACTGAAAGTGACTACATTTTATTCAAATCATGTAAATAGTGAGACATCATCATGAATACAAATTAGCTATTCATAACATGGATTCCATATTTCATGGTTCAGTGACTGAAAGAAAAATCATTCGACCATGTAATGGAGGAAGTATTTTTCAGTACTCCAGTACACTTTATCAAAAGACAACTCAACTACTTGTCATACATGACACAATGATATTTAAGACCTATTTTAATGAATGTATAAAGATCAGTTATCAACTTACACCTGATGAGGGAGAAATGTGACTGTTGTCAACCGGCAGTTCAAACACACACTTCAATTTAGAGTCCATTAGATTTTCTGGAGTAACCTCCTTCCACTGTTGAATAAAAACAAACATTTCATAAGGTGAAACAATAGTATTTTACATAATGAAACTGTTTATGAAAGTAAGAAAAGAACCCCTTAAAGTTTCTTTTGACCTATTAAAGTGTGCATTTCTGGCATGTTTATAAAGCTATAGATGAAATATTATAAAAAAAAAAAAAAAAAAAAAGGAAGGGCCTTGGAAACAGGACAAACCTATCACACAACTAATGAAATTCCAGAAAGACTTGCTCAGTACTGCTTTAGAATAAATAGTAAGTGGATTAATCACTCAATCTAAATTAAATTGGCCAAAACCAACATTCTCAGACAATTGCTGTAATTTTAAGCCTATGTAAGACCAAATATCCAAAATTGTAGACAAAAAAGAGCACACAAATAAAATTTGGCTACTGAGAGATCTTTTTGAGAAAAAAAAAACCCAAAAAAACAAAGCATCAAAACAATTCAATAGTACTGTTTCACATTTACTTCTCATCATTGATCATATTGCATATAAACATGGACACCTTCTCAACAATAATTTGTAAATTTATAAATTAATATCAGCACTGCATCTGGGATTCCAAATAAAAGTATTTTTGTATGAAATACTTAGATTTTTTTTCCAAGCCACCAAACCATAACCAGTTACCCATATGTTATAAGTGTATGTTATAAGTGTTTCTAAAGTGTTACATAGTTTTGATTGATGCTCCTGGATTTTAACTGATGGCACTCTTGGATACTCACACTTCAGACAACATATGAAATTCAATAGGTTATCTGTTTTGTTTTGTACAAAAATAGATAATGCCACTATGGTAGTTAGTCAATTTGAAATGCAAAGTGTCACCTACATCTAGACATCCAATATCTGGTGATAGCCCTTGAAAATCAATGGTGACAGCATTCTATAGGGTCATCAAGGAAAATGATTACAGCAACTGTATGTTCAGTGCCCGTAAAGTGTTGTGGTACTCAATCAATCCCTCCCATTTGCGGACATTGTTGAAAGGGCGGTTATGTTTAATAACATAAATACAATGATTACTGTCTTTGGGTTTGTATTACTAATTGCAACACCATATATCTGTATGTGGGTTATGTTCATGTCATGCTTGAACATTATTTTGACATTATCAAATCCAAAAATTGATTTCAAAGTTTTTAAACATCGATCAAAAAGAATGAATTATCAGGCGATTCCATCATTTTTTACAATTTTAGAAGGTCATGATACGGCCAATATCAAGGTTGGCTATTAGGTGTGGCTTTTGAGGCCATAAAAGCTATCACGATAGTAAAATTACCATTGTGATACTATCATGATGACAAGAAATAAGCCTTAGTTTTACAATAAATCTAGTATAATTCCTCTTTATTTCTATTTTGTTTTATGTTTTAAAGGATGATTAATTATTTCAACAATCATATGATGATTTGGCTTTGACAATAAGTTTGACAAACTTCATACATTATTGATAGAGCCGTGTTGAAAAATATAGTATAGTTCTAGTAAAGGTAGGATAATACAGCTATTAAGCAAAGGAAGGTGCCTTTAATTGTAGTTTAATTGGGATCAGTTTTGGGACACTTTGTAATTAATTTTCATGCAACAAAAAATGCTGCCCTACCACTGTTTTTTGCCTTTTTATTGGGAACGATTTTTGAAATGCTGATACTTTCTGCCATGTTGTTTTTCGAAATGAATCATTTCAAGGATGGGTTTAAAACATGGACACGCATTTAAAGAAGTTGCCATCTCCCCTGCTATAGTTTATAGATTAATTAAATCATACTGGAAACAATAACAATATAGCATTTTATTAAGATATAAACTCTCATTGATGTAACAACTTGTGGTTAAAGTTCAGTTTCCATTCTAAGCAAGTGATTGTGTCATTCTTGTATTTAGCACTACCCAGGTTGAGGTCCCTAAGACGCTTTCATAATAAATGAAGGCTTGCAGCAGTTTGGTTATAACTCAGAGAAATATCTTGCACTATGAATCATGCATACCAGATCTTCTTGACTTTCTATGGGACCATCTGGTGCAAACAGGGTCTGTACCATAAACTTGTGTTTATTTCTTTCTGTTGGGTCATATTCAAAGGGTTGCAGCATAACTGAAATAAAAGTGTACACAATGTCAGTTTATCAGGATAGTTCAAAATTACTATTTCAACAAACTAGGAAAATACATCAATGACAATAAAGCAACAGAAATTTCCTGATGATTTATCCAATTTAATTACTTGTATTTAGAATTAAGTTATTTTCAAATTGTTATCAATTTATCAGAGAGTTGAGTCAAACAACTATTCTTTACATAAATGCATTTTACAAACCTGCAACTGTGACTGATGCCCCTGGTTCAATGATTCCGCTATTAGGGCGTACACAATATCGTTTTGGTGCTGTTGTTTTCACTTTGAATAAAACTTTCCTTTCCTCTGGGTTACTCAGCTTCAAATTTGATGTAACCACATCAGTAAAAGGACCTGAAATAAAGTGAGAAACAAAATTTCTTTCATGAAATGTTAATTATTAAACAGCATTCATGACTATCGGCAAATGTGTTTGTATAACCACAGAATTCATTTACAAAGATAAGTCAAAGTTGATGGGACCAAACAAAATATTTGACTTATCTGCCGGGTTCGACTCAGCCATGTTTCTATGAACGAAGACATCATGCATTGAAGACTGACCTTATTTTATCGGTTGTTTACCGGATGCATGTCTCATAGCAAGGCATAACAGTAATGAATAAGTAATAAATGAATAAAAACATTTTATGATTTTATACACTAACAATATCTTTCATTTAAATAAACAGTTATATGTATATAAAACAAAAAATGTAATGTAAAATACTTGTCATTGACTTACAGCACACACATGGATATGCACTCACTACCATACACAAAACTGAGTGAAATTGATATTTGAAGTAACACAAATATTGTAATCACATTTATATCCTTAAGAGTAACAAGTCCCATCAACAATATTTCAAAATAAAACTCTATAAATACTTATATTTTACACAAACTGAGTATTTGACCTAACAGTGTTCGAATCAGCTGTGTTAAAATTTCTAAGATAAAAAATACAAAAAAAAACAGGATGAACAAAACATTTTAAGATGTGATGCTAACACCAATGCCAGAGTGATTAAATTAGTCTCCTATTTTTCAAATAGGCAAGCTAAAAATCATTCATGAGTTATATAATGGCTCAAAGACTAAACATATAAAAAAAAATGCCTTTACATTCATAGTTATCACCATAGCAAGCATGCTCTTGTCAAAGTAACCCTCTTGATTATTGGTACAGTAAATGAACAGCAGCTGGCCAATTTTTTTCACTATTTATCACATAAATTTTACATTTCCACTATTTATCATAAACATTTTACAAAGATAATTTGAATTTGAAAATAGTAGAAAACTATATGAAAAACTAAATTTCTACTGAATAAATATAATGCACTATAGAATGACTGCTGGGCACTTAGTTAAAAGAACATTATTGTAAAAGCTACATGTTCCATGTTTGGTTACAATATTGTATTCAAAATGATTCCATTGATGTTAAACCCAAATGTGGCAAAAATTCTGGCTAAGCCTTCAGTTGGAGGGTGGTTTTAAAGAAACCAGTGACAATTGATACTAATTTTTAGATGTCAACTTCCAATCAGGAGTAGCAATAATGTTAAATGAAGGGACAAATAGACAGCCAGACAATTCACATCATAATCTAGATCTTTGACCAGTAGAGTCAAGTGTTACTATCATCACTTTTCAGTTAAAGGAATATTTATAATAAGCACATGTTAGGATTTCAAATGTTCCATTGTTTCTTACAGAAATTTCACGAAAGTATTCATGTTCTTATAGAAAGTGCATATGTCTCAAGTTGCCATATAAACATATATGCAATATTCAAGTTTTGCTTTATGTTAGTCCAACATGGGGAAGTTTCTGTGTATATCTTAAAATTGACAAGAAAAATACCCCAGCTGAAATTAAGAATGAACAGAGTACAGACCTGTGACTTTGATCCAGTAATTGATCGGTTTTGGTTTGGATTCCAAATATGCTAGATTTAGATAGTCTAATTTTATTTTGGCAAAGGGTATTTCCATCATATTTGCCTGTCCAGATGCAAGTTCAGATAAACTGGGAAATACTTTTTTGTTTGTATTAGTATCTGTTATCAGAAAGGGAGAAGCTATTTTTTCCAAAGTACACAACTCCTTGCATGTAACTTATGTAAGTACTGTAAGAGCAAGTCTTGGTAATCTGGACAATACATGTGTTTTAACACAAACAACTGATAAGTACACATATATATACATATGAAGTTTTGTCGTGTTGTGAACATGAACATGTTGATTGGGTTGCTTGATATAATGCATTTGCCATGTACTTGACAGGTACAATAATCTTAAATTGTACTGTAAACAAATATGACTCATCATCAATGACCACTCATTTACTCAGGGGTTACAACAATGTGTAGATGACATATAAGACTTGGGAGTCTGTGCTCTTAGTACTGTTAGTTTGTAGTTGCTAATAATAATCTATAAAGTTGTTATAGTAAACTCCCGAGTGAAATATGTGCCATATCGGTCAATATCAATAACCGACATAACAGACTGCTTACTATTGGTATAGGAATTATACATATTAAATGCATATTGTTTTGGGGTTATCATCATCGAAGACATTTTACATCTCATTGCTGTTAACCACTGTTAAAATTACTACATCCATACATGTTTCAGAATTATAAAATTTCTTGGGGATATATAGGCTACACGAAACCAATGAATCGTGCAACTTTCGGAATCGATTTTACAGGATAACCCTGGATGACGAAAATGTTGTCGGAAAGTTCGCGATTTTGAGCGAGTGCACCATGGGTGTGGACTGAAATATTTCATCATGACTAGCACCATACCTCTGAACCTCAACTCATTTGAAGGTTCTAGATGTAGAACTTGTTGTCTTGCCATCTCTGTATGTACAGAGCTTGTGAAATTTGGGGAAGATCGCTGGTTTTAACCTATGTCACGTCTGCCAGACAGCTTCGTGTACTGCGCATGCGTATACATAAGTCGGATGTGCGAAACCGAGACGGTTGTGTCAAAATATCGAATTAGTGAAACGAACCATTTTCTTGCAAATAAAGAAAATTGCTGTAATTTCAGACAATATTTCGTTATAAGATAAAAGACATGAAATTATTGTATGTGAATAACATCATACTCTCTTCCAAAATATCAAATTACTCATAAAAAGAAACCCAAGATTAGATTTTATAAAAAAATAATCTGTATCCAGAACACGCTTGCATCGGATAGGGATTGTTTTGACAATGATGTAAACATTGAATAGTTCTACAGAAAAAGTGTTTGGACTGGTTTACTTGAGGCAATGGCAGACGATATAGATGATCTTCTTGATGAAGTGGAGACTAAATACTGTTCGAGGGATAAACAGAAAAATAGAAAATTGAACAGAAATAGGTAATCATTATATCGTACTCCAAGATGATCTCTTCGATTTAGCTTATTAGAATAATTTGTCAGCTACTCAACTGTTGAGCCCATATATGCAAAAGTTAATTATTTATCTGTTCGGCGTTTTATATAAAAATAAATCACCCCATTCCATAAAGTATGATTAGAAATAGAACAGTTTAGGTGTTTCCATCTTTTCTTTCAGTACCAGAGACGTGTTCGCGTAACGAAGGGGTTAGGGGGTTACATGGTTGGGTTTATCCATACTCCTATAACATAAGAGGCCACTGGTCGGACGTTTTATTATCTGACATTATTATTACAAGGCGCCTTTCACGAATACCCCGCCGTGTGAATACTCTAACATTATCCCCATCTCTAGTGAGTCTTGGCCCTGAACCCTGACCATCCATTCTGATCTATCAGAGGGATTTCCCTTTGTTTCACCAGAAAGTGTCACCATCCAGTATACAGTTTAGTCCTGATTGCGATTGGTCGGGCTTGTTCCCTGGGCTGAATACACCTAATGTGTTGCTCAGCTTTATGGACCTGTGCAGTTTCCATTTTGATAATGAAATAGAAGGGTTCACAAGATCTAATGCTTTTCAAAAAACTAGAATTTGTTTGTTATATTAGTAAGTGCACTCTTGATATAAGTGTTTTGCTCTAAAACCAGACTACTGGATATCTGTAATTAAACTATGATCACACAAAAAGTCATAGAAATGGACATGTATATGTTTTTTTCTTAACATTTCGATGAAAGAGGCAATAACTGATATAGACCCTCAATTACATAAAAACTCTATTGTTTTACCCTTTTTAAAAAGAGGGCTAAATTTTCACACACTTCTTAGCTGCATGGTAGCAGTTTGTATAAATGAAAACATGTAGCAGTTTGCAAATAATTGGAGCAATAGGGTTAGATTAATACTTCAAGAATTTGGCACTAATGTAAAAATGGAAATTTATGAAATAAAAACTTCTCATTTTATCGTCCATTCAATTTAGACTGCATGTAGTTGATAAATCTGATTGCTTTTTTGACATTTTCATGTGTTCCTTGTGATTGATTTATTTTTTTGTAAATTTTTTTTCTAAGAAGATAGTGATGTTATTGAAGATGATAAAGCTGGAGGAAGGGAGAGATGTGTTCAAGAAGGAATGTAATTTAGGAGGTGATTAGGGCAGGTTTATTTTGTGTTACATGCAATAACAAGTAATAGAAGGAAAGAAAAAGGTGGGACCATGGTGTGTTATCATGCCATGTGTTTGAATAGGAAGGTATGACACTCCTGAGGGTGGATAGGATTAATGACCACTATATGAGTTTGAAAGAGGTTGATTTGGAATTAACTTAAGTGGTCACTTTAAATGATTTCAATGTTGTTGTTGAATACTACACCTTTTAAAAACGATGTGTAAAATGAAACATCATGAATAATTTGCTAAAGACTATTAAAGTGAGAAAACTATGAACTTTGAGAGATAACTTGACTTGTAAAAGTGCTTTGTTTCAGATAAAAACATTAAAAGAAATGAATAGTAGGAAATACAACAAATAAAGAGATCTTAAATGTATATATACACTGTATAACCTCAGATTTAGATAAACAAGTTTGTTTGCAAATGTATAGCAGTAATTTTGATGTTACATTTGATATTGACATAAATGATTTTTTTTTCTTTTCTATTAATTCTGTTCTTTTTGTCATCAGCATTATTTTTTGTTTAGTATGTACTTATTCCTGTAAGTACGTACTAAAAGATAAAATAAAGAACTCATACAACTGTAAATACTGTATTGAAAACAAATTATTTGAAGTTGCCTACTGTTTGTAAACATATATGTACCTTCTCCTTGTCATCATATTATCAAGATGTTTCTGTAATGAAAGCATGCTGATCATTCTTCATTGCTATTCAAACACACTGTACACCTGTGTATCCAATATCAATAAATATCTTATGATATTTATTTTATTATACACCCACTTAGTCAAGGGGTTATATATAGTAATCATTTTATCTGTGCATGCATGCATCTGTGAATGTGTGCTGCCATGATAATGTTTTGTACAAATATTTCATGAACTACCAAACAGATTTAGTTGATATATACACCATATCACCATACTAAAAAGGTCTACTACCTAATTAGACTTGATGATCATTGGTCAAGGCTTAAGGTCACACATCATGCTTGACCATTTAGGAAATAAAATGCTTTTATACAAGATATCTCATGAGCCCCAGAACAGATTTAGAGTAATTACAAATGATATGATAACAATGACATGATTTCACGATTCAGGGATAGGGGTTGGGGTCATATCTTTATGAGCCCCTGCTTACTTTGATTTTTTGATCCAGAGATGGGGTCATGTCTTTGTGAGCCCCTAATTACTTTAACTTCCTGATCTGGGGATTGGGTAATATCTTCATAAGCCCCTACTTGTGTTGGCTTCCTGATCCAGGAGTGAGTAGGTATATCTTTGGGAGCCCTTGCTAACTTTGGTTTCCTGATCCATGGATGATGGTATATCTTCATGTACGTGAGCCCGAGTTACATTGAGTTCCTGATCCAGGAGTGGGTGGTATATTTACATGAGCCCGAGTTACATTGAGTTCCTGATCCAGGAGTGGGTGGTATATCTACATGAGGCCCTTCTTACTTTGACTTCCTGATCCAGGGTTTAGGGGGTAGGGGTATATCTTTGTGAGCCCTTGCTTACTTTGACTTCCTGATCCAGGGTTTAGGGGGAAGGGGTATATCTTTGTGAGCCCTTGCTTACTTTGACTTCCTGATCCAGGGTTTAGGGGGAAGGGGTATATCTTTGTGAGCCCTTGCTTACTTTGACTTCCTGATCACAGGGTAAGGGCTCCTGCTTACTTTGACTCCCTGATCCAGGGGTTGGGTTATATCTACATGAGCTCCTGCTTACATTTACTTCCTGATCACAGGGTAAGGGCTCCTGCTTACTTTGTCATCATCCGTCCATCTGTCTGTCCATCTTTCCATCAGTCCTTTTATTTTCTGAGCACAACTTTGCCCACAGTTAAGCAAGGATCATGAAACTTGTTGTATACACTGTACACTGGTCATTCTAAGGAAATGTGCAGTGTACCAAATTCAGGACCTGTGACCCATCAGTTGCAGAGTTAGTGACATTTGTTGAAATTTTGTGTCCTGAGCATCAATTTAAAACGCTTGTATTTGAACTAGGATAATGAAACTTGATGTTTACATTGATCACACAAAGACAATGTGCAGTGTACCAAATTCAGGGCATATGACCTGGCAGTTTTAGAGTTATCTCCCTTTGTTAAAATTTTGTGTCCAGAGCATAACATTGCTTTCATTCATTAAATTAGGATATTGAAAATTGCTGTGTAAATCGGTCCTACTAAGAGGATTTACAGTGTAACAAATTCATTGCCTGAAACCCCTTAATTACAGAATTATTGACCCTTGTTTAAATTTTGTGTCCAATAAAATTGTTTTTGGTGAACATTCAACACTTTCACTGATACTCCTACCATTTTTTCCAGAAAATCAACAGATGATGACTTGGATGATATTTTGAATGATATCACAGTGGATCCTGATTTCAAACCAGTGGTAAGTAAAAACCTGTGGGCCAATCAAGAAAAGAGATTAAAGGGAGTCGACAAACACATTGTGATGAACCAACACCCCATCCCTTCCAACACTTAAATCATATTAATTATAACTCAGTTTTTCTGGAGCCCATCTATTTATTGCCAAAGGCTATCTCAGTGCTCATCGTTCATATTTATCTGGTATACATTAAATGATTTGTTAATTTAAGTGATTTCATGTACCACATCATCTAAGATATATATTACCGGTATGTGTGTATATAATTCAACTTCTAGAAGATATTGTGTATTGTCCAGATATGTAATATATAATGACTTTATTACTGTAATAGAGTAATCACCTGCAGAGAGTCAACTGGCTGGAAAACATTACCTAAACAAATATATAGTCTTGTTGATATTGCATACAATAGAAATTTGCATTAACTGTGAAAGTTAAATTTCTGGTAGCAGTATAAATATATTGGTTTGGCAGGCATGTATATGATATGAAAGAAGCTTTGATTTCAAAGTCAGCTTAGAATGATATATATATATATATAGACAATAATGTATTCTCAGTTGTTCTTTAAATATTTTTTTCAGAAATCAAGTGAGATTAAATCAAGCAATCGAACTGTACCCCGTCCAGAATCTGCCCGAAAGTAAGTCATATATTTCAGGTCTTTAGTGAATACATTCATTTTATCATGTATTGTCAAAAACTCTTATTGTGGTATTAATGAAATTAGGTGCATGCAAAGTTAGGATTCTTTGTACATGTATTGTCAGAAAAAATGCTTCATTAAACCCCTGGCTTAGTTTGCCATACGTAGAATAAAATTTGTCAGAGTTTGATGTTCTCAAGAAACCTCCTTTTCAGGGGATATAATAATATAGATACTACTTAACTGATATGTAACTCCATGTTTTGTAGGTGTTTTCCATTGTACTTGGGAGGCTCTGCTAGCTCTCTAGGAATAGCCAATTCTTTGACTCCAAGGTAAGTCCAAAATGCACAGATACTATCTTATGTCTATACTTATAGTGAAACGTAGTTCATCAATTTTCCGATGCTTCACATTTGGGTATTATTTACTGTTAGTTTAATTCAGTATTTAGAATGAATTTGCATATTCAGTATCCTAGCTAGGATTTGAAAAAGCTACATGTAGGGTACTGACTGCAAAAAGGTGTGTTGTTATGTGATATCTAACTTGTTTTTGTCTTTTTTTTTTTGACGTTTGATTTTTATTTGGTATTTCATACTTTTTACTATCAATTATGATGTAGTATCATTCATTCTTGTCATAACCAGGTTTGATATCCAAATGTGTATTTTAAGCATTTTAAGAGAACCAGACTGCTAGTTCAAATAAATCTGAGGAAACATATCACTTGCTTATTAACATCTTGCTTATTTACATTTTTATTGGATGTGGAAATTTAGATATATCCAAAAGACCATGACATCACATGAGTCTGCATTACAAGGACTTTTGAATTCTACTGTTCAAACATGAACTGAACATTTCCAAATCCAAATTTCCAAAACAAATTTTACGTTATCATTCTCTCAACAGTTCTTCTACTCTAGGTTCTGATGTGATTTTTAGCTCACCTGACCCAAAGGGCCAAGTGAGCTATAGGGAATCTTCCTATAAATTGCATACAAGTCATGAACGACGGAACAGATTTTTTTTATTAAATTTGGTCTGAAGCATCCTTTGGGATAGAGGTACCAATTTTGTGTAAATGGTGGGTCTTGGTCCCATAGGGCCAGAGTGGTGAGGCTCAATAGGGAAAATCTATCAATTTCTTTAAAATCTATCTTGTCCTTTAAGAATTGCAGGATATTGTCAAAATTTAGTCAAGGAAAATTTTCAGGTGAAGGGAAATCAGTTTTGTATAAATGATGTGTCCTTGCCCTCTGGGGCAAGTGGACAGGGCACTGAAAGGAAAAAATTGTCAATTTCTTTATAATCTATCTGTTCCTTAAGATTTGCAGGATAATATCCAAAGTTTATCTTAAGTATGCTTAGGTGAAGGGAAATCAGTTTTGAATAAACCTTGTGTCTGATCCCTCAGGGGCCAGAGTGGTGGGGCCTTTGGTGGGTAAATGAACAAACTCCTTAAAATCCTTTTCCTGTAGGAATGATTGGATTTTGCCCATATTTGGTCTGAAGTATTCTTTGACAAAGAGTAATCAGAATTATATAAACTTTTGGTTTCAGCCCTTTAGAGGCATAGAAAGTACTTATTTACTTCTCATGTCTGGTACGGGAGCCTTGGTATGGGACAGATTCAACTTTTCTAACAGGATTTTCAGTTGATAAAGGACAATTCAAATAAGCATACCAATATTGAAGTTGAGCCCTGTCATCAATGAAATTCTTTAACACCTCTAGTATTCTCTTATCTGCCAGTCTTTCTTCTGCTGTCATATTCAGGTCATCGACAACTGTTAAGAAATTAAAAATCATACTTTACAGCACCACTTGTGTTCATGGACAAGTTTCTACTTCATACATTTTATCAGAATTGATATCTGTTTATAGGTCCTGTGATAAAATGCGATGTACATCATGTGATTTTAAAATTGCCATTTTTGACAATTTTGAGTGGGATGCAACAACCGACTACCTTTTTCTTAGGAATAATTGTCCAGACTTTCAAAGATTGAAATCAAAATTACGGTCCAAAAAAGGTAAGCACTAAATCTTTATTCTTATACAGATCTCAAGATCACAACTTCAAGTATATAATAGCTACAGTATCTTAACAAGGGGTAATGCATGGCCACTCAAATTAACATCAAAACCCTTCCATTACATATAAAACTATGCAGCTCTTATGCTGAACTATATTTAGTGAGTTACAGATATGTTACTTAATTATTGAGTTGTCACACAGTCCTTACTACAGTTTCTACACATGATGAATTTAGTTATACTGTATGCCCTGGTTGTTGAAAGCTTGGTTAGAGTTGACCAGTGGTGAATATCTAAGCAATATTGACTCTGAAAAAAGATTAGTGTGATTCGTCTCATTAACATTTATAGCTGTGTAGAACTGTTATCACTGAATTTCAACTAATAGTCACAGAGAGAGAGACATGTCCTCTGACTGTCATGATCAGACTCATAGGCTATTTTGCATTTATTTGTGTGGCTAGTAAAACATGATTTTGCTTGATAACTAGCCTTGAACAAAGCGTTTTGAGACCTGTATTAATATCTACACATTAATCGCCCCCCACCCCCAAAAGTGTAGAAGAAAGAAGTTTTGCAGAGTTATGTTACTATTTATCAAGAATCACATCATTTTAGAGATGACTTCTGTTTTCTTACAGGTTGTCGAGCCTATTGTTGCCAGTGTTCTCATCGCTCAAACACCACATTAGAAAAACTGACTGACCCAAATCTGAAGTGGGTGTGTGGGAAACATTGATGACAACCAATACTTAGGACTTCATCATCAATATACATTACAAATTGATTTAATTTCTCATCAATCATTTCACTATTCCTTTGACAAGTTTTACGGTAGAGAGATTTGATATTTTTTAAGATTTAGAAGGATCTATAGTTTACATTCCTGAGAAATATTAGATAAGGAACTCTGGAGTTGTTGTGAATTGCTGACAGATGATTCTAGATACATATTTATTTTTTTTTCAGTAAGTTGTAATCATGTATTGTTGGAAAATCAAACATAAAAAATTAGCTGGATGTTCTGAGTGTACAATATGAATGCTTAAACACCTACTACTTTTGTGATATGACTTTTTGGGATGTCTTTTAAGTGCTGACTTATTGAATCTGCTGTCTGATTATTATTGCATGATGATATCAACATAACCATATGTACATATATCACATAAGATCAACTTAAAAAAGTACTGTTTGACAAGCCATGTATTGTGAGGAAAGCGTGATTACCTTTTACGCTTTCACCTGTGTAAACACTGTATGACAAGTCCCACGACGTGATGGACATGTCAATACATAATGTGGGAAATGTCATTTTTTACTATTTCTCCTGTCTTAGCACTGACAAACCCTGTGTCTTGAGAAGTGTGTTCTACTCCTACGTTCTGTGGAGACACTGACCAACAGGACTTGTAGGGAAGTGGAAGTAATCTCCTGTCTAAATAGTTTGACAGGCTCTGTAAGGAACTTGTCATTATGTGTATCCAATTCTCATATCTAACCACATGTTATGTTTACCCCATTCTCCAGTCTAAGCATTGTCAGACCCTTTGTTGTGAGAGGGTTATCAATATGTTTACCCCATTCTCCTGCCTAGGCATTGTCCGACCCTTTGTTGTGAGAGGGTTATCAATATGTTTACCCCATTCTGTGGTCTAAACATTGTCCGACCCTTTGTTGTGAGAGAGTTATCAATATGTTTACCCCATTCTGTGGTCTAAACATTGTCCGACCCTTTGTTGTGAGAGGGTTATCAATATGTTTACCCCATTCTGTGGTCTAAACATTGTCCGACCCTTTGTTGTGAGAGGGTTATCAATATGTTTACCACATTCTCTGGTCTAAACATTGTCCGACCCTTTGTTGTGAGAGGGTTATCAATATGTTTACCCCATTCTCTGGTCTAAACATTGTCCGACCCTTTGTTGTGAGAGGGTTATCAATATGTTTACCCCATTCTCCGGTCTAAGCATTGTCAGACCCTTTGTTGTGAGAGAGTTATCAATATGTTAACCCCATTCTCCTGCCTAGGCATTGTCAGACCCTTTGTTGTGAGAGATTTATCAATATGTTGTCAGACCCTTTGTTGTGAGAGGGTTATCAATATGTTGTCCGACCCTTTGTTGTGAGAGATTTATCAATATGTTTACCCCATTCTCCTTCCTAGACATTGTCCGACCCTTTGTTGTGAGAGATTTATCAATATGTTGTCAGACCCTTTGTTGTGAGAGGGTTATCAATATGTTGTCAGACCCTTTGTTGTGAGAGGGTTATCAATATGTTGTCAGACCCTTTGTTGTGAGAGATTTATCAATATGTGACCATTTTGTTGTGAGAGATTTATCAATATGTGACCATTTTGTTGTGAGAGATTTATCAATATGTGACCATTTTGTTGTGAGAGAGATTTATCAAAATGTTTGATGGGTTATTTGGTGTGAGGCATCCATATGTTTACCCCATTCTTTTGTTTAAGCAGTTTAACAAGGCCTTGGTTGAGAGGAGTGTGTCATAACGTTGAACTTTTCCTTTGTCAAAAATCTGACAAGCCCTGTGTTTTGAGGGTTGTGTCACTATGTTCACATTTTCCCCTGCGTAAACACTGACAGGCCCTGGATTTGTTTTAGGGGCATGTCATTATGTTCACCTTTTTCCGCAATCTAAACACCAAAAGGCCCTTGACTTTGGGGAGCATGTCATATATAGTTACCATTTCCCCTGTCTAATTATGGACAGGCCATTAGTTTTGGGGAATGTGTCATCATTGTCACCAGTTCCCATTTGTAAACGCTCTGGGTTTTGAGGGCATGTCACTATGTTCACCAGTTCCCCTTTGTAAACGCTCTGGGTTTTGAGGGCATGTCACTATGTTCACCAGTTCCCCTTTGTAAACGCTCTGGGTTTTGAGGGCATGTCACTATGTTCACCATTTCCTCAGTGTAAATGCCCAGGGTGTTGAAGGCATGTCACAATGTTCTCATGTTTCCCTGTGTAAACGCCCAGGGTATTGAGGGCATGTCACTATGTTCTCCAGTTTCCCTGTGTAAACGCCCAGGGTTTTAAGCATGTCACTATCTTCACCATTAACCCTGTGTAAACGCCCAGGGTTTTGAGGGCATGTCACTATGTTCACCATTTCCTCTGTGTAAACGCCTAGGGTGTTGAGGGCATGTCACTATGTTCTCCAGTTTCCCTGTGTAAACGCCCAGGGTTTTAAGCATGTCACTATCTTCACCATTAACCCTGTGTAAACTCCCTGGGTTTTGAGGGCATGTCACTATGTTCTCCAGTTTCCCTGTGTAAACGCCCAGGGTTTTAAGCATGTCACTATCTTCACCATTAACCCTGTGTAAACGCCCAGGGTTTTGAGGGCATGTCACTATGTTCACCATTTCCTCTGTGTAAACGCCTAGGGTGTTGAGGGCATGCGACTATGTTCTCCAGTTTTCTTGTGAAAACGTTCAGGGTTTTGAGGGCATGTCACTATGTTCACCATTTCCTCTGTGTAAACGCCCAGGGTGTTGAAGGCATGTCACTATGTTCAACATTTCCCCTGTGTAAACGCCCAAGGTTTTGAGAGCATGTCACTATGTTCACCATTAACCCTGTGTAAACGCCCAGGGTTTTGAGGGCATGTCACTATGTTCACCATTAACCCCGTGTAAACGCCCAGGGTTTTGAGGGCATGTCACTATGTTCACCATTAACCCCGTGTAAACGCCCAGGGTGTTGAGGGCATGTCACTATGTTCACCATTAACCTCGTGTAAACGCCCAGGGTGTTGAGGGCATGTCTCTATGTTCTCCAGTTTCCCTGTGTAAACGCTGACATGCCCAGGGTTTTCAGGGGCGTGCGTTATGTTCATCTTTCCCTTGTCTAAACGCTGTTTGACAGCCACATTGCTGTGATGGACATATCTTGTTTGTTTTTATATCACAGGTTGTTTTAAATAAAGCTGATATGTAAAACAAATCTTGATACTGTTGGTCATTTGTCATAAATGTAGTATTTGAGAGTGACGATAATAACACCTGTCGAAGAATTCAAATCTCAAATTTGACGAATTAAAGGCAAAATATGAATAAAAGAAAAAAAATCACTCGGAGACTCTAAATATGTCAAGACATTGGTTTTAATCTCATATGACCCAAGACTTCAGAAATAGCAACAGATTTTCCCGAAAGAAAAAAAAACACATTGAAAACAAGAAAATATATGTACCACAGACTGGAATGATAACGGTGAAATCAGGTCAGTTTTACCAATGAACAAGGATCAACGGACCGACATCGTCAAAACCTGTACATTCGAGAGACTGGAACTTGAGAAATGATACTGATTAAGTAAACTGGCGAAAACATCAAATAACATGAAAATTCTGATGTATGTATATGATGTTTAAGAAATGTACACGAAGATAAATTAAGATTGACGAAAAATACCATTTAGTACACTAACAGCCTCATAGGTCACGATCAGGATCATTGGAAATTGTCACATAATGTTAGCAATCGTCATTGTCATTTCATTTACAGTACATAATGATGTTAGTGAATATAACATGACTGGGGTTTGAGCTGAAGTTGTGTATGGTATGAGGCGCTTACCTTTATTTTTCTCTTTCATACTGTAATCCTATGTTGTCCTACAATCTGTTTCCTCCGGTTTCGTTCAATCTACCTTCCCTTAGTGTCTGTCTTACGTCTAACTTACAGATAACTATCATATGCCATGGAAATTAAGATCAATAAATGAATGAATGATATAACGATCACTACCAGTCCTCCAGCGTGTTGTCTGATATAATAATTTTTGTCATCAAATACAAACGCAATCACAGACTGTATAATGAAAACTGGTTTTAGTAACCGAACTGTAAGTTTACAAAACAATTATTTCTGGTCTTCGATGTTTTGGTTTTTAAGTAATGAAATGTTTTTATAGGAACTAGTTTTCGGTTGTATAATCCATACCAGATTGACACACGTATAGTAATCATTATGTTGTAATCAATTATAACGTTAACCTTTATATCATGTTTAATGACGTCCAGGTTTCCAGAAATGCTGACTTATGAAGATATTGGAGAAATGGATGCTGGTTTTAGTTGGGAAATATTTCATTTGTTGTGTGATATGAAATTTTCACAGATGGTTCTACCGAATAAAACGGAAGTTCATAATACATATACAGAATTGTCACAATGCCGAAAAGTTAATAAATTATAATATGACTTCAACTATGTGACCGTGCCACAGTTCGAAAGAAATATAAGGCGACACGTAGGTACCTACCACCTGCAACCTCAAAGATGACACCAAACACACGATTTATAATTAAACAAGGTAGCGACAGTTTCGTTATTATCAACATTGTTCTCATTTTTGGAGCTTGATATTGAAATATTTACTTGGCGATTGTCTTCAATGTTCCTCTCTACACTGTGAAAGAGAAACGAAATTATCGGTCGTAGCCAAAAAATGTGTGTATACAATGTATGTTAAACCTCCATTTATCCACGCATGTTCCTTTAAAGCCCAGTAACCAACCTATTTCTTAACAAACTCCTCACAACCGTACATAAGTCGTTACAAATTCCTCACAACCGTACATATTTCTTTACAAACTCTTCACATCCGTACATATTTCTTTACAAACTCCTCACAACCGTACATATTTCTTTACAAACTCTTCACATCCGTACATATTTCTTTACAAACTCTTCACATCCGTACATATTTCTTTACAAACTCCTCACATCCGTACAAATTTCTTTACAAACTCCTCACATCCGTTCATATTTCTTTACAAACTCCTCACATCCGTACATATTCTTTATAAACTCCATTTGCATGCATGTGACTTTTAAAAGTCTATTACGAACTCTACAAATCCACGTATGTCACACATCGTAACAAATCCAACACCTACGTGAATGCATGTGCAACACACATATTCAACTGAAAACGGTCTCTACTCTTCGATTTTTTACTTTCTATTTATAGAACGATATATAAAATAACTCGGCGTTTCTGCGACACCATACTCGAGTGAGGCACTTTCCTCGTTAAATCAACCATAGGCTTGCTAAAGAAGCTAACGAAGGTTATTGGAGGGGAATACTGCACGTATCAAAGTTACAAGATAAGCTTAGATCAGTATTGCAGCAGCCAATCATCACCTATAGAGGATTTCTCACAAATCTCAGGTAAACATACCATAAATTTGTTAATAAACTACGCAATACACGGACTGGATTTTGAATATCACTAAATCTCAGACCACAGTTTTACGAACACTGTTGGAGTTCTAGGAAATGATTGTGGGATTTTTTTAAAACTTCAATGTCCTACTGTATGGATACTGATTAATCGTGAGAGCGTAAGGAAATCTGTATCTACATGTTTTAGTAATGCTTTCATATGGATCACTCTACGTCCAGAAATTAAACTAAGAAACTGAGGTCAGGTATGTATGCATGTCGTCAAAATTCGATCTACAAGCAGACACACAGTGAAATATCATACAATCTAAGGTAAATAGTTTGTAGATAACGTGAGGTAAGTGATCACTGAATTTACAGTTTGGTGGCACATGAACGGAGCAAATTATGTAAGCGCATATCTGGCACCTTGCCAAAGTTTTATGGACGCCCCTTAACTACCGAGGAATTTTAATTTGAACAAAACTTTTTAAAAATGTCCAGTGAAAAACAAATGATGTGTATAAAGCGGTTGATCACTTGAACCAAACATAACAAACCCAGGTAAGCACATCTGACAACAAATACACTACTTCGAGGTGACACCATACGATTACACCTTTACATAAAGTTGAAAATTAATATATTCATTTGCAGATAAACAAATCCAGTTTCCGTGACGATTTTGACCTTGAAAACATCTGTCTATATAAAGAGATAATGTCTTCCAAATTAGTGGGTACAGAGGAGCAAAACACCTCTAAAAGTCATGCGAGTATGAGTTTATGTACTAGGACTGTAATTATCATAATCACTAGGAATACACTTAGACACTGACCAGAGGAACAGGTTCTTGGTCTGGGTAGTTACTTGAACAGAAATGTTAAAAATAATATAATAATTTTGTTTAATATTTATGTTAAGTGCAAATCAACACATTCTGACTGTCGGAGGGACATTATTTACCAGGTTAATACAGCACAACTTTAAACGAAATAAATGTAACAGGGTAATCTCTTGTTAGATGTGATTCAGATATGTCCCGGACACCGCATTTGCATCATGATTAGACCAAAAGCATGTTCACTCTGTTTAGTTGCAGATCGAAAAGTTTGCCTGAAGATAGGTAATTCGTTAAATTGTGCATTTTTGCGTGTTAACATTTCATCTGTTTGTCTGCCGTGTGTTATCTAAATGGTTACTTTTTTCAATACAGGCCATCATGAAGTGTCAAACTCACGCTGACAACAATGTCATCATGGTTTGTCAATCCGGGCAATGTGATACTTGCTTCGTCTGTGATAAGTGTATAGCAGGGCCACACAGCCGTCACCCAATGGCCACCATTGAAGATGTCGGAACAGCAGAGAAGAAACGACTCAAGACTCTGTCCGAAGACAATTCTAAAAGCCTAGAAGCTCAAAAGAAGAATATGGAACTTGTGGACAGCATTAAACAACGGATACAAAACTCTATTGACGCAATGCTATCATCACAAGAGAAATTAAGGCAGGTTCTGGAAACAGAAGATTGGATAAGTATTATTCAAGAAGGGAAAAGGGCAAAGAGGTCAGATACTGCCCCGGAAGAAACAGGGTTCTACATAGAAACAGATGAAATAAGCCGGATTCTTATCACGAGAATTCTTTCAACCTCTCAACAATCTCAATGTTCAAGCGTATCATCGACAGAGGGAGAAGTTTCATCGGATTTCGAAGGAACAGTTTATAGACACAAGAAACTCGAAACAGTCTCTAGTACTAAACTTTCACCAGATCACAGCATCACGTGTGTTGCCCCGGCTGAAAGGGATACTCTTTGGGTTATTATAAATAAGGAGGTCAGGTTATGCAAAAAGCAAAAACTCGTAAACAGCAATATTAAATATGGGAAGAAAATTCGTGGAATAGCTGTTACAAACTCTGACAAATTACTCACAACATGTACTGACGATAAATGTGTGAGGAAGATTACCTCTGGCGGTAAAACATTATTTAGTTTGAACACAGATCCTCTGATTCCTAATCAGTTATGTGTCGCCAGCAACGGCGACATCTTAGTCACGCTTGTTTCATCCTTTGTGGATCCTCTGCCGGACACAGTTGGAGTCGTGAGTCGGTACACCCCACAAGGGAAGAGGATGGTAACGTTTGAGAGGGATCGCTTCGGTAACAGCATCTGTCCTAAATATATAGCAGCCAGTCGAGTCTCGGACATGGTGGTTGTAACCAATCTCACTAACAAAGACAATGACGATTGGTTTTATGGTCACGTGATAGTAATGACTGGGGATTTCCAAGTGAAGTTTCGTTACCTTAGTGATGGGAAAGTGATCCCTGGCAACCAGCAATATCACCAAGATACTTCAACCAAACATTTCAGTATTGGTATCGACATCCAAGACAATATCATACTTGGCGATATGAAAGCGGGCTGCATTGATATAGTAGACAAATTGGGCCAAAAACTTCAACGTCTGGGAGAAGTTAGTGGGATAAGTTATCTCACCGTTTCTAATGATGACCAGTTGTGGATTGGACAGACAACAGGTCGAGTGGAGGTCTACAAACGTGTGTAAATATAACAGCCACAACGAGTCGAGTCCTGGTCTACAAACGTGTGTAAATATAGCAGCTATAACAGGCCGAGTGGAGGTCTACAAACGTGTGTAAATATAACAGCCATAACAGGTCGAATTGAGGTCTACAAATGTGTGTAAATATAGCAGCCATAACAGGTCGAGTGGAGGTCTACAAATGTGTGTAAATATAACAGCTATAACAGGCCGAGTGGAGGTCTACAAACGTGTGTAAATATAGCAGCCACAACGAGTCGAATGCAGGTCTACAAACGTGTGTAAATATAGCAGCCACAACAGGTCGAGTGGAGGTCTACAAATGTGTGTAAATATAGCAGGCACAACAGGTAGAATGGAGGTCTACAAACGTGTGTAAATATATCAGCTTTAACAGGCCGAGTGGAGGTCTACAAACGTGTGTAAATATATCAGCTATAACAGGCCGAGTGGAGGTCTTCAAACGTGTGTAAATATATCAGCTTTAACAGGCCGAGTGGAGGTCTACAAACGTGTGTAAATATAGCAACCATAACAGGTCGAGTGGAGGTCTACACATGTGTGTAAATATAGCAGCTATAACAGGCCGAGTGGACGTCTTCAAACGTGTGTGAATATAGCAGCTAAAACAGGCCGAGTGGGGGTCTACAAATGTGTGTAAATATACCAGGCACAAGAAGTCGAGTAGAGGTCTACAAACGTGTGTAAATATAGAAGCCACAACAAGTCGAGTAGACATAGTACATATATACATATATTGACAATAAACACATGTATGGTTTTCCCCACTCCGAAATTTTCAATAGAAAAATTTGTGTTTGATGTGTTATTTGACATATTCTGAGTAAATTCGCACTTATCATTTGCCTGCGTGTCTGTTCCTCTTTGATTTCTTGTTATTTCAAAATGACGTCGTCATTCAGCTGTTAAAAGTGCGATTTTTCAGTCCCCTTTTTATACTTAGAACTGTGTCTCTCTCAGTAACATTTTAAATGTATAACGTCATTACAAATGCTTACAATGATGTGCATACTTAGTACCTAAGGGTCCCTACGAGTAAAAGCTAAAAGATAGTTCATGATTTTTTTCTGAGCTATAGCAGTAAACTGTAGTTCTCAAGACTTAAGCTATTTATGGACGATCAGCCACACAACACGTACTTGAGCACCAATATGAAAAAACCCTTTTGTTCATTTATTTGTTTTCCGATGTGTCTGTCCTCACAATTGGAAACCTTTTCCATACCCGTTACAAAATAGATCTTAAAATGAAAGAGTTCAGATTCAATTTGGCGAAATTGTAAGTGGATAATGTGGTTTGAGAAATTTTTTTGGGACTTGTTAATATGAAACTGTAAATAAACTTACACAGGAGCAAAACTATTTATTCAGAGTTTCAGAAATAGTGATATGCGATAAAACAGTGACTCCTTCACCACAGGAAATTTTAACGACTGATAGGCTTTTTTGGACTATTCATGTAGCGCACATAAGTAAGAACAAATTGCTTGAAGATATTTTATCTCTGTTTCAGCAGTTTTTTTCCTACCCAGAACACAAATAAAACCACCTTTAGAGGAAAAGGATCAAATATGCAACCTCTCAAATTAATTCATTACTATTAATTTGTAGATTTATTTTGATGAATTGTACATTTATATAGTATGTTCCTGTACACACAACAGTACGAATTCAACAATACCTGTGTAAAAATACGAGATACAATATACACTTGATTGTAAACCGACTTTGAACTACTGGTCTATATATAGAATAACCTAACCCCACAGGAAGCGATTGGGCCAACATTTGTTTACACCAACAGCCGAGAAGACAAACACAGGTAAGTTTACACTTAAGCACAGCTCATTAGAGAAAACCCGCTGTTACCAAGGTTTGAACTTTATGGATGGGGATAACACACACACTTGATCTAGGGTTGTCGGGGAATAAAGTCCTGAGATACCACGTAGTAAACACACGACATGGTAAATATACAGACTACACACATTATACCTACCCGCCCTAACACATTCAACTAGAGGCACAATATACCCAACGTAATATATATGTTACAATATTATTCATACCCACCCTAATACACACAGCTAGAGACACCGTATACTCAACCTAATATAAATGATTACAATATAATTTATACCCACCCTAATACATGCAACTAGAGACACCATATACCCAACTTAATGTAAAGGGTTACCATATCATACCTACCAGTCCTAATACAAAAGGGGTTATCATACAACTAGAGGCATTATAAATCCAACCTGATATAAAGGGGTTACCAAATAACTAGGGACATTATTCTAAATGCCAATTATCTGCTGGTTACCCTTAGCCTTGGGAAGACATTTTTTGCGTACCCCTGTGATCTTGAAAATGATTTGAGGACGTTTACAAGAGGAAGCTTTACAGCATTTTTCCAGGTAGCTGCTGGCCACATATCAGGACCCGGATTCTTTAGAATCTTAAGAAGACTCTGAAAATATTTTCGACATATTGGACTCTTGCCACATTGATCAGAAAAAACTACCGTGTGAACTCATTAGCAAACTATAATTATCTTTACTCTCTTCCCCCAGGAATTGCAAAACCATAGGGTAACTGAGATGAGCCTTACTGAGATGAAGAATTCCTGTATTTGATTTTACAAGACCAGGGTCTGAAAGGTCTAAAATTTCTATCAAGACGGGCATTTCGTGCAACCTAGGTTGAGGACAATGTCATTCGTAATTTGGTTGAGCATTAGCCATGGAACCTCTGCCAAATTTCATCAAAATTCATTTTGGAGTTTTTGAAAAGAAATCGAAAATATCAGTTATTGAAGGACAGATAACTGTAAAAGATGACTGGGGACGACCTGTCAGGCTGATAATACATGGTACCTGTAAACTCATCCAAGCGTGTAAAACAATTACCCTTGAAAGGACAATACTTGAATTAAGTCTTAAATAGTGGAATGACCTTGAAAGTGAGTCAATGTCATTTGTTTTAACGAAATGAAACCCCTTCCTGTAACTGTGCTTACAGTTTTCAGTTTTATTGGCCTTTAACCTTTTGGCTAATCAGCATAAACAAATAATAATACAACAGTGATTCCAGCGATACAGACATATTATGAAGGATGGACAGTAGGGTTTGCATTGACATTTGATCTAACCTTAGAAGCAGCAACTAGAAATTTTACTAAATTACTTATTTTTTTTTTCTTATTTCTAACAGAGAGAAGATTGACTGGTTTGAACATAAATGAATGCACTCTATAATATCTATCAACATATTGAGCTCTGAGAACATTGTAAAACGAACAAACATTTAAATGCAATTTATCTTCATTATCTTCCAAGTTACATTTTTGAAACATTCTTTCAGTTCCTGGTGTTCTTTCGTATCTACCTCTTTCTTTACAGAGATCAAGTGAAGATAACCTAAATTTTGCAATCGCTGAAGTATATGCCTCTGGTTAAGATTTCTTAAGATAGTATTGATGAAATTTAACATGTGGTAGAAAACTAAACAAAAACATTTATAAGAGTTTTCAAAATAATTATTTACATTTTGTACAAAAAACATCAATCAAGCGTTGCTTGACGTCGAGTGTAAACTGACGTTTACACAAGACATTATGGTTAAACCAAACATATCTTAAACCTAGAGACATTAATAATGTTTTTTTCACATTACTGAGCCAGATAATCTTTTAATCAGATACAGATAACATGTCATTATACAATGCTTATATCTGTCTCCAATAGTTTTAGCCAGTACTGAATAATTCTTATTTAATTAATTACTGAAAATAGTAATATACCAAGTTCAGAGTATAGCATGTTGTTAGTACATTTTCATCTTAGGTAAACGTCTGCTAAAAGCTGTATTTTTCCTACATCAGGGGCCTCATGAAAACCCTAATTTTCACAACCGTAGTTCAATACACTGGAAACATAAATATCAAAAAAACATCTATTTTCGTTTCAATATCTAAAAAAATTGCGATCACATAGATTCACTATGCGATATACACATTTTCGAGCCTGTTGGCCAATTATTGAACTTCTCATTAAAAATAATATAATATCTAAATAATTCGAGCTTGTCAGAATTTCTGAAAACAACAGTTTTGGTTTTGGTTTAATTTAATATTCCATGCAGAACTATACTTCTTTAAAATATTCAACATAGTTTGAAGCCCTTCCCTACATGCAGAGAAGTCGTCAGCATAATACATAATTAAATATAATGATATATCTTAATTCAATACATTCATTTGTTTTTAAAAGCAATTCATTTTCAACATCATCAATATATAAAGGAAGAGAGATAACCCTTTCTCTTGCGTCAGTCCCTAGAAGATAGATAACTCTGAACTGTATTTCACACACGGTTAAACTTTTTCGTAGATTTAATTTCATTGAACATTTTGTCAGTTACTATATTTCTGGCTAATTTAGAAAACTGACTCTTAGGATTAATGTTATCAAAAGCCTTTTCGTAGTCTACGAAAATAATATTTTATTTTGCACTAAATATTGTTTAAATTACACTATGCAAAAAAATTGCATCGATTGTCCCGGAACCACGACGGAAACCAAACTTGGCGTCTGATATGACACTATGGTTATCTTACCACTCCAATAATCTGTCATTAAGACCAGAAGTGAACAGCTTTTACAAACAACTTACTAAGGTTACGTCTCTTAACTATTAAGCTATTAACATCATCAGTATAACCTTTTTTGTGAAGAGGGATTATAACACCACGTGATCGACTTTCTGGAAAAAAACACCTTCAATGATCATCAAATTGATTAATCTTGTAAACAAACGGACAAAGATATTTCTAAAAATTACGAAGTATTCATTCATCAGGTTGTCTGTACCCGGAGACATATTAACTTTAACTGTTTAATGACCTTCCAGATTCCTTCCTCAGTTATTTCTTTGTCTAGCTCAGGAAAAATACATTCATCAGGATTGTGTTTATCTACACCACTGTTATTCACTGTATTCTCACCTTCAAAAATACTTTTAAAGTGTGCATAAAACAAACTCGTTAATTGACAACTTTGTATTAGCATTTGTCTTCTGTTTTTTAAATAACCGATGAAATATTTGGGTTAGCTTTCTGCATGTACATCAACCTATTACCTTCTTGTGTTTTGAATTTTCTTTTCATCTGAAGTTCATATCTTTTAAAAAGACGCTTATTTTCTAATAAAATACTTCTTTTTTCAGTAGTACGTAAAAATTGAAGCTCTCTATACATTCTGTATAAAAACTTACTATGGTTGTCGATTATAAATGTCATTTATAATATTATGACCGCCTCTGGTCACGATTACGATTACAAACAATAATTTTACCATAAAAACGCAAATAAACCCACCATTCAGCACACTGGTTTATATGGCTATTCTCTAGAGATGTTATTCTTACAATCAGATCAGTTTTGCTTTGAGTTTAGAACATCTCCCATTTAATCTACCTGATCATTATTCCGCTTGTACACGATATGTGTTTCTCATTCACCAGCAGACTCTATCCTATATATAAAAATGTTCACAGTGAATAGCAAAATCAATAGCAGCTTGATCACACCATGTATTAAAATCACAGACTTTTATTCTTTTCACAAGATCAAAGCATGACTTCGCTGCAAGAACCTTATCGATGACACTAGAGCCTAAAAAGTTAAAAACAAAAGTGTTAGATGACCAGTAATACCATCTATTTTTCTACCGTTACATTCCCGGGTCCCGCTCGCTTTAATTTAATCAATCTTCTACCAAGATTGTTTACAACAGTATCCTCTGATCGCCTTTTTAACAAAGTGACGTCAGCATCGTATTAAAAAATGTTAGATAATCTATCATTAATGTCAAAGTCAGACCTGTTTCCTATACGACTGTTATAAAGTCACCAGTAATTATAACATTTCCTAATATTGAGTATGTAGCAATATCTCATGTAAATAAACACATAATACCTGTAATGTAGTTACTAGACACAAACTGGATATCATAATTAGCCATCAACAGATCTACAGCAGATCAGAATTTATCTACAACGTCTTGTCATTTTGACAACATCGTGTTAATCTGTCATTTGCAAATAATTTGAAGAAGTTTAAAATGTTTTGCATTTCAATAAACACCTGTTCTTGATCTGTTTTAAGTCATAAATCCATGTAATGGCTGTGTGGTGTTCACCTCTTTCTTTCTGTTATTTAGTGCCAGTATGAAGTGTTCGGTGCACGAAGATCAGACCGTCATCATGGCTTGTCGGACACAGCAATGTGAGGATTGTTTGGTTTGTGTTCTGTGTATAGCTGGGCTACACAGAGGACATGAAATGACAACTCTGGAGGAAGCTGCGGAGAGAGTAAAAGAACGACTCAATGATATGTCAACTGCAAACATCAATTACCTCAAGGGCCAGAAGAGGAAAATAGACTGTGTCAACAGCCTGCAAGAGGCGATTAACCAGAAACAGGAGAAAGCTCGTGAACAAGGCCAAATGATGCATGACGCTGTGGATAGGGTCATTGGGCATATAATTTCCAATTATGAAAGACGATCAAAGGAGATGAAGGCCATAATGCACAAGATACAAGACTCTATTGAAATCGTAGAAAAATCACAAGAGAGATTGGGACATGTTCTGGATACGGACGACTGGATAAAGATTATCCTTGAAGGAAAGAAAACAACGGAGTTGCCGAGCGTAGAAGATCTGTCCGAGGATGTTACACCTGATGTTGGAGAAGAGGATATTAATAAAACTATTGTAACGGGGATCCTATCTGCCCTACAGCAATGTCAGCCCCCTACTGCGATAACAGAACAGCCATGTCACCCTGCCACTACAATAACAAAAGACGATGAGCACACATCAGATTTCAAAGGCATGGTCTATAGGCACAGAACACTAAAATCCATCTCTTGTGTTTCACTGTCAAAGGAACATCGCATATCAAACATCGCTCCAGGTCAAACGGAAACATTTTGGGTTGTTATAAACGACGAAATTAAGTTTTGCAACAAACAGCATGGGATCATAAATAACAATTTAACAATTAAAAATATATTCCGTGGAATGGCTGTTACAGAATCTGACAAATTACTTACAACATGTACTGACGATAAATGTGTGAGGAAGATTACCTCTGGCGGTAAAACATTATTTAGTTTTAACACAGATCCTCTGATTCCTAATCAGTTATGTATCGCCAATAACGGCGACATCTTAGTCACGCTTGTTTCATCCTTTGTGGATCCTCTGCCGGACACAGTTGGAGTCGTGAGTCGGTACACCCCACAAGGGAAGAGGATGGTAACGTTTGAGAGGGATCGCTTCGGTAACAGCATCTGTCCTAAATATATAGCAGCCAGTCGAGTCTCGGACATGGTGGCTGTTACAACCATCACCAACAAAGACAATGAAGGTTATTATAATAGTCACGTGATAGTAATGACTGGGGACCTCCAGGTGAAGTTTCGGTACCTGAGCGACGGACGAGTCATTCTTGGTGACCAGCAGTATCGTCCACATGATTCAACCATACATTTCAGTGTTGGTATCGATAGTCAGGACAACATCATACTAGGCGATATCAAAGCGGGTTCTATACAGATTATCGACCAACATGGCCACAAACTTCAGTGTTTTGGACATGCTGACGGGATGAATTTCCTAACTGTCTCTTTTGAAGATGAAATATGGATAGGAAAGAAAAACGGTCAAGTGGAGGTTTTTAAATATACGTGATACTGCTAACTTCTTCACCGTGACACAAATGGATGCCAAAATTTGTTGATTTAAACATATTTTTATTTGTTTCGATCTGAAAATTGAAAAAAAAATCAAATTGAACCAAAGAAGTTTAGTGCTTATGCTTCCAACATTGAATTTAATGTTTAAATGTTGATGGTCTCAACGTTACTCCTACGTCTATAGAATTTTCATTGGGTCTTACGTTTGATCTCAGCTTCTGGCAGCATGAAATTATATAAGTATTATTTTCAATAAATATTTTTAATAAACTTATTCTAGTGGCGAGTGTCCTTTATTTAGCTATTCACATGCATTGCGGCAATTCCTGGCCAATTCCCGACCTGTTATCTTTGGTAATAATAGATGCAACAGATCAGTTGCATGGTAGTGCTTGTGGCAGAGTTCTTATTGATAGTGTTGGAGAAATGGTAAAATGCCATCTTAATGTTCAACGTATTTTAGGATTATAAAAGATAAACATTCTAAGGAGCAACCCAGCCATTTAATTGATCTTTTGTTTTGCCTTTCCTGTACATTCCCCTGCTTAAATCTTACACACCACTTCCGGACGTACATGTTCTATATATAGACAACGTGAATTCGAATGCACGTTTACCTTTCGTCATAAGTCTTGTACTTTTAGATCGACCAAGGTGGTGAACTGAAATAGGTGCTCCATCAGAGTAAAATATCATACCTCATTAATACAAAAAGTGGACCAAAAGGCTACGAGCAGTTGTTTTCCAACGAGAAATTTGGATTAAAATGTGGCCGATTTCTTTACCGATTTAAAAACTAAATGTAGTAAAGTCGTGGTCCAGAATTATGCCCCGATCCAGCCAGACTCTTCTCGGGTGCTTGGTGCTGACAATATCGAGATCTCTTCTTCTAAAGTTCATCTAGGAACTGTAATGTCGTCACGAATGGTAAACGATTAACGAGTGTAAGTTGCATGTGACAAAGACAGGAGAACTCTTTTTTTACATTCTATCTATGGAATAGACTCCTGATCCAGTTTTATTAGTGCACTTGTCATGGCATGTCTGTACACGAAGGTAGTTTTACAATTAATGATGATACGTTAATATGTTAATAAAAATTAGGCCGCTTCCAACATTATGCCGATAAATTAATGCTGGGATTAGCACTACGAGTTAGGTAAGATATTGCCTAGCCCATGCTAGAGAAAGTTACTTCATCTCCAAAAACTAATTTCATTTGATTAATCCTTTCTATTTCAGCAAATTTCCAACATACGGCTATACTCTTTTCTGAAAAGCGCAAATTGGAGAATCTGAAATTCTTTGTTCCAGAGAGTACTTCCCCAATATTGTGAAAGTGCTTCAAAATATAAGTTGGTGTCTTACTTGGACTGGTATTTACAGAGTTATACATTTCCCTCCAATCGGCGGTGGACATCAATTGTCAAATCTGCCATAATGTCCTCCGAAAACTCGGCTTTAAAAGTCCGAATGGCTGATGGTCACGATTTCAACATTTTTCAAGAAAGCGTCATTCATCTTACGAACCATACATAATGTGGATCGTAACTGACTCTGTTGCGGACATTAAGTTAATTGATTTATTGTGTACTATATTGACAATGCCAGCATCTCCTGTCCACACCATGTGTCTTCCATGCTCTCAGACATTCGTTGACACCGTTATTCACTGTTGCTACACTTATGAGTATACAATCGACCTCCGTATAGAAGCGACCTCCGTATAGAGTTTCTACAGTGAGTTCTTTCCACGTTTGGCCAAAATGTATGCACTTCAATTTGGAATGAGGACAATGTCAAGGACAATTTGTTTACACCTTATTTGGTGCGAAGACAGACAACCATTTCCAGGTTGTCGTCGCTCAGAAACTCTTTCCAATGAAAGCATCGCGGTTCGTTGTGCTCACTATACTTTTCATTTCTATTTGACATGAACATATTGATACTAAGCAGTGAGAATTTACGCATGTAAATTCTCTGTATTCGCACTCGACAAACTTCGTTCATTTTGTCGATTTTATGTGTTTTTAATATCTGTACCTCTTCGATACAAAAAATGGGCCAAAATATTACTAGCATTAGGTTATTTTCAAACGTGAATTCAGGATTACAGGACATATTTCTTTACCTGTGTTTACAGCACAGAAGATTTTTATTGATGTTTATATGAGATGAATTGACTACGAATAGTGTAGGGCTCCTGAGATGCTGGTTGATGCTCAATTGTAAACATTTTATATACTTTTGCAGTATGAAGTTATATGTTCATGTTTCGATGCTTGTTAGTATGGCTGGTGATTTCGTTGAAAAATGTTTGAGAACGCGACATTGCTTACTTGGATTGAGGTTAAAATTGAAATAGCGGGTTTCTTCGATGAAGCTAAAGACACCTACCTCTCCGTAACACCTGGTCGTGCGCCTGGTTCTTTGCCTGGGGTTGAGTACCACAGTGTATCCATCGTGCTGACATTTATATCAAAAGAACAGCAGCTACTAAATAATCTAACTTGTGTAAACATATGAAGCGGAAAAGAGATGCAAGTACACAGATACATCGTGTGCTTATTACAAAGTCAACAAAGACGCGACATAGAATAGGCAACATTGAAACCAAAACACGATATTCGCATAGCATGAATTCCGAATCCAGTAGATTTAAATTTACGGGAAAAGACAGTGACACATAATCAAGTTGGTCAACACTCATTCACAATTATCAACAATTTAGAAGAAAGCATGAAAATGTTTAAGAATAGTAACAATACTATTTAAAAAGTGTTTCTTCAGTCACATATGACATGTACACAAGGACTACATACAATGCTATTGGTGGAGTTGTCAGAAGCATCTCAGGCAAACACAAGAAAACCGCAAAAATATAGAAACTTGTTGACAGAATGCATAAAGAAGGGTTGGAATCTGAGGAATATTCCTATTTGGGTGAGGCATGCTGGGACATCACAGAAGACAGGACGAGGCAGGCAACAGCTTCGCAGTTGCTGAATACTACTACTGGGGTGAGGCATGATGGCATATCACAGAAGACGGGATAGGGACAGGGCAACAACTTAGGAGTTGCTGAATTTTCCTATTGAGATAAGTCATGCTGGGATTTCATAGAAGATAGGACAGGGGAAGGGCAACAGTGTTGCAGTTGCTGAATGTTCCTATTGGGATCAGGCATGCTGGGATATCACAGAAGACAGTGTGGAGCAGGGCAACAGCGTAGGAGTTGCTGTATGCTCCTATTGGGATGAGGCATGCTGGGATATCACAGAAGGCAGTGTGGAGCAGGGCAACAGCGTAGGAGTTGCTGTATGCTCCTATTGGGATCAGGCATGCTGGGATATCACAGAAGACAGGGTGGAGCAGGGCATCAGCGTAGGAGTTACTGAATGCTCCAATTGAGATGAGGCATGCTGGGATATCACAGAAGACAGGGTGGAGCAGGGCATCAGTGTAGGAGTTGCTGTATTCTCCTATTGGGATCAGGCATGCTGGGATATCACAGAAGACAGGGTGGAGCAGGGCATCAGCGTGGGAGTTACTGAATGCTCCAATTGGGATGAGGCATGCTGGGATATCACAGAAGACAGGGTGGAGCAGGGCATCAGCGTGGGAGTTACTGAATGCTCCAATTGGGATGAGGCATGCTGGGATATCACAGAAGGCAGTGTGGAGCAGGGCAACAGCGTAGGAGTTGCTGTATGCTCCTATTGGGATGAGGCATGCTGGGATATCACAGAAGACAGGGTGGAGCAGGGCATCAGCGTGGGAGTTACTGAATGCTCCAATTGGGATGAGGCATGCTGGGATATCACAGATAACAAATTATAAATTTCATCATGATTTATTATTCTATTCATACAATACATTACAAAAACATACAAACTATAACAAGTGTATTACAAATTGTATACAATACATAGCTACCACAAGAAGACTTTTACACAAACTAATACAGGTTTGGTGTGAACTACTAATTATGGTAGCCTGAACTATCAACATGTATACTAGTAAGAATTATGACTGGTCCCATACTCAAGTACAGCGGATAAAGTCGAACTTTGACTTAACAATAAAATTGTATTCTAAACTTGTGATTACTTAACAATAGCACATGTCCCCTTTATGTAATGTAGAGGAAAGTCTAATGCTGACTTGACATGATGTCCAATACTTCTGTATCACTCATTTGTTAGAGATGTCACTTCTCTTACATTTAGACTAAAATACCTTAACTATACATGAACATTTTCCTTCCCTGAACTGTATATTGTATTTAGTATTTACCACTGTTACTATACTTCCACTTTAGAAAACAACTCCAGTTGTCCAGAGTAACAGTATTTTATGGAACAAGTGTTTTTACCAATACCTCCATGGTTCCTACATGGGTCCTAAAGCAACAGATTTCATTATTCATAACAATACCTCCTTTCAGAATTCACTAAACAAGATAAAGAGAATATTTCTTTACCCTAGTTATATACAACAGGTTTCGTTAGCAGGTTTTACATCCACTATTACAGCCTTTCAGCAGATGAAGGCAGCTAGTGTTTACTTTTGTTTCATTGATACTAACACACTCCTAGCTAAAAACGCTAAGGACATGGAGTTATCTAATTGATTTAAAATAAAAGTTAAAAACAAAAGCATTTACCCCTTGCCATTGAAAAGGAGTGAGGATATTCAGAAAATAGATCAAGCTCCCCGAACCATTATTTTTTATTTGTCTCTCGGGTTATATCATGAATGATAAAGAGATTTAAATTTACAAGCATGAAAAACAACACTTCATTTCATCACTTTAGTCCTTTCTTACCAAACCTGTATCTACCAAAGCATTACAGAGGCAATATTGTTACACACTTACTCTACCAGTTAAATAATAATAAAAAAAAAAATCAGCAAAGCTCACAGCAGAGATGATTCTGATATTTAACAATAACAAGAGGCCCAATGGGCCTTAACAGTCACCTGAGGAATATATGTCAATAATCTGGGGATTTTAAAATGTTGCAAAAGTGTAACAACACTTGTGCAGGACCAAGTGTAAAACATCTGTACCAAGTTTGAACATGACCCACCCAATGGTTCTTAAGAGTAAGTCCATAATGTCTTAGCCAAACAGAGGCCAGGGTGGCAATCTTGGATTTTGAATCGCCCCAAAAAGTTAAAACACTTGCCAGGACCTTGTGTAGAACATTCGTATCAAGTTTCGCCCTTTTCCCCCTCCTGGGGCCCCTATTGGGGCCACGCCTTTTTTCTTCGCAAACTTGAAGCGGCTTCCCATGGGGATGCTTTGTGCCAAGTTTGGTCAAAATCCATCCACTGGTTCTTGAGAAGTAGTCATTTAATGAAGGTTTTTACATATGGCCCCTTTTACACCCCTATGGGCCCCAAAGGGGACATAATCACTTTTTTCAACATAATTTCATATGTCCTTCACTAAGGGATGCTTTCTTACAAATTTGGTTGAAATCGGTCAAAGTTGAATTTTTGACCCTTTTGAGCGCCCCCTAGTGGAGCCGTTTTTGACCCGATTTTTTTTTCATTAGCAAACTTTGTAGACCTTGCCATAAGGTCCCTAAATATCAAATATGTATTTAATCATGAGAAGAAGATTTTTAAAGATTTACCTAATTTTACCCCCTTTTTCCCCCTCCTGGGGCCCCTATTGGGGCTATGCCCTTTTTCTTCACACACTTGGAGCGGCTTCCCATGGGGATGCTTTGTGCCAAGTTTGGTCAAAATCCATTCAGTGGTTCTTGAGAAGAAGTGGAATATGTGAAAAGTTAACGACGCACGACGACAGACAAATCATGATGGCAATGGGTCACCATGAGCCTTTGGCTCAGGCGACCTAAAAACTATAAGAAAATATTCCATTAGATGAAGGCAGGTATCGTTTGATTCCACCTGATACTGATAAAACAACCATTAAATTCATATTATTATAAAATGAAGGTAAGGGGACTTGTTATAGCTAAAGGTAAGACATATGTAAAAAAAATCATAACTACTACATAAGTCCAGGGACTTTAAACACTACTTCTTACTAAGGGGGTGGGCTTATCACAGAATAATGATAGAGCATTGCTTTTTATTAAACAACATTATGTATTGATGCTTATTACCAGGCTTAGTGCTGGCTAAATTTAATTCTAATTACCACAGGGTGAATACGAAGCCTTGACACCTAAATATCTGAGGACTCTAGATATTTGACAATAGCCCAAATCACTGGGAATGTAGTTTCCCATGGGTCAAGTGTTTCTAAATATCTATCTAACAATCAAAGGCAATAACTGAGGATATGGGTTGTGATATTATTTTTTACGACATACGACTGAAAAATTATCTTTCCATCTTGGATGGTATCAAGATACAAAATATGGCGTGACTCCTGTATGAATGAGCAGTCTTACTGCCTATATTGAGGGATCTAATGGCTCTACAACTTCTAGTTGTTATGGAAATGTTGAAAATATGAATTGTTAATAGACACTGAACAATAAAAAATAGATGAAAACACATTTTAATTGGTCATTGGGACCTTCCACATCTGTAACCTAGTAAACAATTACATATGGCACATTATCATATAACAACAAATTCTTCATACTATATATTGTTGAATTTTGCAGGTTCAAAATTTTGCAATTTTCTGTCAAGAACTTATTCACGAGGGTTAAATTTTGCAAATAACATAATAATTTGGAGTACAGGTATTTCAGAACACTTTGTTGATATGTGACTGTGGACAATCAAGCTGGTACTTAGCTGGTGTTAATGGTACAGAAACTGTTACTGGATGAGGAAATGTTGAAAAAGACATTCTCCGTCACAGGAATTCAAACTGTATCTCCATCTTATACAAGTTCCTTTTTATGTCTATTTTCGGCTGAGGCAGGGTTATTTCAACTGGTAGGTTGACTTGTGAAACCTTGATTATATCGACATGATCTCGGAGGTGTTAAGTTTTCCATCTTTTGATGCATTTGTGAGTTAAGTGAAATTAAAACCCTCGTGAGTAGTATACAGTAGATCTCCAGTTTTGTTTACACCTTCAAAGGTTAATATTGTAAAACATGAGATAACTATGACTACTGACAAACTTTGCAGCCCAAGTAGGAGATTATTATTTTAGTGGGTTCTATTTTCCAATCATAATAATCATTATCATTATTACATTCTTAAAGGCCCGTAAACACATAAAAGACCATTAGGGCCATCAAATGGTATTTTTCAATCTTCTTTTCAAAGAAGGACTATAATTGTAAAAAAAGGTATGTTGGTATAAAATTTATCAAGAAAACAACAGTCTGGTTCATGGATTCTGTAAAAAAATACATTTTTTTTAATCTCTCATAAAATTATAAAAATGTGAGCTAACAAAAAATACATCTACAACATCTACAGTGATTAAAGTGTCCTATTCTAATTTTAATCCAGATTTAATCTGTCTTATGACTATTTGTTCAAAGACCTTACCCAAGTAACATTACAAGTAATAAAGAGATGATGATAATAAGATAAAAAATTGGATATCACATTAAAATAGGAAATATGTCTTATTCCAGGTCCAATGTATGTATCCTGTGTTTACTCAATTCTGTCTATATCACAATACAAGGGTATACTGGTGTTTAGTATAATATACAGGTCAAGGTTATAACTGAATATAGATGCTTTAGGAGACCAATATAATTCATGAACCACACATGAATTCTGCAAAGCAACAACACTGCATAATTCTGAAGATTTATAATGCTTAAGTAGTAACTTATTTGCGATATCACGACAAATATCACATTGAAACAAATTTCATCCACATGTGCTATCATCAACACACTCCACAGAATTTGCGACCTTGTCTCGTCACATGGTTTTTGTGAATTTATATCACCATACACAGGCGTACCTGTTTCTGCTCCATACAGAGTGCCAGGTTATGAATTCTTACAAGTCGTACATTATCTGTATCTCCAGCGTTAAATACTCGGTAGATACAAAAGTTCTCTTTCTGTTCCTGAGCAAACTTAACTTGTGGTGCGGAGATTTCAAAAACTTCCTTTTTGTCAGAAACTGTGCTTTTCACTTCAATATATATCACAGAAATTCCAGTTTCTGTGGCAACATGCATTTCAAAATCATACGGCAACCCTGTCTCCTGTTGCTCATTCATCCATATAACTTGGATGATGTCAGAACTGACCTCTTTCATTTGAAGGAGATAGTAATATACAAGAGTTTCTCCCCACTGGCCAACTGCTTCTGTCCCAGCACCTGAATCTAGGACTATGTTCTCTGGCAGTTTGAGATCTTTTCTGATGTTCAGCTCTTCGTAGACATACTCACTGGAAACAGTAGCCCAGGCTGGGTCACCTACAATACAGAAATGGTTCACTAGAAATTAAATGAAATGGTGACGACTTGATCACCCAAGTGAATGGTTGTTATAGAGGTATCTATGACAAGTTGCTATGTATCTCACAATAATATTAAAAAATCTGATTTCTGTTGTAGAGGTAACTGTTTTGTTATTCTGTAACATTTTCAAAAGTTGAATCATATCTATATCGTAATCATGGAATCATATTTGCCAGAGTGAGTCCATGTTATCTGTATTCAAGGGGTGGGCTTATTAAAGGGCAGTGGAAAAGCATTTGTTTGTAACAGCAATAGATAGAGGTGGGATGGTTACAAGTATAGACTAGATGTAAGCATTGATGACCTCTGTCTAACTTAACATTTCACAAGGTCAATATAATGCTTACCGAAGTGCACGCCAGTGAGAGGCTTCTTGGTGGATGGAGGATGAGGTGATCCATCGTCTGGGTGACGACGCTTGTTACTGCTCTGGGTTCCGGGCTCTTTTTCTTCATTCTGCCCCTCAACAGTGGCAATCTGACCAGAGGACCTGTCTCCTCTGCTCTCTGACTGGATGGATGTTGATCTTTTGACTGTCTGATTATCAGAAGACTGTTCTGAAGCCTCCCCTGTGCTGTATGGGCGTTTGGTTTCTCCAGATTCTGACTGACTGTCATCTGCTCGCTTACGCTTCATTCCATCTGCACAAAGGAAATAGAAGATCAATGAACTCATTAAATTTTCTGACATTCATCTACTTATCTGAACACAATTATGTAGGTGATAAAGAAGAGCTAAACAGACTGAAATGAAGTTTATTTTCATTCCATACAGCAACACCTATAGTTTATCACATCTGTATCCTTTTGGATTTTCTGTAAAGGATTCAGTACATCTGATGTTTAGATAGGTGGAAAAATCTATCGTATTCATGTCCTTCATTAAATAATTCACTTATTTAAACGAAAGTACAGAAGTACTTTTACCACTTTCTCCTGAGCTGTCCTGTGGAGTAAACTGGCTAACTGATCCAGTCTCAACGATACCACCTTTGGTCTCCAGGTCTCTTTCAGACTTCTCTGTTTTTACAGTTTTCTTTTCAGAACTTTCCTCACCATCTATGACTTTAACCCCTGATGGGAGCTCTCTCACACTGCGAATATAATCAGGTGCCTTCGGAGGTGGCCATATGTTAGAGCCAGTAGACCCTTCCTCTCTTGGAGCTGAAATCAAAAGAACACAAACATTCTGTCAAATGATATATTTTCATGTGAATTAAAGGTATGCATTTTCATTGATATTTAATTTCATGAATTTTCGGTACCCACAAAATCACACATATGACATGTGGACACATAAATTTATGGATCAAGCGTATGTATGGAAGCAACAAAACTAATCCACATCAAAAATAAATGATTTTTCAGTAGCTGTGTATCATTGTGTTTATTCTCTCTCTTCATATATATACAACTGTTGCCATGGCCTATCTCTATTTATATAAATCACTGTTGCCATGGCTACCTCTATTTATATAAATCACTGTTGCCATGGCCTACCTCTATTTATATAAATCACTGTTGCCATGGCCTACCTCTATTTATATAAATCACTGTTGCCATGGCCTACCTCTATTTATATAAATCACTGTTGCCATGGCCTACCTCTATTTATATAAATCACTGTTGCCATGGCCTACCTCTATTTATATAAATCACTGTTGCCATGGCCTACCTCTATTTATATAAATCACTGTTGCCATGGCTACCTCTATTTATATAAATCACTGTTGCCATGGCCTACCTCTATTTATATAAATCACTGTTGCCATGGCCTACCTCTATTTATATAAATCACTGTTGCCATGGCCTACTTCTATTTATATAAATCACTGTTGCCATGACCTACTTCTATTTATATAAATCACTGTTGCCATGGCCTACTTCTATTTATATAAATCACTGTTGCCATGGCCTACTTCTATTTATATAAATCACTGTTGTTATGCCTTCCTCTCTATATATATAATCACAGTTGTTAGGCCTAACTCTCCCTATGTATATTTATCAATCAGTGTTGCCATGCCTACCTCTCTCTATATATAACTGTTGCCATGGCCTACCTCTATTTATATAAATCACTGTTGCCATGGCCTACCTCTATTTATATAAATCACTGTTGCCAGGCCTACCTCTACTCTATATATCACTGTTATACCTCTATTTATATAAATCACTGTTGCCATGCCTTCTCTCTTATATATTTATCAATCACTGTTGCCATGCCTTTCTATATATATATATACTGTTGCCATGGCTACCTCTATTTATATAACTGTTTTATCTATTTATATAAATCAGTGTTGCCATGCCTTTCTCTCTATATATATATCTTTATCAATCAGTGTTGCCATGCCTTCTCTCTATATATATATAATCACTGTTGCCAGGCCTAACTCTCTATATATATATATATATATCTTTATCAATCAGTGTTGCCATGCCTTTCTCTCTATATATATAATGACTGTTGTTAGGCCTAACTCTCTCTATATATATTTATCAATCAGTGTTGCCATGCCTTTCTCTCTATATATATAATCACTGTTCTTAGGCCTTACTCTCTCTATATATTTATCAATCAGTGTTGCCATGCCTACCTCTCTATATATATAATCACTGTTCTTAGGCCTTACTCTCTCTATATATATTTATCAATCAGTGTTGCCATGCCTTTCTCTCTATATATATAATCACTGTTCTTAGGCCTTACTCTCTCTATATATTTATCAATCAGTGTTGCCATGCCTTTCTCTATATATATATTTATCAATCAGTGTTGCCATGCCTTTCTCTCTATATATATCTTTATCAATCAGTGTTGCCATGCCTTTCTCTCTATATATATCTTTATCAATCAGTGTTGCCATGCCTTTCTCTCTATATATATATTTATCAATCAGCGTTGCCATGCCTTTCTCTCTATATATATTTATCAATCAGTGTTGCCATGCCTTTCTCTCTCTATATATATATTTATCAATCAGTGTTGCCATGCCTTTCTCTCTCTATATATATTTATCAATCAGTGTTGCCATGCCTTTCTCTCTATATATATATTTATCAATCAGCGTTGCCATGCCTTTCTCTCTATATATAGATAACTGTTTCAACAACTACCTCTCATTCTATATATATACATCACTGCCACGCCTACCTATATATACATATAAATCAGTGTTGCCACGCCTACCTATATATACATATAAATCAGTGTTGCCATGCCTACCTTTCTTCTTGCCCTCATGATCCTTGACATTGGTATCAGAGGCAGGTGGCCATGCTGTCAGTCTAGGCTCGCCCTCAGGTTGGGACTTATCATCTTTTATTTCACTTGGAGCAGTCACAGCAACAGCTACAACATTATCAGTATATACATCTTAAAAATACACAAACCAAAAAAATTGTTCTACTCCAAAACCCAAACAGCAGGGGGAGCTGTTATGTATAACCCTTAATTTTATGCGACACACATTTTTCAAACTGAAAAAGAACAGGCAAACACTATGTATACAGCATGTCTGTGATACAATTTAAGGATACAGCAATCAGCATTCTGCTGTCCCCTGATATACTACAGTAAAATGATTGTTAATGTGAAAGTGTAAAGTATATTTGTACTGAAAAGTTCAACATATTGTAAATAAACTACCTCCTGTGAAATTTGTTCTTGGTAAGTTTTTTATATCAAACACCAACATATAAGAGTAGTAAAGACAATGGTAAAGGTAGGAGAAATTCCATCTCTATATTAGTCTTATCTCTAACAGCAGATCCATCAGACTCTCCCAGAGGGCACATTGAAGATTCTGATGATACTTACCTTGGGGCTTACGTTCTGGAACAACAGGCATTATAGGTGGTGGAACAATCCATAGCTCCTCCCCTTCCTGAAGAAACTCTGTAACGCCATGGTCCTCACATATTTCGTCCAGGGAACCATCTGATTGGCCAGTAAGAATTGGCATCATACTGTTCAGGAATGTTCTGAGATAAAACAAAACACTTTAAACCATCTAATGAAGAGACATAGAAAAGTGTTTCGTGAATTGGAGGTATGGTAGTTGTACTTTAGAACACACTCTACATTTGACATAATATAAGGATTGAATCTTGCTTAAGTCTGTATCACAGGACGATAGATTGAGTTGCTTTAGTCTTTATCACGGAATGATAGACTTAGTTGCTTCAGTCTATATTATGGGATGATAGACTTAGTTGCTTTGGTCTATATCACGGGATGATAGATTGAGTTGCTTTAGTCTATATCACGGGATGATAGATTGAGTTGCTTTAGTCTATATCACAGGACGATAGATTGAGTTGCTTTAGTCTATATCACGGGATGATAGATTGAGTTGCTTTGGTCTATATCATGGGATGATAGATTTATATTAGATTGAGTTTTGAGTCTATATCACGGGATGATAGATTGAGTTGCTTTAGTCTATATCACGGGATGATAGATTGAGTTGCTTTGGTCTATATCATGGGACGATAGATTGAGTTGCTTTAGTCTATATCACGGGATGATAGACTTAGTTGCTTTGGTCTATATCACGGGATGATAGATTGAGTTGCTTTAGTCTATATCACGGGATGATAGACTTAGTTGCTTTGGTCTATATCATGGGACGATAGATTGAGTTGCTTTGGTCTATATCACGGGATGATAGATTGAGTTGCTTTGGTCTATATCACGGGATGATAGATTGAGTTGCTTTGGTCTATATCACGGGATGATAGATTGAGTTGCTTTGGTCTATATCATGGGATGATAGATTGAGTTGCTTTAGTCTATATTATGGGATGATAGACTTAGTTGCTTTGGTCTATATCACGGAATGATAGACTTAGTTGCTTTAGTCTATATTATGGGATGATAGACTTAGTTGCTTTGGTCTATATCACGGGACGATAGATTGAGTTGCTTTAGTCTATATCACGGGATGATAGATTGAGTTGCTTTAGTCTATATCACGGGATGATAGATTGAGTTGCTCATGAAACAAACTCAACATGAGCTACTACTTATTCCATTACATTTGTATCAAGAGTAAATCCATTCATCACCACATATAATCAGTGAAACGGATTTTAAAATTTCAATTAACATTTGCTTCTCATTAATATGAAAATGTTCAAGTCTTTAGACTTCAGCAAGTCTAATAGCTTCTTGTTAAAGATATAGTCAGTATTTAGAGGATAATAAAATAGTGTTACTTGGCTTGGAGAAGAAATGTGATTATGTCACATGTTTTTTCCATATAACAAAATACAAAACTGTATTATTTACCATATATAATTTTATCCATTAAAAAAAAATTAAAATCAAATCAGAGATCCCAGAGGGATCTTGATGTCCATCATTATTTGATATTTACTTGTTCTTTAAAAGTTGGAGATGTTTTTCCTTCTTTTCTTAGATTTTGCCCTTAATTATACTAAATTTGAGCCTTTATCTACTAAGTCCAAGATGTTCCATTTCAGGCCAGTTTGTTTTTCTGATCAGTCCAAAAATCAAATGGGTGCAACTATGGTCTAAGGAGAACCTTCATAAGAATGTGAGAAAGGTCCATTCAATACTACTGAAAAAATAGCAATAACAATCTTTCCTTGTCAAAATCCAAGATGGCCACCTGTCAGCCATCTTGTTTTTCTGATCAGCCCCAAAATAAAACAGGTATCACTAAGGATCAAGGACACTTACATATGAAATTTGAAAAAGATCCATTCTGTACTTCTCATGATATATTGATAACAAGAATTGTTCATGGATGGACTAGAATCACAGACACAGGGCAAATCTAGTAGCTAACAAGATTGCCATGGACACAATATATGCCGCCACAAAATATAAAGATCCACTAAGAGCAAGCTACAGATACAAAGTTGAAAATGGCATAAATCTTACAAAAATCAACGAACCAAAAAATCGCCCCTTCATGCACATCTACCCACTGTAGTAGTGACAAGTTTCATGAAATTCTGATGATTGGTTTAGGAGGAGTTGCGTTCACAAGAAACGGACTAACGGACGGACAGACGGAGAAGATGACGTCAATATATGGCGTATAAAAAACTACCTGAGATCCCGGGAACATTTCTCATCCTTTCTGCTGAAGAACTTGGAGATTTCCTTGTTGATGTCCTGGTAGGAAGACAGGTTGTCTTTGTGGAAGAAGAAGGTGGACCCTCTAATAAGACATTTCTCTGGCCGTATGTGGTATATTTCTGGTTGAGATTGCAGGAAGTAACGCACCTCTAGCCGGGAAACCTACAATGAATACAACAGATGATAGACATATCAGATCTTGAGCAAGGATGACAAAGTAACACTGTAACATACACAATCAGGTAACAGTAAGAGGTACAGAATGGTGTAATTCATATGCTAAAATCATTTATCACTCTGAAAGAATCTTAAGTTTGAAGATGTATACCATCAGGCAGTTAGCTAATGTCTGGTAATAAGCCCACCAAAAAATTACTGTTACGTTAATAGTTGCTAAATTTCACACAGCTGATATCCAAAGGTTGTCCCAGTATGGGCTAGTTCATGGTGATTATAACTTGTATACTGGATATGTCTTTACATTGGTATCAATCTAAAACGGCATATAATATACATTTCAGGACATTTTGAATCAGCTTTCCCACTGACTTTGTGTAAGAAGTACTGTGTTAAACAATGCTGTATCCTAACCCTGTAATAAGCCCACCCACTGAGGTTGACTAAGAAGTTCTATATTAATCACTGCTGTATCCTAACCCTGTAATAAGCCCACCCACTGAGGTTGACTAAGAAGTTCTATATTAATCACTGCTGTGTCCTAACCCTGTAATAAGCCCACCCACTGACACTGAGTACTGTGAGCATTGGACCCCTGGGTTTATTGCAGGATTACTACTGTAATAGTACCTGTAGGTTATTAAAGGCTCAAACTTTAGGTTATCCTCAGACACAAAGATTGTATCAAACATCATGTAAATTGCCATAGGACTATCTTCTTTCATAGCACAAAACATCTCAAGTCTAATCATTACAAGAGAGCTACAACATCAGATTTTGCAACTGCAGGTGAAGATTGAAGGAGTGTGGTTTGAAGATTTATTCTTGCAACAGTTTGTGTTTCTCAGGAAGTTGAGATTATGGATCCTCCTGTGCTGCTGTGGTTGTGTCCTTAAGTTAGATACACCTAACTGCTCAGGATAGAATTTAATGTGCCTCCTATATTTCATAACATTATCCTCTATAAGGAGACCTGTCTTAAAAAGATCATGGCTGTTCCTGGAACAACTACACCTGGAATCACTCTAACCAACAGACTGCCAACAGATGAACACGAAACACCGACAATTTACCTGGAAAAATTTCATTTGAAGTAGCCTTGCCGCAAATCCATCGTCCACCTGCTCTTGATAAATGTTTGGATATCTGTTGTATATAAACTCCTGTATGTGAGGAACGGCCTTGTGTACATAAAACTGAAGTTTGGGACATTCTTGGAAGTCTGGTGTGATTTCCTCAGACTCCACGCTTTCTGTCAAGCTACACACCTTACACAGCTTCAGGAACACATGTAGTGCCTCCTCATCTGCCAAAATACACATAAATATTTAAACTCTAATGAGAAAACTTGTGATCATTATTTTATAAATAATCCCTTAACACTTTATTTTTACTAATGATTTTAATATAATTCTCAAACTTCCCATTTTTCTACATGTTTTCAATTCTGTCTACAGGCATGACCTACCATAAGGTTTGGATTGGCGTCCCCGTTTGTCTTTCCCCTTAGTATCCTCTAGTTCCAGGAAATGTACATCTGCCTTTTCACTGAACATTTTCTCTAGTTCCCGGTTGTCACTGATCATAGGGTTCTGTTCGATGCTGATCCACTGTCCTGTCTTTGTGGCCAGAATCTTTTGACCCTTCAGCTGTCCAAGGAGTTCACGCTTCTCACTGTCAAGGATTTGTCGTTTGGTGTTGACATCTTGATCAGTAGGGTTGGATTGGCTGGCATCGGTACCAGGTTCTCGAAGGAGAGAGCCAATTGTGGAATAAAGCTGAAGCACATCACATAGCTTAGTTTTGTCCACTGAAGGCATAACACTGGTCAGCAGAACCAGTAACTCAGCATACTCTGCCATGCTAGGCTGACAAGCCATCTTACCTACACGCAGAAAGAACTCTTTGATATCAGTGTCATGGTAGATCTCGCCCAATGTGTGTTTCTTGGCCAGATCTGAGTGGTACTCTTGTAGAAGTTCTCTGTGTTTTTCTACCAGACCTGTCCTGTCTGTCCACCAAACCTCCTGTCTACTCATCATTTTTCCAGCCACATCTGCTGTAGATGGTGGACTATAGTTTGGGAAGGATGTGACCACTGGAACAAAGATTACAGGGTTTTCCATTAATAAGTCTTGTGATTTCTTTGGAGGTAAATTTTCAAGTAAATAGCGGTACACTGTCTTAATGTGTTGAAGACTGGTACAGAAGACTGCTGGCTCAACCTCAACTGAACGTGCACCCCAGCTAATCAAACTATTCATCACCTCCTCAAGGTCCACCTTAGTCTTAAGTCTGAGGAATTGACAGAAGCTGCTTTGATTGGATGGTACTGCGTCTAGGTAGCGCACTGTATGAGAAAGATGTTTCTCTATTTGTGCCAGACGTAGGTAGATACAAGAGGGTGCCATCATAGCAACACTAAGGGAGGTACGCACAATGCCACCAACTTCAGCTACCAGGTCCTTCTTTAATGCTGGCAGCCAACTCTGTGTTCTTAGTAGGATGCTAAATGAAGAGTCTGTGTCCTTGATCAATCTCCCTTCAGCTGTACACAGCTGAGCTGACACATACATAGCATACTGACTATCCCATTCATGATCTAACAGCTGAAAAAGCATCTTCATCTGTATCTCATACGAGCTTGGACTCTTGTTGTCTGAGATAATACACTCCAGTTCTCTGCTGCTCCAGTCCTTGATATATGTCCCTTCCTGCAAATTTCCCCACATCTCTTTCAGTGGGGCCCAAGGACTGGATGACTGTCAACAAGAAAAATTTACATCAATGCTTTTGTGTAATCTATCTATTGATTTTTGTTGTTGTTAGAAATCAAGATTATTGATATGAGTAAATTTTTTAACGATTTCTTCATTGCTTCCCCACCTACTCATACTTGTGACCTTGACCCTATAAATGCTGTATGAAAGTAGAAAACTAGAAAGTGTCTATAAGGCATGAATGTCCCCACTTCTTCTTTGCTCTCCAGAATTAGATGTAAACTTGGATGATATGGCATATATATGTACCAAATCTGTTGACAGGTTATCAAGATATGACATTGATTTCAGCAGGGGATGTGATGGATCTCAAGAAGACATACCACAACAGGTCAGACATACAAGAGTAACACTCAATACCCACCCACCCCCCACTCCATCTCCCTTCCACCCATTTTCTAAATGGTATAATAAAACACATGTTAATTAGTAACTTCAATTCATCTTTAAAAACTTTTATCGGAATTTCCAGTAGGTAGAGTGTACAAGTTCAAACACATCAAGCCTAAAAAAACAGAGATAATAGACTTTTCACAAATTTTTATCATGAAACAAAATGGTCACCATAAGAAGCTTCTTTTTCAAATGGACAAATTAGAGATTTGGTATTAGGAACAACTAAAAAGATAAACTTATACTTAATGGGTAAAACTGGGGTAAAAAACTGGGAGTTGTTACCAGATAAGAATTTACAGAACTTACAATAGAGGCGGCGTCGATTGGGACCTTTTCTGACCGTACACACAGGAAGTTGGTGACACCTAGTTTGGACAGGAAGCTATGCCACCGCTGTATTTCATGACTGGTTTTGCAATTGGTAAGGTAAACACTGTCCACAAGGATCCATTCATAGCCTGAAAATCACACATGTCATTTACTGAGTTTGAAATGTCTTCCACTGGCAGAAACAGTGAGAAATACATCTGGATGTAAGTGGTGTTGTATTGGGAAACAGGATGTACCTTGAAAACTCAGAAGCGTTGAGGTAAATGGTGTTGTACTAGGGTAAATGGCCTACCTTAGTAACTAGCTTGGTGGATGATGGTGTTGTACCAGGGTAAATGGTCTACCTTAGTAACTAGCGTGGTGGTCAATGGTGTTGTACCAGGGTAAAAGGCCTACCTTAGTCACAAGTTTGGTGGATGATGGTGTTGTACCAGGGTAAATGGTCTACCTTAGTAACTAGCGTGGTGGTCAATGGTGTTGTACCAGGGTAAATGGCCTACCTTAGTAACTAGGTTGTGGGTCGACTGTGTTGTACCAGGGTAAATGGTCTACCTTAGTAACTAGCTTGGTGGTCCATTGTGTTGTATGAGGGTAAATGGTCTACCTTAGTAACTAGGTTGGTGGATGATGGTGTTGTACCAGAGTCGACGACTGTGTTGTACCAGGGTAAATGGTCTACCTTAGTAACTAGCTTGGTAGTCCATTGTGTTGTACGAGGGTAAATGGTCTACCTTAGTAACTAGGTTGGTGGATGATGGTGTTGTACCAGGGTAAATGGCCTACCTTAGTAACTAGGTTGTTGAATGTGGTCAGGGTAAATGTGTTGTACCAGGGTAAGGGTAAATGCCTTAGTAACTAGCTTGGTGGTCCATTGTGTTGTATGAGGGTAAATGGTCTACCTTAGTAACTAGGTTGGTGGATGATGGTGTTGTACCAGAGTAAATGGCCTACCTTAGTAACTAGGTTGTAAGTCGAATGTGTTGTACCAGGGTAAATGGCCTACCTTAGTAACTAGCTTGATGGTCGATTGTGTTGTACCAGGGTAAATGGCCTACCTTAGTAACTAGCTTGGTTGGCAAGTGTGTTGTACCAGGGTAAATGGCCTACCTTAGTAACTAGCTTGGTTGGCAAGTGTGTTGTACCAGGGTAAATGGCCTACCTTAGTAACTAGCTTGGTTGTCAATGGTGTTATGCAAGCAGAAAGGACTTACCTGGGAAACTAGCCTGAAGGTCAATGGTGTTACCATACAATGGCGTGAAGTGGAGAGCGTCATCTTTAGGATTTTTAACACCATGGTTGGTAACTAGTTTAGCAACAGTAGACAAGTTTTCTAGATCTACAACAGAACTCTGCTGTTCATAACATTCCTTGATATATATCAAGTAGCTGGTGAGTGTCTCCCGCTGTTTAGTCTGGAAAAAGAAAAATTAAAATATTTACAAAGGCTTTCAAGCTCACAGGTCACTACAAAATACTTACTCTCTAGCTTCAATAGTTTATTTGATTTACCAACATAAGTATATAATACAAATAAGGAGGTCATTAACAAGTGTATTAAAATGGATCATTTGTTATAGCACTTTGAACACTGAAAGTGTGTAAAAAGTTAGGAGACTTAAAAAAAATTACAAATTACTATTCCTAGGCTCCATACCTATTGTAAGTTTAAAGTAATACAACTTTACACCAATTTTGGCTCTAACCAAAGAACTTGCATTCTACACTTTCTGAGAAACCATGTTAACTATAAGCTGCACTTCCTATGGTTAAAATATGTAGTTGTTATAGTATTTGCTCTTTGTGACTACTGTAAAAATTACATTTAGTGGAGGATCAATTTCTGTTGATTTTTTGGGTACTCTAAATCCACAACTTTCAGTCCACGAAATGATCAACAGAAAAAGGCTGACGTGGATTATAGTAACAGTGAATAGTGAAAATCAAGCGCCAACAAATATGAACATTTTTGGAAAACCATGAAATTTGGGCTCCACTCAAATCTATGATTTTACAGTGCCTTAGCCAAATACAACTTCTGAACATTCACAAAAATGACAAAGATCTAAAACACGATTCTCCTTAAATTATCTGTGACCGTACATAACTCAATCTTAAATTTTCCCATTGTAATTTTTCAATTATGGATTTTAAACCTTAAGGCAAGTTTTCAAAATTCTCACAAAAAATTCAGGGTTTTCACCCAAAATTATTCACAGGTAATGCAATGGGATTATTTTGTCATTGTTATTGTGGATAAAATAAATCTACAGACCATTTCGTAATTTAAGTGAAAATCACATCATTTTCACATCAAACTAAATAGAGAAGTATTGAACCAAAAAACAAAATATTACTTTATCAGTTTACCAACTAATTTTTGTCCTAATAACAAAGGATTTAATTACATTTTGTATCACGTTACTATATATAGAATGTAGAAGGTTCATGGGTATTACCTGCCATTGTTCGGAGCTGAGGACAGGTAGGATGTGATGAGTGATGACATCACTGGGTGTCAGATGCTTCACACTAAGCTTGTTGAGGAGTTTCTGTACCTGTGAATTCACCTCATTGTCAGGAGTGGCCAGGAGGAGAGGGTGGATGGTGTTAAGGTCTGCCTGCAGAACCATCATTGGGTCTGTTGTGTACAGAACAGCATATAATTCAAGTTTAGTAAAAATTATACAGAATGATTGACTGGAAATTTGATTACTGCTACAATTTCAGTAAAAATAAAGACATGACCAAACTGGACTGAATTTCTATGCCTTTCAAGAGACACCATTACATAAACTCAAGAAATTTCACTTTCTGTGAAAATAAACTTAGTTACCTCCCCTTTGTAGTTTTTTCTTGTCCTCTGTTAGTGGAAAAAAGACGGTATTATCTGCCAAGGTCACAAACTGGTAGGTGGTAAGTGGCAGGATTTTCAAGGTGCTCAATGTTTCCAGGATGGTCTGGTTGTCATGGAACTCGTCAAGACTTCGATAAACACATGCTAGCCACTTGGCAGTGATGAGGATCTGACTGTCAAAGTCTTCTACAAACAAAAATAGGTCACATCTGCATCAGATCCTCTGATTTATTTGTACACTATATACATAAACACTAGCTACTAGTCATAAAATGATTTTTCAACGTCAAATATAAAGCTACCTAGAAGAGGTACCTGGGCAATTGATTCTCTTCATCAAGAGACAGTAAAGATCTACATTTTGATATTTGTCTTTTGCTAAGGATCATGAATAAACTTACCATGTTCTTGACTGCGGTCAAGAATCAGCGCCTTTCCGATCTGTAATAGGTGGTCAGTGGTTAGGCACTCGATGCCAAGACACTGTGTCAGGGTGGTGTTCAGAGACTCGGCAAGATCACGGTGGACATAAAACAGGTTCAGATGTTTCTGCAGCATCTCAGGTGTGATAAGTTCACAGATTAACGAGTCTCGAACTATCACGGTTTGTGACGGCATCTTCCAGGTAATCATACCTAGAGGTAAAACAAAGCTATATATCAATGGTGCCTATTATCTCTTTAGGACATGCATCGTATATTACAATTATATTTGTCATAACGAACAAAACTAAACATGACTTCTAAACCTGATTTCTTAAACCTGTGTATCTGACCACACCAGTTAGAAAGTGTAGCACATGTAAAATTGTCTTGTCAATTAAATCATTGCTGTAGTTATCCCAATGTTAGATGCAGGTACAGAAATTGAAAATCCACAAAATTTTGTTAAACATCTGAAAAAAAAACTTACTTATACTCATTATTAGAACACTAGAGAGTTCAAATGAAGAGTCACACTATACAGGAAGTGGTAGGTGGCAGCACTTTGGGTGTCATTAACAACATGAACAGCAACACAATAGTTCCACAGACACTTAATTAAACTAATGTTTTTATCTACTTTTTACAAATACATATCTAATCAAATTGTCTTGCATGTCTCTTCACATTTAAACCATATTATTATCTTATTTAGGGTGGTAAATAAGCTGGTATACTCTTGTACAAGCCTGATTGTCTTGTGCAAAAAAAATAACATTGAACTAAAAACAATGAAATAGAAATGTAAACATACTTAAATGTAGAGGTTACAGTATCACACTACTGAAACAGGATCAAGAGTTTTCTGTAACCAATTCTGATGTTCCTGAATAAATTACCAACACTAAAACACAACTTTTTCCATCAAGGCTTTGTATGTGCTTTATTGTATATGCCTTCAGTCTTAATCATGTGCAGGAGGAGTAAACCATCAGAAAAATGTTAACCATATCATTTTTATATTAACAACTCCTGGTGTTCTTATCACCTCCTCCATCATAACAAGCATCACTGTTAAAAGTAAACTTACAGACCACTTAACTGAAGGACTGACCTTTACTGTTCGGCTGTGTAGGTACACAGGCTTTTGCCTTTAGCTTAGCAAGGATCTGTGAGGCAACAGGTCGGAAGAAATCAAGAATTTCATCCTCCATGGGGACAAATTGGAGGAAGGATGTGACTGCTTCAAGGGCAGAGAACTCCTTGTGAGACTGAAAATAACACAAGTATTGATTAAGATGGACAGCCTTGGCCAATTTTGTTTAAGTAAACCTGTTGGTGCAAACATCTAGAAATAGCATTTCTGACATGAACATTGACACACTTGTAAATACACAGGGCTTGAAAAGCATTGTCTTTCTTTATTTCTTAATTAACCTGTGTGCTACATATATTTCTGTTGTGTGTTTTAAAAATGACTATAACAAATACATCTGCTGGATACAGAAGTGTGGACATACATCTGTTTCTACATTAGGAAACTAAGCATGTTTATTAACAACATTAACTAAACCAATTATTTCCAACTTTTATGAATTGCGTCAAATCCACGTCTAGTTACATAACAATAAAGAAGATAAATACACCCCTTACTGTTACAGGTTATCCTTATAAAGCAAACATAAAGGATTCTCAACATCCAGGAATACTTGTTGTAGTTCTATTTATGGATTATTTTGTCCACATATACCTCTTTTATCCATTCAGGAACCTAGCAGCAATCTGAGACAAATAGTGTCAGTTCAGTTTTCTCCAGGTTTTCCTTATCAACCCTATCATCCATTAATTAGTGTAACTCAAAGGTTATCTCCATACAGAGGGTAATAGGTATGACAAAGGACTGCTAACCTTGAACACATCCAAAGCTTCGATGAACAGGGTATGGAGCTCATTTCTGATCCACTGGTTCCATGGACTGTCCCTATCTACATCCTCACGACTCGATGGCACATCAAAGTCACCTGAAGTCAACACAGACATTACAAGCTCTATCAACTTAATCATACCATGCCTATTAATCTTGATGAATGATACTATGGTGTAAATATGAACTAAAGAAACAAGTTCAAGATTCATGAAACATCACCTTTGACCCCTTAACGTCCACCAATAACTTCCGAAATCTAATCAGGTGTAGGATTTGATGTATTATGATGTTCATATGAACCAGATCAGTTGACAGCTTCATCAGATACCATGTATATAATCTTTTGTTACAAACAGACGCATATACAGGCGAAGGCATTATCATATCCCTTTTTCACTAGTGGTTATAATAAGTATGTCCCTCCTTCAATAAGTGAGATTATAATAAGTATATCTCTCCTTCACCAAGTGTGGTTATAATAAGTATATCCCTCCTTCACTTAGTGAGGTTATAAGTATATCCCTCCTTCAATAAGTGAGGTTATAATAAGTATATCCCTCCTTCAATAAGTGAGATTATAATAAGTACATCCCTCCTTCAATAAGTGAGGTTATAATAAGTATATCTCTCCTTCACTTAGTGAGGTTATAATAAGTTTGTCCCGCCTTCACCAAGTGAGGTTATAATAAGTATATCTCTCCTTCACTAAGTGAGGTTATAATAAGTATATCTCTCCTTCACAAAGTGAGGTTATAATAAGTATATTTCTCCTCTAAGTGAGGTTATAATTAGTATATCTCTCCTTCACTAAGTGTGGTTATAATAAGTATATCTCCCTTTCAATAAGTGTGGTTATAATAAGTATATCTCCCTCCTTCAATAAGTGTGGTTATAATAAGTATATCTCTCCTTCACTAAGTGTGGTTATAATAAGTATATCTCTCCTTAACTAAGTGAGGTTATAATAAGTATATCTCTCCTTCACTAAGTGTGGTTATAATAAGTATATCTCTCCTTCACTAAGTGAGGTTATAATAAGTATATTTCTCCTCTAAGTGAGGTTATAATTAGTATATCTCTCCTTCACTAAGTGAGGTTATAATAAGTATATTTCTCCTCTAAGTGAGGTTATAATTAGTATATCTCTCCTTCACTAAGTGTGGTTATAATAAGTATAACATTTAAGATTACCTTGTACAATGAATCGGAAGCCATAGCTGCGCAATGGCAGGAAAGCAAACACTGGTTGTCTTGGCTGAGCGGTCTGCAAAATCAAAATGTCAGTTATCTGAACAAACCAGTCACAAAAATGTCAAAGTCACCCCTACAAACCAGTCACACAAAATGTCAAAGTCACCCCTACAAACCAGTCACACAAAATGTCAAAGTCACCCCTACAAACCAGTCACACAAAATGTCAAAGTCACCCCTACAAACCAGTCACACAAAATGTCAAAGTCACCCCTACAAACCAGTCACAAAAATGTCAAAGTCACCCCTACAAACCAGTCACACAAAATGTCAAAGTCACCCCTACAAACCAGTCACACAAAATGTCAAAGTCACCCCTACAAACCAGTCACACAAAATGTCAAAGTCACCCCTACAAACCAGTCACACAAAATGTCAAAGTCACCCCTACAAACCAGTCACACAAAATGTCAAAGTCACCCCTACAAACCAGTCACACAAAATGTCAAAGTCACCCCTACAAACCAGTCACACAAAATGTCAAAGTCACCCCTCCAAACCAGTCACACAAAATGTCAAAGTCACCCCTACAAACCAGTCACACAAAATGTCAAAGTCACCCCTACAAACCAGTCACACAAAATGTCAAAGGAATGGTGGAAAATTAGCTGTATCGATATTGCTTTAGAAAGAAGCAAGACTCCTTTATATATATAATGGTACATGAATACTGTAGATGTAATATTTTCAGTAGTCTTTACCAGGGAAAATCCTCGTTGACCCTTTGCCTTCAGTGGGAAGGCCATAGCAATTTCTGTGGAATCTACTTCTACTCCTGATTTAGCCTGGGAAATAAAAGCAAATGTATAATATTATCAGAATGATGGAAAAATATTCTATCTCTTATAAATATTCTAATACAATTTTTAATTTTGATGAGAACTGCTAACATTTTTAAAAATGTGATGATAAAAAAATTTTTTTCCAGATGAAATACAGTTCTTATAACAGTAACTAAGCAGTGTTATAGAATATTGTATGTGACAGGGGTATAGAATTACATATGCCAAATGTCAAAGCTTTGTTATGTAAGGACAAGTGACAATTCACAGTATTGAGACGAACAAAATTTCAGTATATTTTTCCTGTTAAATCAATCAAGGGATTTTTAGTGAAAATTTCAATGTTTTGCAATGTAAATTTCAATCTTAAGCAACACAAATTTCAATTTTTTGCAATACAAGTACTTTGCTGTAGCACATAAAGGATACACAGCGGTTAAAAAAGGGAGGAACATGTACATAATTTACCTGGAGTTCTGCAAAGACAGGGGCTCTTACCTGTAGAGAAATCTTAGAAGCATCCAGGGACTTCTTGATCACTAGAAATCGATCTGTACCTTTGTTGTGTTCTATCTCCACTACACTTTCACCAAGGTCTCGACGACGCATCACTTGTGTAGAGTCATCCACCTAAAATAGTCGTAAACTCAGAAGTAAGACAAACAGTGGTAGACACCATCGGGATATCATCAATGACAGACACCACCAGGGGACCATTTATGGTAGACACTACCAGCAGACCATCAACGGTGGACACCAATTCTTAAAAACCAGTCTGTGCTGATGTGATTGTGTCCTTGCACAAGACACACAATCCTATTTGAACTGGATGAGGTGCGACAGACCTTCTGTAAGTTGTTCAGTAAGGTGACTCCAGCTACTATGAGAGACTCCATCTCAAAAAGAGCCTAGCTGTTCCTTGGGGCAATAACTCTTGCAAAACGAAACAAACAAGAGGCCCAAGGGGCCTGCTTCACTCAACTGGCTAATTTACATGTACAGCCATTTAATAAAGAATTATAAATATGACAAACAATTTCTGATATAATTTCCCTATTGAATCCCACCCTTGTGGTCAAACAGAGGTCAGATTCATTATCTATAACACAAGGCCCACAGGCCTTAATATTCAACTGACTAAAAGACCTTCATATGGAAGAGGGTTAAGGTCAATAATATGGCCTAAATTGGAAGCCCTTCATCACATCGTGATACAAGTCAAATATCAGCATCCTGGGCCTTTAGGTTACTGAGAAGTTTTTTTAAAAAATATTTCAACACATCTAACCCCTATGACCTTGAAAAATATGTCATTCAAATTAACTAACTTGGTAGCCCTTTATCACATGCACCAGGTCAAATATCAGCACCCCAAGCCATTTGGTTATTGAGAAGAAGTAATTTGAATGGAAAATTTATGTATGAATCACAGCGATGGACAAAACACACTGGCTGTAGGTCATCCTGATCCTTCAGACGACATCTAAATTGTTTCAGACCAAACTTGGACAATACCCCTGTATGGAAGGACTTTTAAGTTTTCACTTTCCCAAATCAGGCCCACCCCTCTTGCCCTATGGGGTTAGGATGTACCATTTATACAGAACTTAGTCCCTTTCTCCCAAGAATACTTCAGATCAAAGTTGGGCAATATCCATTTATTCTTACAGGAGGAGTAAGATTTTAAAACACTTGCAAAATTTCATTCTAAGGCCCTTGGGAACTGAGAACTAATCCTAACACAAACATTGTTTCCCTTCACCCAAGAATACTTCTGACCAGATTTGGGTGATATCTAATAATTCCTTATGGAGGAGTAAGATTGTAAGGAATTTGCATTATTTTGCCAATTGGGCCCCGCCCCTCCAACCCCAGGAGGCCGGATTCCACTGTTTATACACAACTGATTCCACTTCACTCAAGAATACTTCAGGCTAAATTTGGGAAATATCCATCCATTCCTTCAGAATGGGTCGAGACCCACTATTTATATTCCCCTTTATCCAACAATGCTACAGACCAAATTTGGGCAAAATCCAACAATTCCTATAGAAGAATTAGGATTTTAAAGAATTTACACTATTTCCTGTATAGGGTCTGGCCTCTCCCATCCCAGGGGGCCAAGACCTACCATTTATAAAAAATGATTCCCCTTCAAGAAACAATGCTTCAGACTAAATTTGGGCAAAATTCAATCATTTCTACAGGAAGAGCAGGATTTTTATATTTCCCCTTTTAGGCCCTGCCCCTTCAGGACCCTGGGGGCAGAGACCAATCATTTATACAAAATTTGTGCCCCTTATCCCCTGGGATGCTTCAGACCAAATTTGGTTAAAATCATATAAGTCATTTAAGAGTAGCAGCAATTTGTATGAAAAAGTTGACAGACAGATGGACAGACGATGAACAGCTGATGCCATGGTACACCATAGGAAGTGTTATTTTGTTAGATTGATGACCTTGTCAGGGAGGACTCACCTTGTTAAGGACGGTGATCTGTCGGAGCCGATGAAGGAAAAGGAGTAGTGAAGGGTGAATGTCGTCAAACCTGGCTGCCAGGGAACACACGGTAGTACCCATCTCAGCTTTCAATGGTAACACTATCTTTGTAGTCCAACTAAGAAATACACGTAAACAATATTAATATCAGACAAGGTTACTTACCTAACCTGGGATGTCAACAACAACATTTGAGTATTTCAGTTTGGATAAGATTTAAATTGTTCAATGCTTTATCAACATCCAGTAATTTTGAAGGATGTTTATTTTTTGGCCAGTTCAGAATACCCATTCAAAATTTTGATTGGCCAGTCCAGATAACCAATACCAAAATTTTGGTAAGTCCTAATATTTTGAAACTGAGTTGTTTGATATTTCAAAATTTAAGTGCATCCAACAGGAAAAGCATGCATCTAGGACTCAAATACCCAATTCGAAAAATAACTGTTAATCATTTCAGGACAGAAAATCATACAGAAATCAAACTTCGTTATGACTATTTCACAGAGAAGACAAAAGAATCTTCATCTCCACTAAAGCATGTCTGTAAAGTGACAGCTGTGTTACTCACTCTTTGCCATCTTCCCAGGTATCCGGTGTCCAGTGGGGCAGTATGAATCCCATAGGCCCACTCTTAGCATCAAAACAGATGTGGTAGCCATTTGAGTGAACTTCTGGCCGACTTGTCACACGGAACACAGATTTAAATCCTATACCCTTTTGGCCTACAACAATTGGAATATACTGTAACACACTGCAATTTAGTTCTACTGCTGTACACTGAAGTTAAAAGTTTTCACTACCTTCCCAGCGGATATCTGTTTGATGCAGCACTTAATCATCACACAGGTTTTACCAATTTATATCAACTGATTGTTAACCTGGAAGAGTGTGTGTTGGGTATTAATGTGAGATTAACTTGGAGTGTGTATTCAGACTGATGATTGTTGTGTTGTTGTGGCGGACAGACATAGTGGAGCGACACATCAATAATTTTCAGCTGTGACAAAAAGACCATAAATATGGTGTAATGGGAGAATAAATTTGCCACACAAATTAGCTACTTAACTTTTTTGTTATTCTATGTGAAGTTATAGTGTCTTTTTTCTTTTATCGCTGCATAAAGACAATTATTATCAGAGATGAAATCATCATTGATTGATAATTCTTTAAAGTAAAACTGAAGCTACGATAAGTCAGTGAGATATTAATATCCGTCACATGACCTTACCTATGTACCCAAATGTGTGCTTTCCTTTTGTACTTTTGCCTACATCACAAAGAGCACGAATGTTTTTCTCCTCGAAGCCACACTCATTGTTGAGGACGATAACAGAATCCTGTCTTGTTATAAATTTTACAGAGGGACACATATCACTGATCATCGTGTCCGGGTAGGTGTTGTCATCAGCATTCTGTACCAGCTCCAGCACAAAGTGGGTATCCTTTAAAAGGAAAATATTAATTTCTTAGAGCTGGTTCTTGCATTAATATTTGTTGAATCTTTTCAAAAACTTGAATTCTTATCTAACTATTAGCTTGTGGGGAACAACATATTGAAATTCATAGTATCTTAAGTTGAATTGTAATGAAAGACTAAGAAGGAATACTTTTGTTGAACTCATTTTAAGTTTTTGGAAATTCCTTTCCACTGCTTCGTATATAAGGATTTATGCTTTTTTATGAAACATGTGACTTCAAGCAGTTAAAAATCTAATCTACCTTGCTGTAGAGGTCTTTGGACAGTCTGTCCAGACTACGCCCGAGTCTCTCCTGATGGACCTGCATCAGTCTTTGGCCATCCTCATTGAGTTCTACACCAAACCCAAACTCATCACGACGTATATTGTCAATTATTTTGTGACAATGTCGCTCCCGTTTTTCTTCTTCAGTCAAATTGTCCTCTTCTTCGTTTCCATCATCTTCATTGTCTTCAGTTCCTTCTACTTTCACAATTTTTTCTGTGACATCTATGACTGAATTGTAAACAAAGATTTCTAAACATTGTGTGGTGCTGTAAGCAATCAATAGCCCCTCCCCCTCGGAGATCTGTAAGCAATCCATAGCCCCTCCCCCTCAATAGCCCCTCCCCCTCAGGGTTCTGTAAGCAATCAATAGCCCCTCCCCCCCCCAGGGTTCTGTTAGCAATCAATAGCTCCCCTGTCAGGGTTCTGTAAACAATCAATAGTTCCTCCCCCTCGAGGATCTGTAAGCAATCCATAGCCCCTCCTCCTCCTCAGGGATCTATGGGCAATCAATAGCCCCACCCCCTTCAAATTCAGTAAACAATTAATAGCTCCTCCACCATTGGTCAAACTGTAGCTAAATGATGTTTCTGTTTTAAATACGCCCAGCAAAAGTGAAGTCTAACCAAAACATAAACTTCTATATTATTGAAAACCATATGAAATGCATATAAGGATGATAATTGTGATCTTACAACTTGTAGATGGTTGAAAAATGAACATAGATCTTTAGAAATTTTATCACGACACAGCTACGGAAACTGGCGCTGTTTCTGTAACTCACCAGTCTGTCTTTACAAACCTGTTACTGTATCTCACCACTGCCTATGTCTGTCTATAAAAACCTGTTACTCTATCTCACCACTGCCTATGTCTGTCTATACAAACCTGTTACTGTATCTCACCACTGTCTATGTCTGTCTATACAAACCTGTTACTGTATCTCACCACTGTCTATATCTGTCTATACAAACCTGTTACTGTATCCCACCACTGTCTATGTCTGTCTATACAAACCTGTTAATGTAACTCACCACTGTCTGTGTCTGTCTATACAAACCTGTTTCTGTAAATCACCACTGTCTCTGTCTGTCTACACAAACCTGTTACTGTAACTCACCACTGTCTGTGTCTGTCTATACAAACCTGTTACTGTAGCTCACCACTGTCTGTCAGTATTATATAACTCACCACTGTCTGTCAGTATTACATAACTCACCACTGTTTGCCTTTTGACTGTCCAAAGTATCCTCTCCAATAACTACTGCTTCCTCTACGATTACAACATCATCTGATTCTTCTGTATTCTTGTCCTCCTCATCATCACTGGATAGGATGGAGGAAGCATCTGAGGACTCATCATCAGATTCATCGCTATCCTCTTCCACCTGAAGTACAGTCAGATGATTTCTGAGAACAACTATTCATATCTACTTTACACCATAAAACCTCACTAACAAATTGTATATATTAAAAACATTATTAGTGAAATATTTTTATATTTGACATTTGGTAGAATTTTTCCTGACAATTTGAAGTGGCTTTGAACCTATTTATCTAATATTACACCCACACTTAGTTATAGGTCTACCTCTACGTATTGTAGCTTTGATTGGATAGCCAACACACCCTATCATGCTCTATAATAAGCTTGTGCTCACTTGTGCCAACTCTCTGCTTAGGAGAAAGACTCCCAGTCTTGGACTTCTGATTTTGCAAGTAAATTTGATAAACTATTCTTATATCCCAAGATATAATTATTTCATTTGAATGAACAACCTAAAAGACACAATATCCAAGGGGTCAATAATACATTGGAGAGTCTGTACAAACATTTTGTTTCAGCTTTTATTGTTATCCAGTAAAATTTACCCATGAAAATGCTAAAATGTCGCCAAGTATGTGTGCTTATTCAGAGGTTATGGATTGGCCTCTGTGGCTTATTCTGGGATATATACCACAGTACAGTACCTGAACAACTTGTCCGAAAAATTCCTGTGCTTCCTCGGTGGGGATTTCCTCAATGGCGTCTGCAGGCAGGGAACTTTTCTTCTGTATCTGATGAGTCCAGTCATCAATGCCTAGGTGACAGCCAAGTTCTTGTAGCCGATTCATCTCATACACGCTGTGACACGCCCCCATAAGCAGTGACTTGGACTTAGTCGAGCCCACTACATGTCCAAGAGGTTCAAGGAAGACCTACATGTCAATAGCACTTTGACAAATCAAGTGTTCAACAACTTTGACCAATCAAACAGCACATTTGTGTATAAACATCTGTTTCTGAAGACAAGAGATCCGCGAGGGATCTTGGCGCCCACCATTTGAGGATCTGTTTTCAGTTCTTGAAGATTTGTTTATTTTTTTTGTTTGTTACAGGTGTTGTAAATGTTCATGAACTGGTCTTCATTGAATGTACTCAATGATGGCACAAGATATTTTTATTAAGCACCTATTAGCAAATATCATTTGAAAAAGATACCAAAGTATTATTAGATAGCAGTCAGTTACAGGTGGATAATTGACAATATGCTTGTGCTGTATTACTGTTGACATACAAGATGGCTGCCTGTGGGCCACCTTGATTTCAAATCAGTCCAAAAAAGGTACAATGCACAACTAGGGACCAAGGGGAACCTGCATATGAAATCTGAGAAAGATCCATCCAGAACTTTTCCAGAAATAGCGGTAACAAACTTTTACTTCCAAAATCCAAGATGGCCACCTGTCGGCCATCTTGAATGCGAATCAGTTCAAAAAAGGAACCTGCATATGAAATTTGAGAAAGATCCATCCAGTACTTTTCCAGAAATAGCGGTAACAAGAATTGTTTACGGACGGACCACGGACCACGGACGCAGGGCGATTTGAATAACCCACCATCTATTAGATGGTGGGCTAAAAACAAGATGCCAAAGGGGCCTGCATTATTCACTTGGCTAATTTAGCTATTCAGTCATTTAATACAAAATTTCAAATATGACAAATAACTTCTCATATAATTTCCCTTTTCAGTCCTGGCCTTGAAGTCAGATTGACTCTTCATAAACTTCAGACAATAGCCAAGTAGGGAAAAAGAATTTTTAAGAACCTAAATTTCCTGAATTGAACCCCACTGCTTCTGCCCCAGGGGGCAGGGATGCACTTTTTATGCAACTGATTCCCCTTCACCCAAGAATACTTCAGAATAAATTTGGGTAAAATCCAATCCTTCTTACTGGAGGAGTAGGATTTTAAAGAATTATCTATTTTCCTCTACTGGGTTCCACCCTTCCATCCCAAAGAGGCCACAACCCACTGTTTACACAAATTGATTTTTGTGTATCAAAGAATGCTTCAGAATACATTTTGGCAAAAGCAAATTCCTGCCGGAGGAGTAAGATTTTAAAAACTTTACTCTCCTTACTCTATTAAGGCCCCTTTCCTCTTGCCTCGGGGGCAGAGACCCAATGTCTGTACAAGATTAATTCTCCTTCACCCAAGAATGCTTCAGACCAAATTTGGGCAATATTCATTCATTTCTACAGGAAAAGTAGGTGTTTAAAAAACCTGCAAAATTTCCCTTTTGAGCCCTGTGCTTCCCCAAAGGATGCCTCTGACCAAATTTTGTCAAAATGTGTTTAGTTGTTCATGACTAGTAGCAATTTTTAGTAAAAAAATACTGGACATCATTACAGTACAGACCTACTCTGAAGGTGTATGTACTAACCTTATCAGCCATGGACACACAGCTACGGATTGGTAACTTCATTAGACAGTTCAATACAAATACCACAGCTGCATTGGCAGATCCTCCCATAGGGGGTGCTCCTGAAATTGACAGTCATATGTAACTTAATACGAAAGATCAATCCAAAATTTTCATGCTTAAACAATTTATTAATACATGTAACAATGGTTTAATAATATCTTTTAGATTGAAAATACACCTTGATACTGTGCGGTTCTTTTGAATGATAGCAACATTAAAATGCCAAGGGGCAGCAAGAAACGACCAAAGAGCTAGAGGGACAGCTTTTGTTAATTAGTAGATTTTCAGAAGTCAATATCCATTTGTCTTCGGTGTTAATTCTGATCCCTAGTTCTGTTTCAATTGACATGTGTATTGTATAAGTTATAAACCATTCTCACAAGAATAGATTTGGAAGTCTCCCTATGCTTACCAGATTCAACACATAAGAATGTCTATAAATACATAATACAGATAGATCACCTGGTAGGCTGTGACTACTCTCTGATCCATGCATAGTAAAAAGAGCTGTCTTTAGGTGGTTGGTCAGCAAGGCCAGGGGTGTGTTGTCCAGACCTTTGTTGGTCACAACCATGGACATAAGGTGACCACACACCTCAGTCACATTACGGGCTATCAGAGCTTGCTCAAAAATTTCTGGGGACGTCTGACTAGTCAGCTTGAGGAACTTGCCAGGTTTTATTTCCATTGCTAGGATGTTTGTTGTCATGAGACGCTTACCTGGAGATATACAACAGCACATTGAAAGTGATGATCTCCTTAACAAACTTCAGCATTACATCTTCACATCAAAAGGCATACAAAGGCATACACAGCTAAAGAGAAAAAGTAAACAAGATGTCTACCCCTTACCATATACTAGTAACCCCTTACCATGTACTAGTAACCCCTTACCATTTACTAGTAACCCTCATCATGTACTAGTAGCCTTTACCATGTTCTAGTAACCCCTTACCATGTTCTAGTAACCCCTTACCATTTACTAGTAACCCTCATCATGTACTAGTAGCCTTTACCATGTTCTAGTAACCCCTTACCATGTTCTAGTAACCCCTTACCATATACTAGTAACCCCTTACCATATACTAGTAACACTCACCATTTACTAGTAACACTCACCATTTACTAGTAACACTCATCATTTACTAGTAACACTCATCATTTACTAGTAACACTCATCATTTACTAGTAACACTCACCATTTACTAGTAACACTCACCATTTACTAGTAACACTCATCATTTACTAGTAACACTCATCATTTACTAGTAACACTCATCATTTACTAGTAACACTCATCATTTACTAGTAACCTTTACCATGTTCTAGTAACACTGATCATTATCATGCTTGACCATGTTAATTCCTTGTCATTTACTAGTAAAAACATTTCTTTAACCATGTACCTGCCAGGTACTACATGGTCATTTTTGTACTCACCATATAAAAATATTTAATAACACTCATCATTTAAGTTTAATCATTTACTAGTAACACTCATCATTTACTAGTAACACTCACCATTTACTAGTAAACACATTTACTAGTAACACTCATCATTTACTAGTAACACTCATCATTTACTAGTTTCATGTTCTAGTAATCAACATACAGTAACACTCATCATCATTTACTAGGATATGTTACACTCATCATTTACTAGTAACACTCATCATTTACTAGTAACACTCACCATTTACTAGTAACACTCACCATTTACAAGTAACACTCACCATTTACTAGTAACACTCATCATTTACTAGTAACACTCATCATTTACTAGTAGCCTTTACCATGTACGCGTGATCATTATCATGCTTGAGTGTTAATTCCTTGTCATGAACTAGAAAATTCTTTAACCATGTACCTGCCAGGTACTAATGGTCATTTTTGTATGATAAAAATAAATACTAAAAGTTTAATAAAGGAGAAACAAACACATACATTATGATCAGGATATGTTCAGTTTCCATGGTGATCAACATATAGTATGATCAGGATATGTTCAGTTTTCATGGTGATCAACATACAGTATGATCAGGATATGTTCAATTTTCATGGTGATCAACATACAGTATCATCAGGATATGTTCAGTTTTCATGGTGATTAACATACAGTATCATCAGGATATGTTCAGTTTTCATGGTGATCAACATACAGTATGATCAGGATATGTTCAGTTTCCATGGTGATCAACATACAGTATCATCAGGATATGTTCAGTTTTCATGGTGATCAACATACAGTATCATCAGGATATGTTCAGTTTTCATGGTGATCAACATACAGTATCATCAGGATATGTTCAGTTTCCATGGTGATCAACATACAGTATCATCAGGATATGTTCAGTTTTCATGGTGATCAACATACAGTATCATCAGGATATGTTCAGTTTTCATGGTGATCAACATACAGTATCATCAGGATATGTTCAGTTTTCATGGTGATCAACATACAGTATCATCAGGATATGTTCAGTTTCCATGGTGATCAACATATAGTATCATCAGGATATGTTCAGTTTTCATGGTGATCAATATATAATATTAAAAGCTACTTTAACAATCATATACTGTTTGTGTTGAATGATCACAAGTGTTCACGGTATTTGTTTGGCAATAAGCCCAAGAGGCAACATTTTTATAAATATCCATGAATAAATATAGTGACCATGACATTTCAATTCTCATACTTGAACCTTGCTTCAATCATGACAGAAAATATTCAAGGAATGAAGATACTATGTTGATGACATCAATATGAGAAGAATGGGGATGGCAATAGATGGGAGCCGAGACAGGACAGGAAGATATAGGATAGGACAGAATGGGATCCTCTAACAAGTTCAACACTTTTGCCCCTTTCTGTAAAATTGTGAGATCACTAAAAAGACAATTGTAAAACTATTCTTTAAATCCTGTTTGATTGATAGTGGCCTTACAATGAAAAAGCAAATTTACCATCAATGGTGGAGATATGAGAGCCACCATACTTTTGTAGGAAATCCTTCAGTTTGCCATGCTCTGGCTCAAATACTAGTGTCCACTGGCTCCAGCCAGCCAGGTCCTCCAGCAGGGGGCAGTTGTGTAGACAGGCTAAAGCTGTCTCTCTTGCCTGGTGACCAAGTATACCAACCTGACCTCGTGGTGTCAAACTATTCCAAAGTGAAACACATATAGAATTTATTGTGGTTTGTAGATATATAACAAATATGTAAAAGAACAAGGGAGAAAACTGTAAAATATATTGACAATAATTTTCTTCTCAAATTTAATGGCTACCTGTACCAGTATATAGGCCACACAAGGAAGCAGAGAAAAGTGACCTTTATACACAGGTTGCCTTTACATAGAGGATCAATTCATTACATAGGGAACCAAACAAAGTGACCTTTATAGACAGACATCCTTTAAGACAGGTTTGACAGTATGTTTTCTTAGAAATTGGGAAGCTAGCCCCAAATTTTCTTTAAATTCAGAAACTAACACCTTTTGGCAAGGAAACAGTTTTTTGAATGGCTGTAACAGGGGGCAAAACAAACATTGTTAATCTACTCACCTTTCATATTAAGCTAGACTGTGCATCACATAAATGTGTCTGTTCCAATTTGGAACATTACAGGACGAAATGACATGAGTGATACATGTAGTCTACTGTAAAACCATTTGTAATATTAGCAGTAACTGGAGATTTACCTATGATTGCAGCCAAGAGCAGACTCATATAGCACTGTATGTTCCTTGGATTGGTGTTTGCCTGGTCGTTCACTCTCTGTGCGAAGACGCCCAATATTTCCATATCCAAGCTGCTTTGGTTCCTTCACACCAAATTGTTGACAAATGGCCTTCACCAAATCCTCATTCTAAGGATGAGAGTGTGTTTATTATGTATACAGTAGAGCAAATGACACAGTTTCTCCACAGACAGATTGGCATAAATTTATAGATATACTCAATAAGGTGCAATGTTGAATTCCTAATCACTTAGGTTAAATCAGAAATATATTTTCTTTTTATGGTATCAAAACAATTGATGTATTTCCGGGACCAGGAATCTTACCAATTGTCTCTTTGATGACATGCTCATTAATACTGTGTTAGCAGAGAAATGGTGCCAAAGACCAAACGGTCTAGGGCAGTCGGGTGCCGCCAAGAACAGAGATGGATGTGAAAAGGTAAGGGCTTCTGATAAATTACCTGTTCTATGCCACATTGTCGACACTGGTGCATGAGCTCAAGTACTTCTGACTTTTGTGGTCTGTATACAGAGTCAGTATCCCCACCGGACACGCCCATGCCAATTGTCATCCCACCACACTCATCCAGGAACTGTCAGTATATCAGGAAACAGTTATTGATTCAGGAAAAAAATGATGAAATTTCACATTAACATTACCTTATCAATAGTTCGTTGGCTGGGTTTATTGCTCTAGGAACAGTGAGGATCATTTTATGGTGGACTTTCTCATTGTAGCTGATACCTACATTACTGACATAGGAGAGATCTGTTGCATAAATCCCGATCAATTTTACTAAAGTGTCTTGTGCATTGCACATCGTCGTCATATGATCAATGTACCCTTGTTTAATAGAAGCATGAAAAACACAACTGCCCTAAGTTGAGGGTCAATGAACCACACCCTTGATATCTTCACTGGAGGTTACCTAGCCCAACACCATGGAAACAGATCTGCTATTGTAGCCCCATGTGCAGTTCTTTATAGAAATGTCGAGAAGTTAAACTGTAATCCAAGTACTTACTTGAAGACAATGAGGCAGTTATAAAAGAAATACAGGTATCTTGTTTCAATGTCCTAGTTTAGATGCAGGCAAAGTAATGCCCAGGACACAATATTTTAATAAAGAGCAATAACTCTGTATCTGATGGGCGATGGGCCCTGACTTTGCTACACTGGACATTTTGTATGACTGGTGTATATATCACATTCAATAGATAAGTTTAAATGGAAGCAGTTTAATGTTGCGCTGTAGACACACAATTTTAACAAAGGGCAATAACTCTCTAAGTTGTGTAGGCCCTGAATTTGCACACTGCATCTTGTCTCAGTATGATCAATGTATACAATGAGGTTCATTATCCTAGCTTAAATGTAAGATAAGTTATGATCTGGACATGGAATTTTAACAAAGGGCAGTAACTCTGTAATTCAGGGGTTGAGGGTCCTGAATTTGGTACATTACACATCATCTTAGTAGGACCAACATATACAACAAATTTTGTGATCCATCCTTATTTATAGGCAAAGTTATGGTCTGGACATGTAAGGATGGACAGACATGGAGGCAACTATATACTCCACTGAATATTTTTAAGGAACATCAAAAATATATCACAACAAAGCACAACTTACATAGACTGAATGTCAATAAAACAAATAAATATTCTAATGAACATAAATCAGCTCTGACAGTCAAGTTAAAGGGCAGATAGCATTTACTATGGAGTGAAACTTGTATTTTAAAAACACATTTTATGATGCACAGAGTGATACCTGGTTTTATTGTCTACATTATATCTCATGTGTACCATAAAAACAAAAACAAAACATGCGAAACATTATAATAATCTTTTGATATGTTCTCTTTCTCAAATTCAATCAAAAGAAATATTTCTTTAGAATTTTCATTATTTTATCGCAGGAATAAAGATGAAGGCCCTACTAGCTTATGTCTTTTGAAGAGAAACAACCTTGTTTTACATATAATTAACTTATTTGGACACTTTTGTTGTAAATTAGGTATTTCAATCCTTCATGTAGAGTACTGTCAAATAATTAATTATTGATAGGGACTCATTTTCCTTGCATTTGTAGGTTCTCATACAACTTTATATGTCCAGGAATTGATAAACGGATGAAAGCTGACATGGATTATAGTATGAGTGAATTTTATGATTAAAATTTATCCATAAAATCAATCACCAACAAAAACTTATATCTTTTAAAAATCACAAAATTTGAGCTCTTGAAAATGCATGATTTTACAGTTAACTAAAAATGAAAAATTAAGATGAAGTTGTAATAGCTATGAAAACACCAAAGAACTACCCACCGACTTAGCTTCCTTTGTGACAAACTCCAGGAAACGGCCAAATCCCATGGCAACAAAACTTGGGAAATTGAAGTCCTCAGCTAGCTTCTCTTCGATCATGTCCATATGAGACAGCTTTAGAGATCCGTGGCCTATACAACGCTCCAGGTACTTCTTCAGATACTCAATTACAACCTCTATTAAAATGAGAAAATACACATAGAGAAATGTTTTGTATACATTTAAGGCAGGTTAGTTAAAAATTCGGTTTCAGGTTCCTATAAGAACCATGAGATTTGCATTTGATTCTCATGCAAGTCATCGTCATGTGTGTAGGATTTTTGGGTACAGGTGCTCTGACTATGTAGCATCTTTTTTTGCCATCTTGTGACTGTTAACCCTAATGCAGTTACAGTATAATGAGTTACTATAGACACTTAAACCCTCTTCATGTCCAAACAGCCTACATCTTCTCTTTGTTAATGCAGATATTGATTAAGAATTCATTAAGAATGCCTCCACAGGAATGTTTTCTTTAGCCATGTCCCAAACCCCGATCATGCTCATAGCAGTTTTTTTATAGTGTATTTGTACCTTATTCTGTTCCGGATAACTTACAACCTATACTTATGTGTCCATAATAAAATAAAACTTATTTTTTCAAAAACCTTGAAAATCAAGCCCAATAAAAATATCTGATTTTAAAGTATCTGATGCTGTTCAGGTGACTGACCAATGAATGTTATATAGAGGCCAACCAATGTCTTTGAGTTAAGAATATATCTTGGCCTCATGGGCTTATTACAGGACAAATCAGGTCTTTCCAATAGTGTTCCTAAACATGTTTTACCTTTCTTCGGGGGTTGCCTTTGTTCTCCATCTAGTTTTGACTCCCCCTGGTCTTGGTTTTCTGTCGATGGAGACAGCAGCTCACAGGCTGCTTCCTCTAGAATTGTGTTGCTGACACACAGTGCCAGATGGAACAGTTTGGATCCCAATGAGTCTGTTTTGATTGCCATTAAAAAGTCAGACACTACTTTCTGGAACTGAGTAAACTGGCGTCGCTCGAACTTTGTGCTTGGCTGTTCCAACTGGGTAATCAATTGGAACTTCTGGAAAATCTCCATAATAGCTATTTCTGGTTTGAGCTGTAAGTAGTGTTGTCGTACCAGCAGGGATGAGTCACCTGAAGGCTGTAGGATAGAGGCACGGAACTTCTGGAAGGCCTGTTGTAGCTGTTGTTTCAGTTCCTCCTTAAATCCTTCATGAATAGCCCTTCTACTTGATGAAACATCACGCTGTGCTTTTTTTAGAACCTTATAAAAACAAAAGTACATTTTTTTCTCATAAATTAAAACAAGTTCCATCCTGTCTGGTGATATATCTGTGTCAAGTTTAAACAAAAGGAAATTTTTACACATTTTTGAACATCTTGACTTTCTGAAGTAGATTTAAACTTGATCTAAAAATCATTACTCAACAACATCAACTGAAGTATTCTTTTTCAAGCTTTCATTTTTAAACTGTTGACATTTGAATGTACAGATAACAGAGATAAAAAATGATGGCAATTTTGATGCCATATAAGTATGAAAACTTGAAGAATAAAATAAGGTGATTACCATGGCAGCAAGTGGAAGACTACGAAGTCTAACTCCAAGCATGTAGGCATTGTCAGCAGAATAGACTTCTACTAGGTAGTTCATAAACTCCTCCATAACCAGACGTTCTGACCACTTATTGTGCTTCGTCATGTAATTGCGCAAGTGTTCGAGGACATCCATGCTCGTGATCTCTGGAATGTCTGCAAAGTCAGTGGGGAACTTGAACAGTCTAAATACCTCTGGCATACGCTGCAGTGGGCCGAATTTGAAGGAAGCAAAATCTTCTTTGTCAGGAGCATACTCCAATAGACACTGACCAAGTTCATACAGTGTACAAATGGACCTAGTCTTTACAAAGGCCTGGATGTAGGCATTCACCTTTGCAATAGAACGATTGAATTCATTTATATAACTGATGTTCTCTAAATACCTTATTCCAAGACTCATAATGTTATTTGTGTTGAATCTCCTTTTTATAAGATCTTCCACCCTGTTGAGGGAAACATGTTGGTTAGCCTCTGCCAAAATCTCAACACATTCCTTAGCAGCATTTTCGAGGACATCACGAGGAGGGTGTCTACGTCCATCATACCCTCTTATGGCAGACACCCTTATCTCCCTGTCCTCAAACGCACGTTGACTAATTGGCACCACATGTGTCTCTGTGAGGTCTATCACCTGACCCCCTGAAGGTGTACCTGCTGGCATCATCGGTGGTCTTTGTGACTGTACATACACATTGCTAGCTTGTTGCATTGGTTGCTGTGGTAATGCTGGGATGGTTTCATGTGGACTACTACTAATGTGACTCTTACCAAAGAGAGATTGTCTCTTTTCAGATGTGAGGTCAATAAATGGATTCTTTTTATTTTCTGGTGTTGATGTTTCTGTAAGATCTATGACATCCCTGTCTGGAGACTGAAACCTCGTATGCTTGCCCATGTAACGTGTTCCCTGCATACTACTGCTGGAACTGGCCACAGACTCCACTGAGCTGGTGGATGAAGATCGCTCCCGATGGCTCTGGCCCATCATGTGACTCTGTACTCCCTGGCCCCAAGATAGGCCAAGGCTTGTCATTGGGGCTTGACCTCTCAATCTAAGGTAAGGTATCTCGTCTTTCACAAATTCTTCGATTTCTGAAAATTCTTCTAGCACTAGGGTCAGTTTGGTCACACCGAAGTTCTTGGCTGTTGGTTGGTGTCGGTATGTTGCATTGTACACTCTCCAGATCTCTGATTTTTTTATTCCCTGGGGAAAGTTTTTCATAAGTGATATTAAATTTTTCTGAAGTAAATCTTTGTTTACTTCCAATGATGATTTTGTTTGAGTTTGAGAAGCTAGAGTTGGAAAATTTGTATCATCTAAATCCATATTGTGATCAGCAGCAGGTTTCTGGGTACTGTGGTGGGAGGTTTTAGGCTGGAGAGGTTCTGGCATTAGGAAAGTCTGCCTTGGCTGCACTGCCTGGTACCGCATTGGCTGGATTGGTTGGACAACAAGAAAGGGCTGCTGGACGTAAGAAACTGGCGTAGGATGGAGGCTTTGCATCCTCATGCCAACTGTTCCTACAAAATATAAGTTCATGCAGTTGTTATGACAACAAGAGAATCTTCACACCCACCATAATTTGATCTTTGTCTTCACTATAATGATATTTCCATTCTTTTTCCTTCTATCCTCTGATTTTCTCTTGATTACATGTCGTGTTGAATACTGACAACTTAATTACTAATGTTATTTCTATAGACAAGAGAATCACAAGATTGGAAACAAAAATATCCCTCAAGTGCATCTGATAAAAGCTTTTAACAAGAGGACCATCGGCCTTAATGGTTATCTGACTATAAAGTCCTGCCAGTGATACAACAGGACCATCGGCCTTAATGGTTATCTGACTATAAAGTCCTGCCAGTGATACAACAGGACCATTAGCCTTAATGGTTATCTGACTATAAAGTCCTGCCAGTGATACAACAGGACCATCAGCCTTAATGGTTATCTAACTATAAAGACATATATATGAAACAGGCAAAATAGGCCAAAAATAAATTGCTCAACTACTTTACAGCTTACATAGAAGACATTGTTTGTTCATCAAGATATTTTCTGCAAACTTGAAATCATATTCTTAATACATGCATAATACAATTGCCATTACTCCAGACGTATTGCTTGTTCCAATATCAAGACCCTTGGCCTTTCGAATATTGAGAAGTTGCTTAAGCATTTCAACACATTTGACCCATGTAACCATGAAATTGGCCCAATATCAGTACCCTGGTCCTTTTAGTTATCGAGAAGAAGTCATTTAAACAATTAATGTATTTGATACCTGTGACCTTGAAAAAGGGTCATGTCATTCATATTAAAAAAAGTTGGTAGCCCTTCATCCCAGCATGCTACAGGCCTAATATCATCATCCTTGGCCTTTTGGTTATTAAGAAAAATCATTTGAAGATTTTAACATATTTGACCCTGTGACCTTTCAAGTGGATTAATCCTATTAACTAGGAGTCAAATTAACTTTCAGAATTTAAGAAATGATTCCCATTATGTTTAAGACTAAATTTGGTTGAAATCTTTTCAAACATTAAAAAGGAGTAGCATTTTGAAGCAAAATATTGTCTAATTTTTACCCATTTCGGGCCCCGTCCTAAAATCCCTAGGGGTCAAATAAACTTTCAGAATTTAAGAAATGATTCCCCATCATCAATGATGTTCCATACCCAATTCGGTTGAAATCCATTCAAGCATTAAGAAAGAGTAACATTTTGAAGCAAAATCTTATCTAACTTCCCCTTTGTAGGCCCTGCCCAAAAGTCTATAGCGGTTGAATCAACTTTCTAAATTAAGAATTGATTCACAACTATCAATGATGATTAAGACCCAATTTGGTTGAAATCCATTCAAGCATTAAGAAAGAGTGCATTTTGAAGCAAAATATTGACTAACTTTCCCATTTTTGAGTGGAATATTGACTAGCTTTCCTATTTGGGGCCCACTCCCATCCCTGCCCCAGCCCCAGCCCCAGCCCCCGCCCCCGCCCACCCCAGGTTCCTAGGGGTCGCATCAGCCTCCTAAATTTAAGAAATAATTCTCCACTCTCAATGATGTTTCCGACCAAATTAAAACATTGAAAAAAATAGTGTTTTGAAACAAAATATTGTCTTATTTTCCCTTTTGGCCCCCCCACCCCAAAGTCCCTAAAGGTTGAACAAAATTTCTGAATTTAGGAAATAATTGCCTACCCTAACTGATGAATCAGGCTAAAGCTTGTTGAAATCCACCCAGGCAGACAGGAGGAATAAGGTTTTAAATATAATTTCAGCACCTTCCCCTTTGGGGCTCTGCCTTTCAACCTCTAGGGGTTGAATCAAAATTCTGAATTTGAGAAATGATTACCATCACCCAATGATGCATCAGACCTAATTTGGTTGAAATCCATCCAGGTATGAAAAAGGAGTATGGTTTTAAAGAAAAAGTTTATGCACAACACACGTTAGACAATGACTGACGAAACAGGATGGCTATAGGTCATCTGACCCTTGGAGCTAAAATTCTGCAAGTACCAACTACAGGCCATCCTGTCTTATACCCAAGGATCCTCAGAACAAAAGTTTATACCAATCCATCAAGGTCTTCACTAATACAAGCAATAATAAACTAAATAGAAGATGATGGCCATTCTGTTTTCCTGACTGTCCAAAAAGACAATGCATGACTAGGGACCAAAGGGAACTTACATGTGCAATTATTCAGTTTACCAGGCCACTACACTATAAACAGTCAGTTTACCTGGCCACCACACTATAAACAGTCAGTTTACCTGGCCACTACACTATATAAATAGTCAGTTTACCTGGCCACCACACTATAAACAGTCAGTTTACCTGGCCACCACACTATAAACAGTCAGTTTACCTGGCCACTACACCTGGCCACTACACTATAAACAGTCAGTTTACCTGGCCACCACACTATAAACAGTCAGTTTACCTGGCCACCACACTATAAACAGTCAGTTTACCTGGCCACTACACCTGGCCACTACACTATAAACAGTCAGTTTACCTGGCCACCACACTATAAACAGTCAGTTTACCTGGTTTACCAGGTTTACCAGGCCACTACACTATAAACAGCCAGTTTACCAGGCCACTACACTATAAACAGCCAGTTTACCAGGCCACCACACTAAAAACAGACAGTTTACCTGGCCACCACACTATAAACAGTCAGTTTACCTGGCCACTACACCTGGCCACTACACTATAAACAGTTTACTATATACAATAAACAGCCAGTACCAGGCCACAGCCACTACACTATAAACAGTCAGTTTACCTGGCCACTACACTATAAACAGCCAGTTTACCAGGCCACTACACTATAAACAGTCAGTTTACCTGGCCACTACACCTGGCCACTACACTATAAACAGTCAGTTTACCTGGCCACCACACTATAAACAGTCAGTTTACCTGGCCACTACACTATATAAATAGTCAGTTTACCAGGCCACTACACTATAAACAGCCAGTTTACCAGGACACTACACTATAAACAGCCAGTTTACCAGGCCACTACACTATAAACAGCCAGTTTACCAGGCCACCACACTAAAAACAGCCAGTTTACCAGGCCACTACACTATAAACAGCCAGTTTACCTGGCCACTACACTATAAACAGCCAGTTTACCTGGCCACTACACTATAAACAGCCAGTTTACCAGGCCACAACACTATAAACAGTCAGTTTACCAGGCCACTACACTATAAACAGTCAGTTTACCAGGCCACTACACTAAAAACAGCCAGTTTACCTGTCTGCTATATGTTATGCACAATAATTTTAACTAGTCAGTATGCTATGTACAATCAGTTTACCTGGATTGGCCATATAATTGCTGGCTATTTTCCCTGGTTCCAGCACCGGGGCAGTTGGTCGTGATGATGACACTTGATCAATCTGTACATCACTGTCGTTGCCATCATCATCAGAGGATTCATCATCAGTTAGGATGTAATCCTTGACTAATGTTAAATATGTCTTGCCTTCACGCTCAGTCTCACACACCATATCTTCAAACTTCTCCAATAACAGGTTCATCTTGGAAACACCATAATAGTGGGCTGCAACCTGCTGGCCAGTGGCACTGGCCACCACATTCCAAACATTATTTTTGATAACCCCATGGGGGGCCTCTTTCTGTAGGACTTGATAAAGTTTCTTCTTAATGGAGAGGCGGCGCTCAACGAATTTATTCTTGTTCAGCATTGTGGCGTTTTCAGGACTAGGTCACACTGCAGTGAAATGAAGTCTTCGTTAGACAGGTAGTATGATTAATATTCAAAAGTGGTGGCATATGTTTGGATAATTCTAGACCGACAGATCACAGAACAATGAGAAACAGATGATAATTTTTTTCAATTCAAATTTTCATCTTGCAAATTACACACAATTAAATTTTTGAGTTAATAATCAGATTATTTTCAGACTTCCCTTAGACGAACTTCATTCTTCAAGCAACATTCTGAAATGCGTACCATATTCTGTTGGACCTATATCATAATGCATTCTTTTATGATAATCTACATGAATCTACATGGCCTAACTCCCAGGCATGTAAAGAGCATTATAACTTGTCAAATTTCTACTTAAATAGTAACAATGACTTTAAAACACCAACTATATTGTTTGTAAATAAGGAAATTTTTATCTTTATGTGAAATTTTATCAAAATCCACACAGATATAAAATCACTTGATGTCACTAAATTGGATGATTTCTGGGAAATAGTAGTGGCCTTTGTATTAGATCTAGTAAACATAACGATATGAGCAGGGGATCACATTGATAAACTCCAACTCAAACATCTTTTTATCTTTAACTAAATTGTTGAGGGCTTCATGAGATTTCTCATGTACATATACTCTTTTATTATATAAGTGGTCAAGTGTGACCTTTGATCTTTAACCTCGTTAGATGATCACTAAAATCTAATCAAGTGTACTACATATAACTTAATGGTGTGATATACTGATGTGAATATAAATCTGACCAGGGTTTCATGAGATACATTGTACACAAACTTTGCACATACAGATGCTAGGAAATAGAACTCACAGACCTATGGACAGACAGACAGACTGACATACAGAGGAACGTAAAAACAAACTTCAAAATATTTGATTCAAGTGGTAAGCACACTTAATGATATACATATGTCTCATTCATAAATTCAAAGTGCATCAACAAATGTACCCTGCCATACATGGCTTACTAGACACTAAGTTACATAGTAAAATAATACATATAAAATGCTTACACTTTTAATAAGTACTTGATTCATGAAATTCTCAAAATAGTTGGAATTATCTGATGATGAACTTATATAAAATATCAGGGAAAGACCTCCAAACAAGACTAAGTTGGTTTACTGAAGTTTTCTGAATATTCGGTCCAGCATTATATGATGATTTCATCCTACCTTTACAAAGTTGTGTATAATAAAAGTCACTCAAGCAAAGCCTTCATTTTGAACAGTACATGAAAGGAAATGGCATGATGGGATGGGACAAACATTGGAACACCAGATAACCTTTCCTTAAAATGGTGATGGCATAAAAATTGAAAGTCTTCAAATTACCAACATAAAATGGATGGGTATAAGGATACATACATATAATTGCCAAGATAATCCTTATTTGAGAATTAAGGGCTTTCTTGGGCTTGTGGGGAGCTGATAATAGGCCCTATTTTCAATTGATATTATTTCATATTTAATCAAATTTCAATAAACTTCCTGTTTGCATCTGAACCTTCCAAATTCATCAATTTTCTTCTCAAAATGAAGCAAACATGGCACATCCCAAACCAATGAAAAAGCATAAAAAACCTTACCTTCAAAACCTTAAATATACTGAAGAGTATTGCTTTTTCTTTAAAATCTTAATATCTTACCACAAATCAGTAGGCGTCCTTCCTGTCAGGTGATCATGGTGTCTAAACAGAAATGTCTCTCTCTGAAAAAGATCAATTTCCAATGCTGATTGACAAAATTATTGACAGTTCACTCTTTAACTGTAGTATTTGTTCTCAGTCAGCCTTCCTATAGATGTTGTAATGTGATAGTGTGACGTGTTGGAATAACACTATCTGGTGAGGCTGGTACACCATATATAGAGTACAACCAACAGAAACTAATACAATCCTAGAGGCTATACCAGAAAATACAATGACAACATTTACTATTTATAGACATTCTGAAAAGTCATTGCAGTTTTTCTATATTGAACACATTATCTCATACTTCTTAGAAATACAATTATGGCTATGGCATTGACAATGTGAAAGTAAAAGTAGGACTTTAGAATTTATCTCTTACTTCTTGAAAATATGATTTTGATTATGGTGTTGACAATGTGAAAGTAAAAGTAGGACTTTAGAATTTATCTCTTATTTCTTGAAAATATGATTTTGATTATGGTGTTGACAATGTGAAAGTGAGAGTAGGACTTAGGAATTTATCTCTTATTTCTTGAAAATATGATTTTGATTATGGTGTTGACAATGTGAAAGTAAAAGTAGGACTTTAGAATTTATCTCTTACTTCTTGAAAATATGATTTTGATTATGAAGAATTTAATAGGTCAATATCTGAGAACATTTCAAATGTATATATGATATGTAACAGTTGTTTATCATTTCAATGTGCAATTGGATACTGTCTTATCTGAGGCAATGTACACATTCCTTTGATTAATATGTTGTACTGGTATGTGTTTTATCTGTACGTGATCTCTGCATGACTGTTAAATGATACACAATGCCTGCATTGTATATTGGCCTAATACATATACCAATCTTCAATCTAAAAACATAAGTTACACTTAAGAACATCAACACTGAACAATAGCTACCATGGCAGTCCTGATGTTCCTGATAACCACCAGTACTTATTCATTATGAATCTTAAATGTTTATACTTATTTTAGTTTCATTTTTTCAATCACAAGATATCCATCTTTTTGACATCCACAATTCCAAGGTCATTTTTATATAATTTTGGAAAATTACCACTACTACTATCCATTACAAAATCTAGATAGAAATAGATAAAAATACAAAGACTTGTTGTTATATTACTACCAGCCTATTGAAAAGTAAACCCTCATGATCGTCGGTCATTTCTAAAATGTGCATGTAACTATGACTGTCTTACAAAACTGAAGAGACATGATATTTAATCGATGACTGAATACACTGCCTGAAAGCTGACCTATACAGAGACCACTGAAATTTAATGTTCCTATATAAGTTGAAATTCTTTCTATAGATCTTGACAAACATAAACAAGAGGCCTATAGACCTTAAAGGTCATCTGACCAAAGTGAAATACACTGAAAATGTAGCTCTTCACAAAATATCAAACAAAACAAAAGGATCAACAGGCCTGAATCACTTGCCTGTTCTGAAGCTATTCATCCAGTATGCTATAACTCAAACACCAAGAACCAGGACAGCACCCTTAGCTTTTGATTTTAGAAAAAATGTTTGAAGATTTTAACACCTTGGTCCCCTGTAACCTTGAAAGTGTATGAAGGTTGTTCATTTGAACAACTTGGTAGCCCTTCAACCCCACATGCTTCATGCCTAATATCAGCACTTGGAGCCTTCCGGTTATTGAGAAGATTTATAAAATGTAAAAGGCTTGTACACTGCAGATGGCACATATGAAACATGATGGCTATAGGTCAACCTGACCAATATCAACTGTACTTTAACTGCAAAGAGCCATAACTCTTATAAGTTACATCAAATTGGTCCCATTGTTAACTCGTATCTGAGATCTAATTGATGCAGGCTGCACAGCAAGTTTGATCAAAATCTGTTCATCTCCCTCATTAGCCATGGTAAAAAATTTGGAAACGGCCATTATTCTGTCAATTTTGATCAAATCCGTCCCATTGTAAACCTCATATGAAATTTTATCTATGTAAGACTGCATACTAAAATTTCATCACAATGGTTTCATATTTACTTAAATTACTATGTTCCCCAGATACAATGGTAAAAAAGTTGCAAAAAGCAGTAACTCTGCAAATTACATTTGAATCGGTCCCATTGTCAAACTCATATCAGATCTTATTGATACATAGCTGCATACCAAGCTTCATCAAAATCTGCTTACTTAAGTTTTCGTGTTCACAATGTCCTTAGTAAAAACTGCAAAGGGCCATAACTCTGTAAATTAAAATCAAATCAGTCCAGTTATCAAACTCATACAAAATGTTATTGATATAAGGCTGCACACCTAGCTTCATTGGAATTGGTTCATATTCACTCAAGTTATCATGTTCACCAAACCCAATGATAATTACAATTTAAAGGGCCATATCTCAATTGTGTAAATTACAATTGCATCAGTTCCATTGTTGGAATCTACTTATATAGCCAGATGATATTAAATCTTAATGTTCTTGGGCTTACAGTATTGCAGCCAGTAAACTGTCTGCAACTGTCCCCATAATAAATTCTTTGTAACTGTCTTAGTTATTACAGATTACTGGGTTCTACTAGTTTATTAAAGTCACAAAAGTTACAATTTAAAAATCACACTTTTCCAATGTAAGTCATGTCAAAAAATTGCAAGATGGCATGGCCTGTCCTCCATGGTCGTTTTTTATTTACATAACAGACCATAACAAAATGCTGGCATCAGATCGATGGGTTATTTTATCATAACTTGGAGGATGTGTATCAAGAAAAAATACACAAAATTGCCAATGATGTATATATCCTTGGCTCATTAATTTCAGATCCCTTAGATAAAATTTCATGCTAGCTAGCTTTGCTAGGTTGATGAACACTAGATTTTTTCTTTGAAAAAGATATCTATGTTTATGTGTGCAACTTTCCTTATGGGTTAGATTCAAGTTTTTATTGTTTGGTTTCTTTTTCTCAAATTATCCATATTTACATTTATTCTTCTTTTTTTATAACACAAACTATTTAGATAAAGTTAATTTTTCTCAGCCTACAACTTGCTAGTTAATCAAAATCATGTAAGAGTCACCAAAAACGATATTTCAGAAATCATCATTTTCTCATTTAGACTTCCGAAATGAAAATGTTACAGGAAGACATGGAATATTATTCATGGTTGATTTTTTATCATTAATAGATGGCAACAAAATATTGGCATCCAAGGATTATTTCATCACATCTAGGATGATATTTTACAAAATAAAAATGTGTATTAAGAAAAATTGCCA